AAAAAACGAAATCAGCAATAAAGAAATTTTAAACTTGTGTTGGGATGGAGAAAATAGCGTTGAGTATAATTAAATAGTAAATGATTATTGTTAATAATAAGAAATTGTGTTCATAACGATTGAACATTGTTAATAACAAATGATTATCGATCGTAATAATATTTGGATAAAAAATTTGTTAATTTTTATAAACAATAAAAATAGAGATCTATGCAATATATTTGAATTCTTCTAACGCGTAATTTTTTTTTTTTTGCTAAAAAAAAGTTACCAACCGTACGACATAAATGGAAACTCATTTTTTTTGTTTATAACAATTAAATCTGTTATAAACAATAAAAATAGATATCTATGCAATATATTTGAATTCTTTTAACGCGTAATCTTTTCTTTTGCTAAAAAAAAGTTAATAATAAATAAATTCGAAAGCCTATTCTAGAATAAATCGACAGTTTTTACGTGGACGTCTGTGTGTGTGTATGTACGTATGTGCGTTTGTGCGTACGGCGTATGTGCGTCCGTACGTTCGGAATTATTTTTCGCCTCGATTATCTCGAGAACAGAAAATGATATCGATGTGGGACCAATTGCATCCGACGCGTAATTACGTAACTTAGAACTGAAAAATTTTTCAGGAAAATCGGTAAAGCCATTTTTTTGGCAGAATCAAAAAGCTGGAAAGAGGAAATTACTTGAATTTTGTAATTTATAAATTATACCATTTTTTAGACAAAATTTCAAGATCATTGCAGAAATATGAATATCAAATGATTGGAATACTTGTATGGATATATGATGACAATATTTTATCGAAAAAAAAAAAAATTTAAAAAACAATATCAGCAATGAAAAAATTTTAAACTCGTGTCAGGATTGAGAAAACAGCATTAAAGACGCTATAATAGTTCATAATAATTGAACATTGTTACTAACAAGTGATTATTGATCATAGTAATATTTAAATAATACGTTTTAAATTGTTATAAACAACAAAAATAGGGACCCTTTCTACATATATGAGTACTTTTAACGCATAATTTTTCCGTTTGCTAAAAAAATGTTACCAACCGTATGCCATAAATGAAAACATACTTTTTTCGTGTATAACAATGAAATTCGTTGTAAATAATGAAAAAAAGGATCTATGAGGTACATTCGAATTCTTCTAACGCACAATTTTTTCTTTTACTGAAATAAAGTAACTAACCATATTAAATGAATAAAAACAGCCTCATTTCGTTTATAACGATTCCATTTGTTATAAAAAATGGAAACGGGTTCTATTCGAATTGTTTTTTCATTTTGTGCACTGGGAAGTTGGTCGTGTGGACCTTTCGGGTCGCACCCAGACCACTGCAGAGCACTGATATTTTTCATTTGCTTTGTTTACGTTTAGATATCATAAGCTTCAGGCTTGGTAACAGAGGGTGGGGTATGTGCTTGCTCGTCAACTGTTCGAACTCGCAGTCTTCTCTGAAAAATAAGACGGAGATAGATAGATATATTCTGTGCTCTGTCTTGCTCGAAACAGATTATTCAAAAAACTGTAAATTTCTTGGTGTCCTAAGGCTCCCTTTTTGTAGTGCATCCCTGAAAATTATCATTTTTCGAACGATTCCATTGTTACCTACTCAATTTCAGTTGATGTCAAGCTTCGGCCTTTTGCCGCACAACACGAGGGCGTAAAGTCAACTCCGGGAAACTTTCTGACTTCAGCCCAGCCTTAATTTCTTACAATCTGTGTTATTCTGTTGAGAATAGGACGATGATAGGAAAAGTAGGAAATAAAAGGGAGTCGGTGTGCATCAGACATTAATAACTCAACAAGGGAGCGTGACATCCGTCCCCAATAAGATGTCAGTCAAAGGCATTTTTACAATCTTTTAAATTTGAATCTTTAAATGTATAATCTTACTGATTGTTAATCAAATTCTATGATGCCCAGATTTTTTATCTAATGATCATTTTAAAAATAAGCTTTATTCTTTTAATCTTTTAAAATTGGTTTTTTTTATTTTCAATCATTTAATATTCAATCAAATTATAAAAATTTTTCTTTTTTTAATGTTTATCATTTCGTTGAACAGTCAACTTAAGAAATTAGGACTGGTAAGTTATCTTGCGTCGGTATAGTAGAAAAAAAATTCAACTAGTGTCACTGTTTTCTGATAGATGACAGTAATTACACTGTTTTCAATCAAAAATTCAAAATGCTTATACAAAAAAAAGTCTTCTTTCTGGCTCATGTAATGTCATGTAATTCCTACTTCATGAATAAGTATATTTAGGCTTATAATCTAATGATAATAACATTTTTATCTTAATGTTAGCGTAATAACGTAATCCAAGTGAAAAAAATTTGAAAACTGAATTATTAAAAAGTTGAAAAACTTCAAAAATAATGTCTGTCAGTATTATTCTCTTCTTTAATAAACATAAACGATTTTCGTGCAACGAAAAAAAAAAGTTTTATTACTTAAGTTTTTATAAAACTAAATCAGTATTTTTAATGAATACCTTAATTTACCTGAATTTAAATATAAATATAATATGAATATAAATTTATTAATAAATTTTAATATAAATCACTACTCAATTCAATTATTTTAAAATAAAATAATCAGGGTCAATTAAAGAATTCAAAAATCATTCCTGAAGTTATAAGTATAACTTTTATTTATATTTAAGAAAATTTACATTTGCTGGTATCTCTTTAACTTTGGTTTTCTACACTTCCAAATTATGAGCCACGTTGTCTCAGCTCCCGTCGAATATTTGTGCGTTCAACTACTGCCTACAAATATTCTGACAATGTCATCCTATATATAAATTGATATTATAACAAATTATTTAAATTTAATATAAAATGATTGAATAAATTAACAAATTATATAAGTATCTTCCATTTCTCAAGGACTCTTGTGAATTATTAATGTACAAGTCAATTGTATGTTGAATTGCTCGAGAATGATTTTGTCGTGTAGTTTCATTCATTATTCTACAATATTCAATGTCACTGTCACAAATTATGTTTATTAATCGATCTGAAAAATGAAATTTAATTCAATACAGAATTATGAATATGTATAAATATATATATTAAATGTGTTTTAATATTTACCCAAAAAATTACTTTTTTGTGTTAAAACTAATTGTCGTGTGAACTAAATTGAGTAATAATAAAAATTTAATAGGATCTTAATTATATTTCTCTTTAATATATAATTTATTTGTGTGAAAATTTATTTTGTTTTTTAAAAAATATGTCATTAATGAAAAAAGAGTTTGAAATAAAAATTATATTGAAAAAAAACCTGTTTAAAAAATTTCATTACACAATGGATGAAACTAACTTTATTAGAAAAGTTAAACTAAGCGTAAATTAATGATACAAATAATATATTTTATTTTATTTATAATTACGATAATACTAGAAGACTGTCTTACTGATAGTCAATTAAAACACAAACTAACTGAAGAAATAGCAAGTAATTCAGTAACTTAAATGATTGATGAAACAAAAAAAGGAAATATATTGAAGAAAAATTCAATTTAAAAGTAAAGTATTTTTTTATTATTTTGAATTGTGTAATTGATATTGTAAAGAAATTAACTCAATATAACTTGATGTGGTATATCTCTAACGATGAAAAATATCGATATAAGTGATTGGTTTTGAAGAAAATTATGCTCCATTTCAAGAAGATCAATCTAATATTTATTTTTGGTAAGTAAAGTTGCTATTAAACAATTCAAAATTTAAAATCATATAAGTATTTTGAATTTTTGATTGAAAACAGTGTAATTACTGTCATCTATCAGAAAACAGTGACACTAGTTGAATTTTTTTTCTACTATACCGACGCAAGATAACTTACCAGTCCTAATTTCTTAAGTTGACTGTTCAACGAAATGATAAACATTAAAAAAAGAAAAATTTTTATAATTTGATTGAATATTAAATGATTGAAAATAAAAAAAACCAATTTTAAAAGATTAAAAGAATAAAGCTTATTTTTAAAATGATCATTAGATAAAAAATCTGGGCATCATAGAATTTGATTAACAATCAGTAAGATTATACATTTAAAGATTCAAATTTAAAAGATTGTAAAAATGCCTTTGACTGACATCTTATTGGGGACGGATGTCACGCTGCCCTCAACAACACTAGGAGGCACCACCATCGATTTAACTTTTTCAAGACACATTAAACTCGAAACACTCCCTTTTATTTCCTACTTTTCCTATCATCGTCCTATTCTCAACAGAATAACACATTGTAAGAAGAGTTAACTTTACGCCCTCGCGTTGTGCGGCGAAAGGCCGAAGCTCGATATCAATTGAAATCAGATAGGTAATAGGGAAATCGTTCGAAAAATGATAATTTTCAGGGATGCACTACAGAAAGGGAACCTTAGGGCACCAAGAAATTCACAAATTTCAGAATAATCTGTTCCGAGTAGAGATGTGAATTTACCGGTAATAGAAAATTCGGTAATTACCACGTAAAATTACCGGTATCTGACGGTATTCTGACGTCAAAAAATTCTGAATGTAAAATTTACCGTCAAGCCGTCGGTCAGCGTAATTACCGTAAATTACCGGTCATTCGCATCTATATAGATGAATATGATGAGCTTTTTACCGAGGAAATGGCTTGCTTTCGAACTTGCTTGCCAATTTGCTTATGTTAATTTTGCTTTTTGCACTTGTTAATTTAAAACTAATTAATTATTATAAGATGAAAAAAAAATTTTGTAATTTGTAATAAAAAAAATATTTTACATTTTTGACTGTTAGGACAGAAATAATAAATATATTGAAAATTATTATAAACGTTTATTTAGTTAAGTTTTTGGTACATTTTTTTTTATAAAATAGATAATCCTTCGTTATTACATATTATAAAGAATTTGACTTTTTTAACTTTTATGTAAATTATTTATGAAAAAATAAAACCATATAATCTATAGTTTCTATCAACTAGTAATATCACATAATAATTGACATATTTCATTAGGAAATAACAAGTCTAATACTGATTCAATTCCATCAACATCACTAATTAGTCTTGAGTAAATTCTTCTTCTAAAAATTCAACTTCTTCATGCTCAGCACAAATTTCACTTATTTCATCCTCTCCTTTATTACTTTCCTCATCTTCTTCCCATTCTTCTTCTGTATTTTTTGGTGAAGGATTAAGTAATTTTAAATTTCTTGCAATGTATGTTATTTTTCCAGCTCTATCGATACTTAACTTATTTCTTTTAGATGAATGAATCCATCCTTGTGTACTAAAGGAACGCTCGGTTGCAGCTGATGTTGCAGGTAAAGTCAATATAGCCACAGCTATTTTGCTCAACGAAGATTTTTGGCAAATACTTTGCCACCATTGACATGCTGAAGTGATTATACTTGCTCGCTTAACTTATTAACACAAAGACTGTCAATCATAATTATAGTAGATCCAAATCTTGTCTTAGCTGGTAATTTTAAGGTAATAAATACTCTACGTTCATCTTGAGATTGAATTTCTTTGAAAATCGCTGACATTATTTGTACTTCTTTTATTCCTTTTACAATAGCTGTTGCACTTGTCACCAAAGTTTCAACAGTTGCTTGACTACCAATATCTTTCATGAGTAGGTTAAGAATGTGAGCAGCACAACCATAACAATACAATTTGTCGACATTATACTTTTGATCTATCAAAGTCCAAGCACTTTTCATTGCAGCACAATTATCTGTACAAATTCCGATAACTTTTTTAATTCCCAAAGCATCAATAACACTTCCTATTTTTTCAGAAATATATAAGGCAGTTTGTGATTCGGTTCCAGTTGGAAATGTTTTGAAAAAAACTGGCGCTGGGGTTGTTACAATAAAATTGATGATTCCTTCTTTGCGAATATTAGACCATGCGTCACATTGCACTCCAACAGTAGTAGCAGATTCAATTTTTTCATTAACCATATTTTGTGTTCTAACGAATACTGAATCTAAAAGATTATTTGATATTTGATTTCTTGATGGCAAATTAAATGAAGGCCGTAATGCGTTAAAAAATTTTAGCCAATATGGATTTTCTGTTATACATAATGGTGTACCAGATGCATAAATCGCTTCTGCAAGTAGTTCTTGTAGAGAATCTTCATCTTTTTTGACATTTTATCACAAAAACTATCGATTGTATTTTTTTTATAGTTATTGCTACAAACACTTATATTATTTGGTAAATTTTCATTTGAAATCATTGAAGTACTTGCTCTATTGTCTGCTTCATTCAAATCTTCAATAGTAAATGAGTCGTCTGTGCTGTTTAGATGACATGAAATGTTTTCTGCATACTTTTTCTTGCAATAGTTACATGAATACGATTTTAATTTTTGGTTAGGTTGCAGAGGTAATGCAGAGAAATGTTTATATATTGATTTGTTCTCCCCCATTGCACCAAGTTCTCAATGAAAATCCTTATCTACAAATTGAATTTTCTTATATTAAATATTATCAGTATTTTTAATAAACAAATAAAAATGAAAATATATACCTGATAGAACAAATAAACAGTTGTATGCCGTTGGGAATTCTAAACTGTGATTGGACATGTATTAACCAATCAGAGATCAGCATTTTTCTGACCGGTATGGTAAAACAGGCTTGGTCATTGACGCGTTTTTTACTGGTAATTTACGGTAAATTTACCCGTCAATTACCGATTCACATCTCTAGTTCCGAGCAAGACAGAGTAGAGAATGTATATATCTATCTCCGTCTTATTTTTTAGAGAAGACTGCGAGTTTGAACAGTTAACGAGCAAGCACATACCCCACCCTCTGTTACCAAGCCTGAAGCTTATGATATCTAAACGTAAACAAAACAAATGAAAATATGCTGGCTCTGTAGTCAGAAGGTTCGACAGTGATTTTACCGAACGGTGTTCGATTCAAATTGCGGCAAAATTTTTTTTTAATTTAAATTACTTGTAATTGCAATTTCATCATGCCAAAAACGAGTTTTAAATTTCAATTTTTATGTAAAATTATTTTTCAATTAATCGATGACAAATGAGAAAATATTTAAACAGGGCCATTAACCTTTTTTTGTACAAATACATTGATAATAGCCTTTTTAACAACTTATTAACAATAAAAAATAGTTTAAACAATCCGCGGCGAGTTCCGGCACTTGGCGGACAAGCTTTACCTCCACTTTCTGTGCCCAAGCCAGCAGCTTATAATTTACAAGCAAAAATAGCAAGATTATAAACACGTTAGCTCTGCGGTCAGAGCACTGGAATTCTATTTTGCCGGCCAGGGTTCGATCCCAGTCATGGCAAAGTTTTTTTTTCTTTTTCATGTATTAGATTTGCATGAAATTATAATATTAACATGCTAAAATGAATTCTTACTAACGATTTGATTTTTTTTTCTTCAATTTATTCATTTAATTATTGGATGCCGAGTCGGAAAACCTTTAAAAAGGGTTATGAACATTTTTTTAAATACGGTTCTATGAGCGTAGCTTTTTTTTAAACAATTTGAAAATATTCAGAAATAGTTGAAACAGTCCGCGGGGAGTTCCGGCACTTCGCTGGCAAGCTCTATCCCCACCCTTCATACTCAAGCCTGCATTATATAACTTATAAACATAAGCACAATGTCAGAGATAATGTGTTAGCTGTGTGGTTAGAACACCAGGCTTTCATTTTACCAATTAGGGTTCGATCCCAGTCATAGCCAATTTTTTTTCATTAAAATTTTACATAAATGCAATAATTGGTTGTTTATATTAGTTCAAAATCAATTCCTATAGTCTTTCAGAGACAACATTTTCTAAAAAAGAGAATTCATAGTAACTCGTTCTTCACCCTCAGCTTATTTTCAGAAAAACAATTTTTTTTCGTAATTAATTGGAAGAATATTTCAATAAAATATATAAATATATAAAGTTACTTAAACGAAAAAAAAGAAAAAAAAATTTGCCATGACTAGGATCGAACCTTGCCTGGCAAAATAGAAGTCCAACACTCTGACCACAGAGTTATCAGGATAACAATTCTATTATTTATGCTTGTAAATTATAAGCTGCAGGCTTGGGCACAAAGAGTGGGGGTAGAGCTTGCCGGTGAAGTGCCAAAACTCTCCGCAAATTGTTTAAATTGCTGCTAAATATTTTTAAATTATTTTTGAAAAAAAACTACATTTATATAACTGTACTAAAAAAGGGTTTATGGCCCTGTTCGAATGTCTTCTCCCTCAGCGTTCATTAATTGAAAGAATTATAAAAAAAAAAAAAAACTTAAATTCTTATGAAGAATTTATTTTGACTTACTAAAATTATAATTACATTCAATTCCATTAAAAAAAAAAAGAAAAAAAAATTGGCCGAGATCGGGATTGAACCCTGCTCGGTAAAATAGAAGCATGTTGCTTTAACCACAAAGCCAGCATATTTCCAATCAAAATTTCATGTTTATTCATCTTAAACTACATGCTTCGATCCGTAGACTTGGAATTGAGCTCGTTTGTTGAAATTTATACCTAATAGAAATAATAATAATGGATGAATATATGTATTTGAAGTTATTTGCAGGTATTACATTAATTAATGTTCAATGAGTATCATCATATTCATTTCTAATATTGCAATAGTCATCAAAGTGTAGGGCATGTAGTGTGACACACTACATTTACATCACACATGTATTGTACACACACATACACAAATTACTCGCCAAAATGCAGGGCACCATCAGTTCTGGATACGGATTGTGCATTTTTTCAATATGGATGACTGAGGTCATCTGCGAGCATAATGCTGTCACCTATCGGAATTTTTTCAAACTTATTTTCCGGAGAATATCATCTGGAATACAATATTTCTAATTATTTCTAAATTACTTGATTTCATAGAAATAATAGTAAATTGGCGAAGAAATTAGAAATATCCCGATCCCATGTATTTAGATAGGGGGAATCAGTCGCCTCTCTGACTTCAGCCCAGCCATAAATATTACACATGTTAAAAAGTTGTAAAAAAATTGCTCAACACACATTTATACTTGTAAAAACTATCAAATAGTAAGAAAAAATTAACATAATTGTATTTTGCGTATAAATAAATCTAACTTGATCAATTTCATTGTGATTTTAAATTACCTCCTTCTCTATATACATACAAATCTATTGAACAAATGAAATTAAAATTTTCTTTTGAAAAATGCTGCTATTCCATCAGTATTTTCATAAGACGTTGTCACGTTCAACTATCGTCAGTAAACCGACTTTACAGACAACCGATTTTTTTAAAAAAAAAAACCGAAGAAAATAATTTGTTTTAAATATTGTTGATTCCTAAATTTAAATAATTGGCGTTTAATGATTTTAGGATTCTTTGGTAATTTCACTATTGTCGTTATTTATATTTTGCGCACATTATTGTACAGCTCAGAAGAAGGGGGCTGTTTTTGATGAGATTTCACAATTTTTTGTCCACATCAACTGAAAAGGAATAAAAAAAAAAAAAAATCTGTTTAGAAAATACTTCAATTATTTGTATATTCGCGCTCGAGCAAAATTAACTTGTTACCAACTTTATAATCTGTGAGTAAGGAAACTTCATAGCAATAAAAAACTCGGATCACCAACTTGATAAAAAAAAACATATGATTGCTCCATGAATAAATTTTCATTTTACTCAATTTTTGCGCAACGAAATTTTTTCAATATCATATATTATGAATAAAGCAATGATGACACTTCATAGTATGCTTAATCGAAAGCCAACAATCGCTTTCCGAGCTAATTCTTAATTTGAGCCCATGTTTATGTTATAATAAGGAAAAAATTTTAAATTTAAAAATTATAACCTGCAAAAATCATCTTATAACAAAAACAACATGGTTGTGCCTCGTCGTGACGTAAGCAAGATGGCGACGATTTATGCTTGGCGCACGAGACACTACCGTACCTCTTGATAACGCTTAGTAAATAAATAACGTTGTAACCAAAAATATTCAATTTATACATTTTTCGTTGTTTGTGATCGTTTCTGGCGTTATATTTTATTAAAAAAAATTCTGTGTCATGCAAAACTCTCCATATTTTTTTTAATATTTGTATCATAGATAAATTTAAAAAAAAAATATTACATGAAATTCAGTTTACGTTTTAATTCCTGGTTTTTTTTTGTTTTCCGTTTTAATATGGCAGACATTTCTTTTGAAAATTACTATACATGACTGGCTTCTCTGTAGAGTGTGACGTTTAGTTAGGAGAGATGTCACACTCCTGTGGTAAATCTTTTTTACCGTAAAATAACTTTTGGATTGCTCTGTGTTTTATGTATAGACTATTCGTTAATCGGAGTAATCGTTCAATTAGTTTAACAGAATCAAAATATAGTAAATCATTTTATTCATACGTAGATTATATGAAAAAAATTATGTATTCTTTACATAGTCTTACAGATATTGAGGTATATAAAAAATAACCATATGTGATAAAAAATATTTAAGAGAGACAACAAAAAACACCGTTTATTTTCGTAATAATTACTAGATAAATTAAAAAATAATTTAATTAACTTATTGAAGGTGCAAATATAACTAGGTTTGAAGTGTTCTATATAGTTTATTTTGTTCATTACATTGTTGATTTAATTAAAAATACCGTTTTTGTTCAAAAATAGTACAGATATATTAATTTATGCTATTAAAATGAGTGGTTAAAATAAAAAAAATGTTTTGTTGATTTAACTGGTCACGTTTATCCATAAAAATACTAAATTGAGTCATGGTTTTGATAACATTTTATTTTCAATGACTTTATTACCATTCATTAACAATTCTAACTACGTCTTTCAATCTTGAAATTCAACATCTTTAGTCAGTCATTTAACTTCAAACAAATATGTAAGAAGAGTTTACGAATCAAAATTATTATTGATAGATATATTTTGTGAGGCATAATTTACAAATATATTTCCTGTGAATATTTTATGAATGATTTTATTGATAAAGTATTTTTAAATTACATGTTCAAAAGTTACTTTAAATATGAGATTTATTGATAAACAATATATGTTTTAGGGGAATTAATATTTCAAATGTATAAGTCTAATATCATGATAAATAAAAATTTATATTATTGAATTTAACATTAATATATTAATCAAGATGGGGTCAATCGCTTTGGAAGAATATGAACTTATGAAAGATTCCAAATACAGAGTGTAAGTATCAGGATATTTCATTTATTTTTATAGATATTTTTAAATAAAATACCTAATCTATCACTTTATCTTGTAGTTATGTCTCAGCTGTCGACAAGGCTCTGAAGAATTTTGAGTATACAAGCGAATGGGCAGATTTAATATCAGCACTAGGAAAACTTAATAAAGTATTACTGAGTTACATGAAATTCCCTGTTATACCAAGGCGAATAAAAATATCTAAAAGACTAGCACAATGTATGCATCCTGCTTTGCCATCTGGAGTGCACTTGAAAGCATTAGAAACTTATGATGTTATTTTCAAATGTATGGGAACTAATAGATTGAGCCATGAACTGTTTATATACAGTGCAGGTACTACTCAGTTCATTCATTTTCACTATGAATCACTTACAATTTACTTTTGCATCTATTTGATTCTGCAATTAAATAAATAACTATTCTATTTCCTATTCTTAGGACTTTTTCCTTTACTTGGTCATGCTGCAATGAACGTTCGACCAACACTTTTGACCGTCTACGAAACTCATTTTGTGCCTCTTGGTGAACGATTGAGACCAGGTCTCAGTGGTTTTCTAAGTGGAGTTCTTCCAGGTCTGGAAGAAGGATCTGATCATTTTGATAGGACCAACTCTTTGTTAGAAAAAGTTTGTGAAGGAGTAGGACCGACTCATTTTTATGCATGTTTATGGGATTGTCTCGCATCAAATTCCGGAATACGATTGCCTGCAATTTCATTCGTATTGTCACATTTTAATAAAAAATTAAATATGGAAGAACAATCCTATATAATGGGAACAAATGTTGACATAATGGTTTCTGCCCTTTATGCTGGAGTTCAAGACAGTTCAGTTTTAGTTCAACGAAGTGTACTAGACCTTTTACTAGTTGGATTTCCATTTCATAACAGTCAACTCAAGTACAGCGATATGGTTCTTTTACTTACTGCCGCATTAACGACTATTTTGCGAAGAGATATGAGTTTAAATAGAAGATTATTCGCATGGCTTCTAGGCACTGAAGTGAGTACGTCGATATTAAAAAAAAAAATGGATTATGAACAAACAGAATTAGTTGTTACTTATTTCGATAGATATTCAAAAAACATGTTAATTGAAGCTATTAAGACAACGATGAGAACTGTTTGTGAAGAAAATCCATTAGACCTAAAACCATACAGAATACTGGTATCATTATTAGATAAACCAGAAATTGGACCAATAATTCTTGATGATATTTTATATGACATATTTAGAACGTTCTACTTTGCATGCGTTCAAACCGACAAACCTTTGAAATCTCATGAAGTTATCAAATCAGCCAATTTATTATTTTCAACTCTCGAACCAGCTTATGTTTGGATTCATTGTAGTCAGTTATTTGAAAAAGCTTGTATTGAAAGAGAAAATAACCAACAAAAGTATGAGGAGAGCTCAGTAAAATCAGTCGGTAGTGGAATGCCTAATTTATTAGAAATTTGTATTTTAACAGAATTTCTTCTAGAAAATGTTTCTGTTGATGCATTCTTAGATATTCCATCAGAGCATCTTCCAGAATTATTTTATGAGATTATAAATCAGTTGTTCGAAAGACTACGTGTGTTTACACCTAATGAAATTGCAAAAAGTCTTGCATTATGTAGTAAAATATTATCCAAAGTTCAACCTTTGAGTGTAATAACTCAGCCTGACAGTAATAACCAAGAGACTAAATTAGAAACATTGATAGTCAATGTAAATACAGGATTAAACAATAATACAACACTAAGTGCAACGCCTTTGGAAAAAAGTCAGTCTGATAGTAAATTAAATACTCCAAAAACATCGAATATTTTTACAGAACGTAGTCCAAGTCCACGAAGAAGAGCAAATTCTGGAGGAATCACTAAAAGGAATGATAAAAAGTCTAGAAAAAAGTCTAGTAAAAGTGTATCCAAATTAAATGAAATGTATGAAATTCATAAAGATATGGGAGATATATCGGTAATTATAAGTGATACAACAAAAATTAAAAGCTTAGATGATTCGGATATAAATTATCAACAAATAAATAGTATCAATGATTCGTCAAAAAAAGAATCTCCATCATCGCAGTTATTAAGAAATATGACTCATTCACCGAAACTAATCCATAGAAGTCTTTCTCCTGCTCATCAAGCTCATCATTCAATGTTGGAAAAATGTTTGCGTCAGTATGAGTTACTTTACGTCAAACTAGTCAGTGAAAGGATTCTCGGAGTAGAGAACAATATGTTGAAAATGTTTCAAGATTTAGTTATTTCTCCTACAAAAAATAATGATGATAAAACCGAATATTTAGAAACTATCCTTTATTCTCGATTACAGGAAACAAAAATTGAGTGGAATATTCAAAAACCAGTGTTAAATGATACAGACTATTCGAATATATCCAATGTTTCAGTTTCCTCAATAGACCAATTAAAATGGGAAGAAGTTTTTAAAGTTCTCTCTAGTCTATTAGTGGAATTATCAACATTTCCAACATATTTTCAACCAGGTAATAACCTTACTGAAGAAAAAGAACCTATGAATCCAGTTGTACTACCAGATTGGCTTCAAGTTCTGGCTGTCTGCTCTTGTTGGTTGAATAAACAACCGTCACTTCAATTAACAAGTATAGCAACATTATTGGATCTTATTGCTCTTTTTCGTGCTCACAATGATGTTTCATCACAATGCAAAAGTGATGAAGGCGTAACTGCAGTTATTATGGTACCGCTATTAAAAAAGTGGCACATTTCTTACCTCACCCAATGTACAAATGTTTTTCCAACTATAGCTCACTCACTTTGGTGTCATTTAGGAAAACTTTCTCCAAATAAATATCGACTGCGTTGTGTTGAATTAATTTATGAACTTCATCATTCGCTACATCAATCATGTGATGCTGTTGAAAATATTATTGGATCTGCATTAACTAGCCATACAATTGAAGACAAAATTGAGGCTTTCAATAGATTTGCGACTCTTTGGCACTTGGGAAGAGAAATTGAGACCAATCCAAGATTACGAGGATGTACTAAAACTTTTAATAAGTCCTTGTTAAAGATGCTGGATAATTTACAACTTCATGACAATTCACCATTGAAATTACATGCACAATCGTGGTTGTTACATTCATTAGTGCGCGGTGATATTGCCAGAATTGTCGATCCAGTTCTGATAATGCTGTTAGACTCATCAACATGTCGAATGAGTGTTCTTCATGTGAGCATTCAACATAGCAATACAGTGTTAACGAAAAATGATGTTATTGAAGAGAGATCTGAAACTCGTGATGATACAGAAGGAACTGCAAAGATTTATGCTATTAGTTCTGTAGATGGAAATGTTATTTATCATGTTAGTAATTCTGGAGAAGACAATAGAAAAAATAAAAAAGGCAAGCAAAAAAAGAAATCAATTAATCCGGTAAAAGTGAAACGTATTTTCGCTGTCACAACATTGACGAACACTGAGAAAGGTAATCAGTACATCACAGAAAGGAATCAATTTATGAAGGAACTTGAAGTACCTCCAAGTATCTCTGGGAATTGTAATATTTCTGTTTTTGTTAATCCACTCTCATCAGCAGTTGGAAATTCTAATTCAACTGAATCATTAATTGAAGAAGATGTGATAAATGAAGGAAAAAAAGGCAGTTTGCCAACAGATATTTTAAAAAATGCTACAAGATTTAAAAAACCCAGTGTTGGACAAGTATCAACAGGTAGTTTTGATGAAAGCCTTTTTGAATCAATTAACTCAATTTCAAAAACTAAAGAACCTTCTCCGAAGGAGACTAAACAATTAAATAAAGAATTCGGATCCTCTTTAGATTCTATTACAAATAGTATTGAATCAAGTAGTCCTGATATCGCCAATAAACAAAAAAATAACCCAAAAAAAGACATGAGTTCTTCTATAATGGCTAACAGTGCTCGAGAAGTTGCTGGAACTCTGTTGAAAGGTAAATACATCAGCAATAATGAATTTTCTGCATCTTATGATCCTCATGAGACTGTGGCTAATCTTGAATCGAGTATAGGACTTCCCGGTTGGACTATGGGTGATGAAGATTGTGAACTTGATCTCAGCACAACTGCTGAAGAGTATTTCAGTAATTCTAGTGGAATTAGTGTTGTAGAAGAAGTGTTAAACGAAGTTGTTGATAAAGTATCTGAAATGTGTGAATATATTGAACCAACAAAAGCTTCTGATGAATCCGTCAGACTTGATAGCGGTGTCAAACGGCCTTCTGGAGTTGGAGTACACAATCTTCATTCACATATGCTTCTTTATTGTGGTGTTTATGATTCGGCGAGAACTCTTTATGCCTTGAGAACACTAAGAAATGAATTAGTAACAAATACCCGAATATTTTTATTCGCTGCTGCAACGACAGGAATTTCTAATGCTAGCAAAAATACATTATTATTAACTCTTTTAGCAAGACATAGAAAAAGTGTACTTGGAAGAAGTTTTTATGGAGATATAATGAGTACAAAATTTATTGCTACATACAGAAGTAGCATGTATTTAGAAGTTTTAATTACCGTATGTCTTTATTTTATGCGCAGCTATTATCCAAATCTTGGACAAATGAGACTAACACAAGAAGAAATTGCAGGAAATCGTCAAGTTCAGCTCACTAGTGCTGAACTATTAACTTTAATATTTTCTGAACTCGTTTCTATTGTGAGGAACTCAGGAAAAGGTTTTAGTTGTTATATAGTTGATTTATTAACAAAATGTAAAGTACAAAAAATTATTCTCCACTGTTTAGTATCTAGTGTATTAAATATGAAAAATGCACAAAAAGAAAATGACGATTCATTTACATTTACTGAAGAAATTGTACTTTTTAATGATCCTATGTCTGAAAATGATACTAATAAATGTAAATTTCGAGCAAGTGATCATACAGAAGCGTATCAAATGCAATTATTAAGACTGGTATTAGCTGCAATTATGTTGGAATACCAATGTTCAACGCAAAGAGGTGAGGAATTGCCTTCTTCAAACACTCAAACTCCGTCAACTCCTTCAAGAAGCCTTACGAATTTAGCTGGAAGTGCTTTGGAATATATTCCAGGAGCTCCAATTCCTCAACAACCCATTTTTCTTGCAAGTATTCTGAGTGCTTTACAATTGAATCACATGAGACATCTTCATCAACATTGGACCAATCTTGTTACTTCTAGTCTTCCCTACATGGGAGCATCATTAACACAAGTTGTGACATCGGTAGTTCATCAATTATGTTGTAATATTGAGCAACTAGCAGCATATTATGTGACAGAAGACGCTGTTTTAACAGTAAAATTGAATGATATCAGTAGCTTAGAATGCTGTTTACCAGCAGATTATACAGTGACTCATTTAGAGGCTTTAACTTTTCTTCTTCAATATTGTCTACTTGATAATTCTCAACAGATTAGTTTCTCTTTTAACCAGTCATACGGTGGATCTTTTCAAACTGGAATTTCTGGTGCTAATCCAGGTCAAATTTTTACTAATCTTATTCATGTTTTCTCTCCAACTCCTTTATCATTAGATTCAATTAAAGATAAAGCAAGTACTAATGAACAGTACCTCCATGCAAAAAGAACTGCTCTCAGTCATTTACCAAGAATTATAGCGTCATTATCAACTCTTTGGCAAGCTGTGTTGGTTGCAAAAGATAATGAACAAGCCAGTTGTGTGATTGGAAATCCTAGGGTAGTTAAACATCAATTGTTGGAATTACTCTCACCAATATCTTTTCATCATGGGGTAAATTTTCTTGCTGCAGTTGCTGTAGCTTGGCATGAAAGACGTCAATCTTCAACAAACTCCAAAAAAGTTTTACCAGAAGCATGTCCAAATCAACAAGTTATTGTTCATTTAGTTAGTGCTATTCGTGTTATGCCTATAGATACTTTGATACAAACTGTGAATCAAGTAATAAAAAATCCTCCACCAATACATGGTGTAAAACAAGATTTTTCACTTGAAGTATCCGTCCTCGAATTATTGTATGTCTATATGCAAAATAATACTTTACAATCATTAGTTGAATCTTGGGGATCTTTATTAAGTCTGTTAAAAGATTCTCTCTCATTATCTGCACCTGCACAATTTTTATTATTGGCTATATTAAATGAATACATTCAAAAATGTCCACCAATGCAAGAGAAGAAGGACGTTAGAGACCTCCAAGACATTTCTGCAAAGCTTATTGAATCTTGTTCTCAAATAGCTGGAGCCTGCTTGGAGCAAACAACATGGCTAAGGAGAAATTTAGCTGTAAGAGAAAATGCACTTGAAGTAAGTGAAGGATCGTCAGAAATGACACCAGGAACTCCACCTAATTCAGCGTATAGTGTTCAAGCACAAGCTGTTTTAGCTGAAATTTTAGCCCCACTCCTTGACGTTAGTTATGGATCTCAAGAAAAAGAAAGAGTCGTTACATTACTAACCAATTTAATGTATAATGTTACTCCATATTTAAAAAATCATACAATGAAAAATATTTCATCATTTATTGCCTGTTCGCAACTGTTAAGTTCCATATCGGGGTATCAGTATACACGAAAGGCATGGAGAAAAGATGTTCTTGATTTATTATTAGATCCAGCATTTTTCCAAATGACCGCTGCATGTTTGCCTTATTGGAGAATTATTATTGATAATTTAATGACCCATGATACGACAACTTTTAGAGATTTAATGAACCGAGTGTCTATAGCTCAGAGTAGTGGTATCAGCATATTTTCATCAAAAGAACAAGAGTATGAGCAACGAGCGCAACTCTTGAAAAGATTAGCTTTTGTGATTCTCTGTAGTGAGACGGATCAGTATCATAAATATATGCCAGATATTCAAGAACGTCTGGCTGATAGTTTACGGTTACCTCAAGTTATTCCTTCTATTCAAGCACAAGTTTTTTTATGTTTTCGGGTGTTATTATTACGTATGTCTCCTCAGCACACTACATCGCTATGGCCGGTTATTGTTAGTGAGCTCGTTCAAGTACTTCTACATATTGAACAAGAATTGAGTACTGACAGTGAAGAGTTCAGGTGAGTTATTCATTTAAAAGAAGTAACTATAATTCATTTTTCTATTCTATTTTTATTTATCTTTTTGCTGACTCTTATTGCTATTTTATTTTTTGATGATTGAAATTTTTGCTTTACATAAATCAAATGCCATGGGGTTGATTCATGAACATTATTTTCTGCTACTTCTGCTTTATATTATTTATTAAAGTTTTATTAATATGTACAACATTGAAATTTTATTTTGATATATTAACCCATAATATTATAATTTTATTAGATTCAATAGATTATCATTAGCAAACATTTTATTCAAAAATAAGATTAAAATAATGGTATATTATATGAAAATGAAATTTCGCTTTTATTTTAGAGCTTTTACTGATTAAGGAAAATTATTTATGATTAATCATCCTAATAATCGTATTTCATTAAAATATTCAAGTTTATTTTCGATCTAAAAAATTTTTTACTCTGTTTTTATGTGTATTTCATTAACATAACTATTTAATAACGTGATGTTTTTGCATCTGTTGTGGCATCTGCAATGTGGTGGGATTTATGGTGTCATCGCAATTTGATTGATTGGTGTTGGGATGCAGTCGTCAGAGCAGGTAAATGATTTAATCTGAAATATAATAAATTTTGCATTATGTTCTATAATATTGCATCTTTTATAAAGGAAAGTACATTTTTTCAAACTATCAATTTGAAAGTGGAAATATGTTGCTCAATAACATTCTAGCTTGTATCAAGCAAAGCTTGTGTAAATTATCTTTATGTAACATTAACAATTTTCATGGAAAAAATCATTATTATTAAAAATGAAATAAATATGATAGAGAAATTAATTAAATTTTACATAATATTTTACTTTCACTAACATTTGATAATAACAATTTTATTAGCTCTCATTTGAAACTTTTATCCGCGTTGGATTCTTCATGGGCTGTAAACGCTAACAATGGACTTCAAGCTCATGGCCATCCTCACTGGTTACAGTTACAACTTGCAGCAGCAAAACTACTAGATTTAGCTTTATTGTTACCAGCTCATAAATTGCCACAATTTCAAATGTAAGTAAGATGTATGATTTTCAACTTTTATTTGATATATGTAATCTTAAAACTATTTAACAGATATTCAACTTGAAATACAATATTAAATCAATTTTTTATAATGTTTTTCAAAGATTATTATCAAAAAGTTTCGCATTAATAATAAAAAATATTTAGGTATCGATGGGCCTTTGTTGGAGATGCAGCAGTGGGAAGTACCGAAAACAACAATTTATCATCAGACTTTGTACCACATATAACAAGAATAGCAAAGCTTATGGATGCCAAGGTAAAATCTATTCAACAAATATTTATCATCTAAGTATTATTATCTATACTAATTATTTCAATGGAGTAAATTAAAAAAAATGATCATTAGTGGCACTGCAGTCTTCTGGGTAAACACATTGCTGAATATTTTCATCAAACACAAAATCCTCTTTACACTCACAACCACTTTCACAAGGTGTATAACAATCTTTAACATTTGGTTCTATACACGTAAATTGACAAAGACAATGAGTCCGAACAGATCTTTCATCACAACTTGGCATATTTTTATTCTCTATCAAGTCTATCTCATCATAATCGTAACCTGGAATTCGATGTTTAGTATAACGATATTTTTTTTCTGGAACTTTATTTAAATTAACATAGTGTCTAGGTAAATTAATTAATTCTTCGATACTTGTATCATCATCAGAAACTATATAAAAATCATCAGGACTCGGTAAATCATGAAAATTGTTGATCGATAATTTTTTAATGGTTGGAGGCTCGTTATATATATCAAAATCATTATAGTCTGAATCATCCGTGTATTCTAAAATGAAAAATTATTAATTTGTTGAATAAATAAATTGTTTGTTAAGATTAAAGAATTTTACTCACGAGCAGATGCAACGATAAAAAGATTTAAGAAGACGAACAAAAAAATTATATCCATAATAATTGGTGTATTTTATTTCACTGTCTATGATCTTTTCTCTTTATGATGTGCATTTGCTTGATTCAATTGTCATTATTATTGTCAGTTGTACATTTGTCGTCAACGTGTGATAGTTATCAATTCATCCAAGTTTACATCTGTATATGTATAACGGTAATTAGGACAATGTTTAATTTTTACTTGAAACAAAGAAAAGTTGATGATTTGTGAAGATGGGATGAACTATTTTGAACAAAGCTCAACAAATACCTGAAATACATTAGGTATATCTATAGAAGCTTAAATTACTTACAAGTGCGAAATTTATTTTGGTACCAAGCTTTAAAATCTTCCAGAAAAGCGCGGTAGCATTTAAATAATTATTCACACTTTGATGTTTGGATTTTTAATTCATTACTTCGCTCAACAAATACATATAATTGATGAAAGAATAATTTTTTTATTGATTTATAGTTTCTTCAAAATCCTCCGGTATACGTAACTCCAGGAGAATTACTCGTAACTTCAAATAAAATTCATTCACTTCAAGATCTACATCACTTTTTTACTGGTTTGAGCTGCAGATCTAGAGATTCGGATGCTCCTTTAAATATTACACAATTGGAGGCAGTAATTGAACAAGACTTTCTCGAATCTATGCCACCCATAGTCACATCTCGATAATAGACAACTTATTTTGAGATTTTGATTATTAAATAAAGTATGCAACATTTAAATTCTAATAATTGATGACACTAAATGATGAATTTGTTTTTTATCACGCACTAATCTTTGATTAAAAAAAGAGCTTTTTATTGAATGAGTAATTCATTCTCATAAAACAATTAATTGACTTATAAAGAATAATTATCGAAATGTTAATATTTTTAATTGACAAATGCAATAATTGTTAGTTTGTTATTTTGACAAAAATTATTTATATTTATTTGATTGAAAATAGCATAATGAAATCTAAATTTTCAAACAAAAATATTGTCTTAGCATAATTAAGAATTATTAAACCAATATTCAGAATTAAATTTACAATAAAAGATTGATCTTCATTTCCTAGATTAAACTGTGAATATCGTGCCATAACAGCATAAAGAGAAAAAAGACGTATTTAATAAAATCGAATATTTTCCTGTACATAAAACCTCTTAAATATAAATAATATAACACATATAATATAATGATAACTAAAAGATATCAGCCGTAGAATTGTTGTAAAATATACATAATAGAAGTCAAAAAAGTGATTTTAATTTGATTATCGTTATTAATAAATATAATTACTATTTAAGCTTGTCATTCGTCTCCTCATTCGGTTGTGAATAGCTCGATATGTACGATCTCCAAAGGGTAGAAAATATCAGTGAATCGTACAGAATAATCGGTTACAAAGTTACGTGAATATATATTAATGATGTAATTAAACGATTGAAAAATATGCATACAGCTGCATTTATGTAAATTATGTAAATGATAAATTTGTTATTTAATTATTTTTCATTTGTTGTGCTATCATTAAGGGACATTGATTATTTATAAATTATTCAATACTAAGTGAAAAATATGAATAATGATAATAAAAAATATAAATAGAATAAATAATTTTACAGTTCTATGTGAAAAAGTAAAAAAAGTTTAAAGAGAAATTATAAAAAACTTTGTTTTCGTAATAAAAAGCCAATTATGTACACTATTTTTATACATTAAATTTAATCAAACACATGAATTCTAATTTTTGTAAATAATTTAGATAAAATTGAATAGTGCAATACGTGTATTCAATTATTTCACTTAAATCATGAATTATTGATTGAAATATATATTACACTTTCGCACTGAATGCTTAAAACTGAATCAATTATTAATATGACTTATTATTATAGGTCAATGCCTTATTTCTTCCACTCTGAATAATTTTTTATATATTTCTAATAGATTCTCATCAAAAAATAAAATCATTATATTTTACAAAAAGTCGATTCTTATGTTAAAATATCAATATAATTTTTTCCAACTTATATTCTTTTATAACTATAAAAAGTATTATCTATTTAATATGTTGTTTAATAAAAATATATTATAAAAATTTATAATAATTATCTTTTAAAATTGTTTAAAAAACTATTTATTTAATGATTAAGATATTAAGTGTATATGATATTTTTATTTACTTTTTATAAGAAAATAAACGCTTGTTAAAAATAAAGTTAATTTTATGAGAGAACAATTATTGTTAATACTTATATATATATATATTTATATTATATATATATATATATATATATCATTGCTATTAAATAAAATAAAATAAGATTATATTTATAACAATTATAAAGTCTGTTTGCCCTAATGTAATGTGTATATCTATATAAACTTAATCCACCGTATATGTATAACCATCTACGTTACATGTGTGGCTTCATTACATTTATATGTATGTGTAATATTTTCTGTCATCTAACCTACAGACTTCTTTTTCAAAGCATTTTATTTCATAAAATATTTTGTAATAATTATTTATCATTATAAAATACTAATAAAAAGGCAATAACAAATATTTTCAAATAAAATTAATTATCGTAATATTATTTATAATTATATTTTATTTTATTTAAAATCGATAAACATCTGCAAGAAGCGCAAGCGTTGGTTTGACGTTCTATCGTCTATCAACGTGCAACAAAAGACTTAACATCTTCATAGTTCATATGATTTAATTTTAATATATTATTGTTTATCTTCAAAAATCATATTAATATAATTATCATTATTTTTTTCAATATCATCGTTAAATGGCTTGTAAAAATCGCTCCAAAGTATATTTAGGCTTTGAGGACGAATTTATCACTGAAAAACATCGATCTCTTGTCAATTTTGCTACTAATAAACTTGGTGGAATCCCAGTAAGTATTATTTGAATTTGTAAATAATTAAAAAATGCAATATTTACTTATATTTTTGTATAATTAATGATATAAATCAACAGGATTCACATAATGATACACCGTTAGTATCACCTGTATGTAAATTATGTGGACTGAATCAGATTTTAGCCCTACAATTATATGTTCCACTAGAGAATTCAAAGTATCATCGAACTTTATACATATTTACTTGTATAAATCCTAATTGCTGGAATCAAAATGAAAGTTGGACTTGCCTCAGAATTCAATCTTCAGAAGAGAAAACGATTAATGAAAGAACAGCCACTCAAACTGAAATTCCATCGACTACTAGTTGGTTGTCATCAGCGGATGATTGGGGAGATGAAGGAAATGATAATGCTAGTGAAAAAAATGGCAACGTTCTGAAAAATGAGCCTAGTAAAAAATTAAACTTGTTTATGAAATCAACAGATTTAGATGACGAATTACGTGAAGATTTATCGAATCTTTGTGTTAATGATCCCAATGCCAATAGTCCTGCTAGTATTGAATCTCCTGGAAGTGGTGGAGCAGTTGGTAGGCTTGATTCTCCCCAAGCATCTGCGGAAATTGAGGGTGAAGAAAGCGAAGTTGTTTGTATTGATACTCCGATGCAACCTCAGTGTAATTTAATGGAATTATTGCATGGAGTTACACCCCATCCTTTTCAACATTCTGATGTTAATTCCTCTTCAAACCTAGCCTTTGCAGAAGCATTTATTGGAGTAGATGAAGAAGACTTATGTGTAGATATTTCTCAGCATGTTAGAGATTTATTTCTTGAATATCAACGATGTAATCCTGATAACCAAGTTGATACTAATGCCAAATCTAATGAAACAAACGCAATAGATGAGAAATATGAAAAAAATATACCTATACACGGTGATGAATCATTTCATAATTTTATTAGTCGAATACAGCAGAACCCGGGACAGCTGTTGAGGTAAAAAAAAATTAATTAAGCACGTTAATAAAAAATTAAGTATTCTGAATATTGTTATACTACTATATATAAAACTAACTACTACTAAATATAAAAATAATTGTCTACTTAAAAGTATACAAACAATAATTTAATATTACAGATATTGTCGAGATAATACAGCTCCATTAGTTTTATATCCTCTCGCATCAATTGTAGGGCCTTGCAAATACTGTGGAGCTGAAAGAATTTTTGAAGTACAAGTTCTTCCTACAATCATACCCAAGTTGAAACTCCAACCATGTAGAGAACAAAATTTCGAGATTGAGTTTGGAACGGTGCTAATTTATACATGCCTAGTAAGCTGTTGGTCATCTACTGATTCTTTCAAAGAGGAATATGTGATTGTTCAAGCTGAGCGTTTATAGTAAGAATAATTTTAAATAAAATGAAAAATGAGAAAAAAAAAATATATCGAAATTTAGTCAATATATGTAACATTATTTTTGAACTATTTCGTATCCGTCCGCTGAGAAACAGAATATGGCTCATTTATTTCAATTAATTCAGTATATCAATTAATACTATTTTAATCAATTAGGCTTTTAGAAGATCTATTTTGTTGTTTTTTATAACTTAATAAATCGTCTTTCATGAATGACTTTTATAGTTATTCTAAACTTTACAGATAAAACACATATTAAGCTGAAAAAAATATTTCTTTTGTTTCATAAAAAACAAAATCAAAATTAACTTAAGATTTCGAAACTATACTCAATTTTATTTTAATTGTTAAAAATGCTGTTTAAACTGTACGAGCTTTTGAAAATTTTCGTTCTGCATTTATTAATAATTTCAGCATTCGTACAAATTAAATTTATTATTAAAATAGTGCGGACATGATATACATGTATATTTAAACATAAAATTGTTAATTCTTCCATTTACAAAATAACAAAAAAAAAATTGTAGAATAAACAAAAAATTCCATGTCTTCTCATAAGAATCGATTTTAGTAGCGTGTAATAGTTTACATAATACTTATTATTGTTGATTGACTTAAAAAGGTTGAATTAAGTAAAAAAAAAGTGATATGTAATAAAAGTAGTTTTCCGAATAAATTTTATTTACATTATTGATTACACCTTGACTTTTTCCTTACAAATGCATTTCAAGTATTTATAAATATTTACTATCGTACAGAAGGATCAAAATTTAGTACATGTCTATTAAAAAAATGAATAGAAATAATTTAAAAGTTTCGTGCTAATGGATGAGCGCTAACATAATTGTCATTTTCAAAAATGGTATCACTCACATTTTTCAAAATAAAATCTCCAATAATATGTTCTCCAAATTCGATATCATACAATGTTTTATCAAGTTCTTTACCAAGTATATATCCGTATACTTGTGCCATTTGAATTTCTTGTTCTGAATTTCTCATACCTAAACAATATGATCTTGATGAACGGGCTAAAATAGCAGCTAGAACGTATAAGAGAATAGCTGATTCGCTAATTCTTTTTAATTCCATTTCTTTCGCCATGAGCATTTGTCCATCTCTTGCACAAGAGTTATAAATATCCTTCGAAAATTTTTTTAATAATGTTTCAAATATTTTTGCAGTGGGCTGCAATGTAGGATGTAAATTATCATCAACATATAAATCTTTTTCTTTATTCCAATTAAACAAAGTGTGTTTGAAAACCTTTCCAGGAAACAGTACAGGATTTCGTCTTACAACTATGTTTTCAGCCAATTCATGTCCACTATGTTTTAAACCTAACATTGCTATTAATAATTTTGTAGGAGCAACAGGTCCATCAATAGATGTAAGACATAATGCATCTCTGATTAATTGATCTAATTCACTTCCTCTTACATGAGAAATCGCTCCTAAAAATTGTATCCCTAACAAAATACTCTCAATACATTTTTCAGTACAGTAGACTTCAATGATACATTTTTCAATGTCACAGTTTTGACCAGCATAACCATCTATCATACCATTAGTAAAATAAACAATACTCTCCATCGCATATATTATACAAGCAATCTTTGCAATGGTTTCTTGAACTGAATCATTCTGAAATAATGTAGTATTGAAATGTTCTTGTTTCTTAAGGTAAAGAACAAATAATTTTAAAAATCTCTTTAGTAATCCTATAGCTTGACAACCAATGTATTCTTTGCCTTTTACATAAAGTTCTGAAAATTTATTTGCTGCTGATCCAGTGATTCCAAGCATATTGTCTGCAGGAATTTTAGTATTTTTAAAATGAACTTCACTAAGTGAAAAACCTCGAAGACCTGTAATATTAACAGGTTCTTTTATTTCAAGACCATCACAGTCTTTTTGAATTAAAAAAGCAGAAATAGTATTTTCTGGTTCAATTTTTAACTCAGGATCGGAGCATTCAGCAAAAACAATAAATAAATTAGAGTTTTCAGCATTAGGAACAAAAGTTTTGATGCTATTGAAAAGATAAAAGTCATTACAATCCAATCTTCTAGCAACTGATGTGATAGCAGAACCTTTCATTCCTTGAAAGTCTTCCGTTATACAAATTGTAGGAATTAAATCTCTGTTAGCTATTCTTGGCAAAATAAGTTGTTTTTGTTTGTCAGAACCTAATTCTGATATTAATTGAACTGCTGCTATTTGTTTTACCAGATATGCACCAAGACAAGGAATATATGAAACTGTTTCTACAAGTTTTGCTATTTCACTGCTATTTAATCCGATACCGTGATATATGTCTGGAACTATTGCTTGAAATACACCTAAATTTCGTAAGTTTTCTAATATTTCATTAGGTATTTGAGCAGTTCTATCAATTGCAGCACTATCCACTTTGTTATAAATGTAGTCTTCAATAGGCTTTAGCCATTCAAAAAAATCTCGATGTCTATCAGGAGTTTGAGGTTCTGGAAAAGCAGCAAAATGTGTATCATATTTCGCAAGAAAAAAGTTCTTTACGAACGGTTCTCGTTCTGGTAACAGTGGTTTCGGAGCGGATAACCTTACTTCTGGTGGAATAAATAAACTAGGATCTGTTGCGTTTGATGAAAACTGTTTTAGTTGTGGAATTACACAAATAAATTGTGGTAATTTATATTTATTGATTAATCTTCTTGTCAACATGATCGAATATTTTATTATTTCTTAAATTTGATTGAATTGTCGTTCTATATTATTTATAAAAGTATGTAATATTTGTCGACCATTTACACTTTCCACTTTTCCAGTATTACTTGTAACTCCACTCCCGATAAATATAAACACGTGTGTATTGGCAGAGAGAAGTCTTCTCTCTGGTATTGGTTAGCCAAAAAATTCTAGAGAAAAAAACAAAAAGTCCCCTCTCATGTCGATGCTAGGAATATTTAGTTTAGTAACGAAACAAATAACATTTCCCCCACACAACGATGACGCCATTTATATGCGTTTTATATATATGACCATATAAGTTAAAGTCACACGTTCACGTTGGATTTTTTCAAGTTTCTTACGAATTAAAATAAATATTTTAATTAATAATTATTTATTATCGAAGGAATATGTCAACTATTGCTACTCCTTTAGCCGTAGGTGGCCAACGACAGTCTGGAGCTCCAGTTCGTACTCAAAATGGTATGTGAAATAATTTCTTTAACCTAAAATTTACGATGCTGATTTCTTCGCCGGCAGATATTTTTTTATGAAAAAAATAATCGATAGTTCATAAGTATAAATATTTATAATAAAATACTGAACTAATTTTAAAATTGGTTGTTTCAGTTATGGCAGCATGTGCAATTGCCAACATTGTCAAAAGTTCACTTGGACCCGTGGGTCTGGATAAAATGCTCGTTGATGATATTGGAGTAATTATTCTTAATTGTTTAAATGATTTTTCAATTAAACTTTGATTATTTTAGTTTTTGAATATAAGTCAACAGTAATCTGTATTTTAAGTAATTGTAAACTATTGTAGGATGTCACTGTAACTAACGATGGAGCAACAATTCTACGTCTTCTGGAAGTTGAGCATCCAGCAGCTCGTGTTCTAGTGGAGTTAGCTCAGCTACAAGATACAGAAGTTGGTGATGGCACAACTTCAGTTGTAAGCTTACAAATTTTGTCTCGTAATTCAGCTATTAGTTTCTTATTGATTTTATTACAATGTTTTTCATATTATTTCAAGGTGATTATTGCTGCAGAATTATTAAAAAACGCTGATGAATTAGTCAAACAAAAAATTCATCCTACAACTGTTATCAGTGGTTATAGATTAGCATGCAAGTGAGTATACTTTTCAATAATAGTTTCGTATTAGTTAAACGAGTACTCAACTTTGATGAATAATTATTTTATTTTAGAGAAGCATGTAAATACATTCAAGAACATTTAACTGTTAGTGTCGATGAACTGGGAAGGGATTGTTTAGTGAATATCGCCAAAACTTCAATGTCCAGCAAAATAATAGGAGCGTATCCTTTACAATAACAATAAATTAATATAAGATAAATATGATTATAGTTGACAAAGTTGAATATGATTAATTAAGCATGGTTATAGTTAAGAAGTTTTTTTCATAACAAAATCATTCAAATATTTTCTTTAAATAACGCTTAAACAGTGATGCCAATTTCTTTGGAAACATGGTTGTCGATGCTGCTAATGCTGTTAAAATTAATGATGGCAAAGGCGGTCATATGTATCCAATCAAAGCAGTTAACGTTCTTAAAGCTCATGGAAAAAGTGTTCGAGAATCCATTCTTGTTCAAGGATATGCATTAAATTGCACAGTAGCATCGCAGGCAATGCCGAAAAAAATTGTAAATGCAAAAGTGGCATGTTTGGACTTTTCTCTTCAAAAAGCAAAAATGAAGTTGGGTGTTGAAGTTTTAATTACTGATCCAGAAAAACTTGAAGGAATACGTCAAAGAGAAATGGATATTACAAAAGAGCGTATTCAAAAAATCCTTAACACTGGAGCTAATGTTATTCTTCTGTCTGGTGGTATCGATGATTTATGCATCAAATATTTCGTTGAATCAGGTGCAATGGCAGTTCGTAGATGCAAAAAATCTGACTTAAAGCGCATTGCTAAAGCTACTGGGGCTCAGTTTCTTACATCTTTAACTAATATGGAAGGAGATGAAACTTTCGAAGTCAATTATTTAGGAGAGGCTGCTGAAGTTATTCAAGAAACTGTTTGTGATGATGAGCTTATTCTTATTAAAGGGTATAATTTTCAATCATTGTCATTTAGTAATTGAATAAACTAAAAAATTATATTAAATAATAAAAAATATTGTTTAACTAGGCCAAAAGCTAGAACTGCTGCGTCAATAATTCTTCGTGGACCGAATGATTATTATTGTGATGAGATGGAACGTTCTGTACATGATGCTCTTTGTGCTGTAAAACGTGTTCTAGAAAGCAAAAGTGTCGTTGCAGGAGGTGGATGTGTTGAAGCTGCTCTTTCTATTTATCTTGAAAATTTCGCAACATCTTTGGTAGCTATTTTATTTATGATTTTTTTTTCTCTAAAGTTATGATTGAAAATAAATATTATTAATTTATGACCTGTTTGACTACAGAGTTCACGGGAACAACTTGCTATTGCCGAATTTGCTCGTTCCTTATTGGTTATTCCCAAAACTCTTGCTGTGAATGCTGCTCAGGATTCAACTGATCTCGTTGCGAAACTTCGTGCATATCACAATTCCAGTCAAACTACTGTTGATCATGCTAACCTTAAATGGTATGTAAAGACCAAACAAAACCTCAAACATACACTATCAATTTTCTAACAATTTTTATCAAAAATATTTACTTATTTTCGATTTTCCTAACTGATATTTGACCGTTTTTAGTAGCATTATCAACTAAATTAAATTATATCGATATATTTTTTCTTAAAAATAACTATAATGAACTTTTAACATTTTAAAAAAATAAATTTTTTGTGAAGCTTGTTTTTACTTAAACTATATCATAAAATAAAAGTTATTTCTTCTATAAATTAATATCTGATTATAGGGTTGGTCTAGATCTCATTGAAGGTGCTGTTAAAGATAATAAGAAAGCAGGAGTATTGGAACCTGCAATTTCTAAAATCAAATCATTGAAGTTTGCGACAGAAGCAGCTATTACAATTCTTCGAATTGACGATATGATTAAACTAGACCCAGAACCAAAACGTGGTAAATCTTACGGAGACGCAATGGCTGCCGGTGAATTAGAAGATTAAAATTCATGAAGAAAAATTTTCTTATAACTTTTTCAAAAAAAAACTCATCCTATTAATTTTTCATATTTCTATTCCAAAAAATAGAATTATACTCTTAATATTTCTTCAATGAAAAATGAAATAATTTTCAATTATGTAATAATTGTTATAATTATACCGACTTTAGTTAATAACAAAATTTATATTTACCATCCCAACTAATACTATGTATAAGGATTCACGAATAATAAATGAAGCTTTTTCACTAAAAGCAATAATGTATTTTGATTTTTAATTTTATTTTCCAAAATTATAGAATCTTAAATTAAAAAAAAAACCTTTTATTGTAAATTTTTTTTAACCATAATATATTACATTTATTAACGATTATCATCGATACTATTTGTCTATCTATTATCTAACTAAATTATTTCTATACTTTTATTAACCCTTAGCATAAATTTGCAATTTATGATAATTATGAAACAATTCCAACAATGCAAAAAAATTTTGTATTGTTATATCTTCATATTATAAAATATTATAAATATATATCACTTTAATTTTTTATGTCTAGTTTTTTGTCAGTAAGAATACTTTTCCCAACTTAACGTTTATCTTCAAGAAATGTATTGACTTCACTTAAAGCAAACAAAAAAAGACAATCTTGACATACTTCCCTGGCAGTCAAATATATTTTCAATATTAATGAAAGATAAATTATTTTTATTAAACACTGTTTCCATTTAGATTTGAGATAATAAATCCATTAATTAAAATCATTAAAAAATTATTGCTTTTAGAAACATAATTGTAAAAAGCAATAATATTTTGAGTTTTGAAAATTAATGTACTTATTTGCAAAAATCTGAATAGAAACTAATGTCAATAATGAGTAATAACAAATTTTTATTCATAAAAAGTGATATATATTTATCATGATAGTAATTGAATTTTTCAAAACTTTATTCTCAATATTAAAAATATAATTTTGTAAATTCATGAACTATTTTATAATAGGCGAGTAAATAAGGAAAAAACAAAAAAGAAAATTCAATAAAGCTATGTCAATACGGTAAAATATTTAAGCATTGTAATGCAAATAATTTGATTGATTGTTCATTATAATATGAGAAATTAAAGAATCCCAATCATGTTCTGTTTTCATACAAATATATTTTTTGTTAACTAGCGTGTATACTAATTTATTATTTAACGTTTCTTCATCACTTATAAAATATAAACGAAAATTAATAAATATATATATTTTTTGAGATTTTACTCAATATTTCATCAAAAGCATTATTTTAATGAAAAAGGATAAATATTTGTAGTAAATATAACTTAGATGTAAATTATAACTCATAATAATAATAGATAAAAAGTCTTCAACTGTGAAAAGAATCTGTTTTCGAAGAATCTTTTGTGTTATCTCGTAAATATAATAATAGTAGAAAATAATAATTGATGATTTATATTTTATAATGATGGATTTTCCCATTTGACGCCTTTGGTTATGTAAATATCCGCATAAGCACATGATTGATGTAATTCTAACACTTGGAATTTCTTCAAAACTAGGAGAGTATAGAATTTTTGAGCTGCCTGTAAGTCAGTAAACAAAAATGTACTTAGAATTGTCATTGTTTTCAAATAATTTATGATGAACACAAAATTGAATTGTAAAATTTACCTGTTTACGGACATTTCTAAAAGTCATTTCTCCCAACGTTAGCGTGTCTTTACTTTCTAATTTACTTTTGATCACATGATACATATGGCTTGCTCGTTTATTAAGAACACGTTCTTCAAATTGTTCATATGTTTCATCAACTTGTTGTTCTTCTTGCTACAATTTGAGAAGAAAAAAAATATAAAAACTGATTCTTCAATAATAAACTCTTTTTATTAATTTAACGATACTATAGTACTTACTGGACCAACAGACGGCGGAAATTCATAATCTTCGTGAGTCCAAGGAGTAGCAGGACCTCTTTCAGAAATTCCTCCTGGTGTAAGAGCAGGAGCTTGACCTTCTTCATACCCTACATAAAGTGGTTGTGCTTGATCATATCCCATATTTTCCATTTGCATTGAACTCGATGGTAAAGGTTCTTCAGAAGTAACTCCAAGAAGAGAACTAACTTCAGATGGTGGAATTTCAGGCATATCTGGGGTTTCTAGCGAAGAAGCTTCTATATGAGAAATTGAAGGTTCTGCTGGCATTGATATCTCTGAATGAAGAGGGGATTCTGATGGAGGTAGTGAAGGAGGAGGTGCAAGTGCAGATAGCTGCTCTAAAGGCTGTTCTTCTATTGATACTTGAGAAGGTCCAGGTGTTTTTAATGGTTCTTCATCAGCAGGAGCTTTTCTTTTACGGCTAAGCCGTTTACTAACAGTAGTTTGATCGAATGAAGGTTGTTCAACTTCAACATCACGCATTTGTTCAAGAGAAATACACTCTTCTTCACCAGTCATTCTTCCAAAATCTTCATGATCATAAGATTTACTAGTTAGATGTCGTTGATAATTTTTAAAGAGTACGCGAGCAGGAATCGGTCTTCCAGGAAGAGCAAATAATTTTTCAACTCCTCCAGTTTCCTTCCAATGCATCAGACGCTTGGTTGGAGGTGCAAGATCCAATGTAGTAACAATATCACTAGTATCTGATAATTGTGCTTTCATTTCTTCTCCAGATATATTCTTAACTTCATCAACAATAAGTTTACGTTTACGTTTAGCTTTGGTAAATCCTTTTAATGCTGATGTATCAACAGGTGCTAGTGCAAAACTTTCTTCTTCATCATGTAACAACGTTGTTTGATCTGCTCTTGGGATTTCTTCAGTAATATCCATTACATGTTCTTCTGGAATTGTAGGTGGAACAGGAGTAAATCGACGACTGGCTACACTTGTTCTACCTGGAAGTTCTCCTTCAGCTACAGGTGTCGTTGGTCTAGATTCTTCACTACTCATTCCACCCATTGGAGATGTTGGTCCACCGAAATGATCACCCATATCTTCGTCAGAATCATCATGAACCGAAGGCGCACTGACAGCTGCTGCGCCACCATCAGTTTGTTCAGCTAGTGCGCTTACTTCAGGTACAGGCACATCACCCATAGGAGCTTCATCGAAAAGTCCTCCTTCAAACAGTCCACCTGATATAATATCTTGTCCTAAACGTCCACCAAATCCATCATCTCTTATAGGCATATCTATATCCATTGGCTGGGCTGCTGAAGTTCCTGCTATAGGTTCTTTTTCTTTAGCTTCAAATGTAGATTCCATCCCAGGTTCAGCAAATAACATATGTGTTTGATCCAATGGAGTTTCCGTTGTAGAACCATGTCGTAATAATTCTGGTGGTTCTGCATCAAAACTCATATCTCCAAAACCCTGTTCATGCGTAACCAATGAGAGATTCCCATAATCTTCTCTCATTGTAATCTCTTCAACCCTAGATTGATTTAAACTAAATTGTGCTTCAATATCAACATCTTTTAGCTCTGGCATGGCTGTATCAAAATCATGAAATACTTCTGGTAATGTAATAGCTGTGACAGCAGCTTCTCTATGTTCCTCTGGCAAATCAACCATACCCGGACGAAATGCCATTTTTATTTTAACAAAAGCCTCATTACAATCAGCCAGTAGATATTTGGCTTTTCGAGAATATATACGAACAACTCCCAAAAGGAGATGTCCTGATGTTCTAAGAGCCATTTTAACCTGAACAAAAATTAAATTTATGCAATCAATGTTGTTTTATAATCTTATAGTAGAAAAAAAATAAATAATAAAAAAATTACCTTAGGTTGTAGGATACCGTCAACTGATTTTTCAATATTTGTTTCAAAAACATGAGCTTTTGTCAATTTTTTATCCCAGTGAGCTGCTAACCAAATACGGGCCAGTGGGCCCTTTTTGGCTAACACGAAATGAGCGTAAAACATGGTATATAATCACAGATATAAATTTTTCAACTAGAATAAAAAAAAATAATGTAAGCATTAATATTTAGGAATGAATTAAATAGTATAATAACAGAATTAAAAGTGTATAGTACATGTAGAGGTTAGTGCGAGAAGAGATATTTAAGTGATATTGTTGTCAAGTACAAAATTACTGCATTTCATCATTGAATTTGAAATCAATTTAAATATCAACCCATATTGTTTTATGTAAATAAAAAAATAAGTAAAATAAATAATTCATAATTGATAGAATTAAAACCCTAGAGTATGTTTAAATGTCAATATGGTGTTAATCTATAAAATTTGTCAACAAAAACTAATAAAATGGCGGCATTTAGTTGAGTTTTGGCGGTTAGATGTTATTTACACAAAAGCATCGTAAAATTTAAATAACTATGGATAAATACCTCAAATAAAATGGATGAATGAATTTATGTGATAATTCTTAATATCATTTTGTTCAAAAAATCGAATTTGTTAAGTAATTTATTCACACAATTGGACAACAACAAAATTCACGTATGGAACGAGCGGCGCGTCCTTATGATATTGCAGGGTTGCCACCCACGATGAAAAAAATAGTGTACATGGAAAGTAGCATGTAGCGCTACTTTTTGTACAAGATAGTACTCAATTTGAATTTTTCAAGTTGATGATTTAGGAACGTATTAAAGTTGTGTTATATTTTTCATGTACTTTGACGAATATTTTTATGTATGTAAAGATATTTTAGATGATCTATAATAAAAAAATAGTTACAATAAAATTTCTCAAGGTATTTTTCCACACATCAAAATATGTTAGATCATTATTATATTATTAATCGTTTTTTACAATTATTTGAATGAAATGTAATTGATTTATTCACTTTAACAACACTGAAATAAAAAGAATAGAATGGTAATAAAAAAATTGTTAACCGATTTAAGTACAATGATTAATTTGGAATGATAAACAGTCAAAATAATACTTTTATAAGATAAGAAATGTATACGTTAATCTAAAAATAACGAAATGATAATCAGATTAAATATATTTTATATTTATAAATAATATATTTTTCTATGAAAAAAAGTTATATGCCAAATCGAAAAAGTAAATAACTTCCCACTGGGAAGTTAATAATCCAATCATTCAATAAAATAATTTCAATCTTAGTAGCTGAGGAGTAAATGATTTAGAGTAAACTACCGTAAGTTTAACGTTTAAGAAAAATCAGACTTTGGTTATTATTTAAATAATAAACTTATATTGATGAGAGTTTTTGTAATATAGTAAAAAAAATATAATATCTTTAAATGTCAAGGATATAAAAATATATTTTCAATGTCAAATAAGTAGATATGTTTGGATCAAGTAATAAACATGTGTAGAATATCATCAAATCAGAGAGTCTTCTTTCTTTCGCATAACACAACTAACTTATATAGTCTATTTCGAAATATACATGTATTATTAATCCCACGATACGATAAGTACCATTCTCTATCTCTCTTCATTAAGTGGAATTTATACTACACATTAGACAAAGCTGTTGTGAAAGAATTATATACAAACACAGTTTGTCACACTGACACTGCTTTGATACTCAACAATCCCAACAATTTTCAATCAGTCTGCGTTGAGCAGTGCTACGAGACGTTAAAGTGATTTAGTGTGTTGTGATATAGGAGGAAGGATATTATATACGTAACAACTTTCTCCAATGTACTTGAGTGTCACGTTATACTCAATATCGACGTCAATTTATTGAAAATTTACTAACTGGAATTGACATATTTGTTAAAAAGAGGATTGAACTTTGTTTCTAAAATCCGACAGAAGAAATAGGTATGACATAGAGTAAGAATTTTTATAAATTGCAGTATTTAACTTTGTTTTTTTCAATTATTTTTGTTTCCATTTATATAACAATATATGAACAATAGTCATCGAAATGTATAGTTTTATTTTTTAAATGTAAATGTAAAAATAAAACTATACATCGTCGTCTAGATCTTTAGCAATGAAAATAGTAATTACTATCATAATAACTGTAATCTATATAGAAACATGTAAAAAGTACAATCACTATCAGTCGACTATTTTTTGATCGTGTAGCGGAAGACGCACATTTTTTATAACGCTATCGCGAGCTTCATGACATCATTCTGTACCGTAATATTAACAATAAACTCCATCAGTTTTCAGAAATAGAGAATTACTGATAAATAATATAACAAAAATTAATTCAAAAACTCAACGTTACGATTATTTTTAAAATTATCTTTTAACATTGAAAATACAATTAGTTTTATCAATACAAATTTCACATTCAGATAAATTCTAATGATTATAATTACTATTTAAAACATTCTTTTAAAAACCAATCATTTTTTAACAAAGCTAATCTCAACTATTATTTTTCAATAATAATCACTGGAAGAAAACTTTTAATATTTTTATCATTATTTTCAAATACTTCCATACAATACCTTATTGTCAGCATCTGTCAATATAAGCTTGTAATTATATTTAATTGATAAATTTATGAAGCTACAACATTCATCAATCAATCAATAAAAAGTTGATTTTTTTATTTATAATTATTCGTCTTGTATTTTCCGCAAATAAAGATGAGGAAACAGATAAAATTGTAATGAAAAATATCGTTCATCAATAGTAAGAAATTAATAATAAATAATATTAATGATATTAAATCTCTCAAGCTGATCATTTGCGCATTTACATCACTAGAGATTAACGTGAATAAGCTTTAGATATCATTCACCCAAACGTTATTATCGATCTCATCTTTTTTATTTTATCATTAATTTTTAAATGATGATATGCAAGTAATTGTGTCAACGCATTTCAATAATACATAGTATCAATATTATTTGAGTAGTCATGTCATAATTATATTGTAATTGTAAATATAAATAATTTATGAGAATTAACACAATGTTGATGGATAAAAGGAATAAAAATTAAAAGTAATTCTTTTTTTCATGTTAATACACTTTCTTCAGATAGATGTAAAAGTTTATATCACTATTTCCGTAACAAATAATGTCCTTTAATTGTTATTTCATCATATACACATTAGAGACTTAATATATGGTATGAATAAAAATAATTCTTATTAAATTCCACATTAATTCCAGTCCAATTTGTTAAATTTTTTGTATTTACAATTTAATATGTGTAAAAAAGAGTAAAGATTCTACTAGTGAGATTTTAATGTTTATTTCGTCCTTGACTCAATATATGCATGAGTATCGTAAATGTATGCGTTAGAATGGAGATTTTACACAGTCACACCTGTGTTTGTCTCACTACGTGACATCCATTACAAACAGTTTTAAATTCTGATGGGAGTTTTATTGGGAAATTTCTGAATTCTTAGTCTTATTTAGTCTTACAACTTGAAATTGAAAAATTTTACAAATCCAACATTTAGCTCCTTAAATACAGTATTAGGATTAAGTAATGGTGAAATACTGGAAAACGTTGTGTAAACTCCAGGGTCTTAGTGCACAGATTATATGTATTACTCTCTGACACTTTTATGTACAAATACAGACTGGGTACTAAACACTTGTACCGTGTGGAAATTCCCGGCAACAGGTCAATCGGTTAGGTGACTTGTTTGTCAGCACGAGAAATCCTCACGGAAAATACTTAGTTGTATACTGTACTCAGTTTGAATATTTATTCAACCTCTTGTCCACAACACTGAATTTTTTTTATTTATTATATTTTTATGTACTATAAAATATGACCTTTTGAAGGATAAATATTTAACGATTTTTTATATAAATATAAAAAATTTTCAGTCGACTATTTATCAATATTACTCATTTATTAGTTATTGCGGAAACTAGATGATTTGCGGCAATAATAAAAAAAAATTGTTGTTTTCATAGGAAGTGATAAGTGCATCATTATCATTAAATTTGCACAGTAAATTCTTTAATAATAAAAAAACAAAAAAGAAAAAATGAAGAATCGACGAAAATTTTTAATTTCCTCTTTTACATTTAGAAATAATTAATAAAGATTTATAAATTTTTATATAAAATCATCTACCTGAAAGCACAGTGCTGTATAGACTTCATATAAAACATAAACAATAAACAGAAGGTATGTTTTTCGGTGTGAACAATTTTGATGAAATAATTGTTTAATTTGTTAACAAAAAAAAGTATTATGACACTTTGTAAAAAATTTTTCAAAAGAAAAAAATCAATCATTTTTTATTTTTAAACGTGATTGTATGTTCACGTGTATCTGAGCGACATAGAACTATAGGCCATGTAGTGCAGGAATGGGCTATCGTCAAAGCTATTGTCAAAGTGATTGAGACTGAGTATCTGGATCACTTCTATTAATATAACTTTTATTGTGGGTCTTATTGTACGAGGATTATTTATCTTAACGGGTACTTTGACTCTACAAACGTAGCTCATGCGTAATGTATACAATTCTTAAGAAAAATCAGAAAATCATTCCTATAGTGAATTAAAGAAGATATTAATATCAAGAATCAAACTTTATGCTTTCTTATGAAGAAGAGTTATTTTTTATTGATTATTTATTTCATTAAAAAGGATAAAATATGTAAAAATTAGCCAATTGAATTATATTCTGTTATTTTTTATCGCATACATTTTCAGGAGTAATAACATGATTTTATTAATGATATCATGTCAAACTTTAAGTAGTCACATACAGAATTATATTTCTTCAATATTAAAAAGAAAAACCCCGCTTCAATGAAATCGGAAAAATACTATAGTACAATATAAATGCTATCGATTAATAATAATATATATACATAATTTTAATCCTTTCTACTCAGTAAAAGTAATGACTAATATCTAGGTGCATATTTACAAAATCTTGAAATCAGTAAATTATAAAAAAATTATTAATTTTTGCTTCATCTAACCTAAATATCCCTCATCAAAACCTAAATGATGGTAAATCTATGGATTATTTTATTACAACGACAATAAATTGAATATATATATTGTATAATATTTCAAAGACAAACCAATTCATGTTGACTAGTAAAGATATTAAACTAAATTTTTAGAGAAGATAAACTCGAATGAACAAATATTATTAGATATAAAATTGAATGAGTTTTTTTTTATTTATTAAATAAAAGAAGAAGTAATGATCAATGTTTATAAATTATGTTGCAGAGTCATTATGATGGAATAAATTGAATTCACTTAGCATAAGTTTGTGAGAAATAATTAGCCAACCATCGAGCTTCTACATCAACCCCCTCTCATCAGACAGGACAAACTTGAGGAAGGTACGCACCCCAGTCTTAAGTTACCTCTGAACGATGAGACTTTTGATCAGGTAGTTGACATTGAGCTGTGCTACAAGACACATCGGTCCAGTGCTCTATTCATCAAAAAGTGTTTCGTACATTTTGAGTTGTAATAAAACAACTTATTTACTCAGTAAATATTTTCATATTTGTTGGTTCAGTTTCATTGGAAATTTATCAATCGGTGAGTATCTTTCTTAATTATTCTATTGTTTCTATTAATTATAAATTTTCATAATTTATCAGGTTACAATCTTAACACATTTTAGAATGATCGATTATCAGCTATTAATAGTACGGTTTTTATTTGTAAAAATTAAACATTCGTGTAGTGAAATTTTATAGTGATATTGCAATGTACTATTACAGTCAACGAAGAATAAATTAATTCTACTTATTTTTAAAATCGAATCATTTCTCGTTAATCTAAATTTGGAATAAAATGGTAATTTAAAATAAACAAATTATATAAAGAACGAACCAGGATTAGGTTTTCTGTTAATTCATCAAAGAAAAAGGGATTGTAAATATCTAAATATTTTTGTTGTAGAGTCATTATGATGGATTGGATACGTTTTTTTATGATATTACTGGGCGTTTCCATATCATCCAAAGCATTTGAATGTCCACAAGGAGATGGCTGTGGACCATGTGAACTTTACTCAGCTGACAAATACCAAATACAATGTGGATTAAACAACAGTGATTATACCTTCAATGTAGAATTAAATATTGCGAATTATGTTTCTATCAGTTGTTTAACAAAAACAAATTGGTCAAAATTTCACCTTGGATCAAAGAATCCTATCAAAGGAATACATTCAATAGCAGTCTCCATGTGTCAACTTCCTGAAGGCAATAGATTTGGTACTATTGTTAAAAAATTGCTTGAAGAGCCAGTAAAAAGTTTGACTTTTTCTTCGTATGATAATATAACATCAACGTTGTCGCGAGAAACATTGAAAGGATTTGAAAACTTGACGAGATTGACATTGTCGAGCAATTCATTGACAAGCATTCCTGGAGATCTTCTCCATGATCTTTCAAATTTGACTCTTCTGAACCTTCGACAAAATAATCTGCACAATTTGCCAGTCAACTTTCTAAATACTCCAAAATTAAATACCCTCGAACTTGGAAGTAACAAATTAGAAGTCATCGAGGCTGGAATTTTCGATAAATTGACGAATTTAACACTACTTAATATATGGAATAACAACTTGAAGGAGATTCAACCGCATGCATTTGACAAACTTACTTCTGTCCAGTTTATTGATTTGCATATCAATAATTTGACTAATTTACCAAAGGATTTATTTAGTGCAAATAAAAAACTCAAAGTACTCAATTTATCACAAAACAACTTTTCTTCTGAATCTTTACCAAAAGACTTGTTACGAAATAACTTCCTTTTGGAAAATTTTACTATGATTCAAAACAAACGAAATATCACGACTTTGCCTGAAGGATTTTTTGAAAATCTTACCGGATTAATGAATCTAAAATTGTCTAAAATCGGCTTACTGTTTATACCTGAAAATTTATTTTGGGGATCAACTGAAATACAAACATTGCATCTGGACAGAAATTATCTTCAAACTATTCCACCGAATTTTTTCAAAGATTGTAGCAATTTGAAGTCACTTATTTTGAATTTTAATGAATTGTCTGATCTACCGGATAATGTTTTCTCAACATTAAAAAAACTTGAAGTATTGGATTTGTCTAAAAATCACATCACAACTATTTCCACGTAAGTTATAACAAAAGTTCTTTTTAATTTATCAGTAGTATAACAATTATATTTTCCCTGAAGTTATAACTAATTCTTTCCTTTCATTAATTTAGAAATTTATTAAATGGTTTATCTTCTCTACGTGTGATTAAAATGGAACGAAATGGACTGATGACAATCGATCCAACAGCTTTCCAAAGTTTACAAAATCTTCGAGTGGCGCACTTTTCACACAACAGTTTAACATTAAAACCGAAAATTATGACATATGTTGACAAATATGGATCGACTTCACCATTCCACCTTTGTCAAGATACTTTGGAGGAACTTTATATTGATCATAATAATATCACTGATGTCTTTTTTGATTGGATCACCTCAACTCATCTCCGAACGTTGAACTTGGCCAATAATGATCTTCATTTTTTAGAGGTAAAATATAACGATTATGTTTGTCGTCGTAAAATAAGAATCGATGATCAACGTATTTTTTTTTATTACAGACATCCGATCTCCAGTTCTTATCGAACAAAATCGAAGTAGATATGACAAATAACAAAATTCAAAGTATTTTCCTTCGACACGCAGAAAAATTAGCTGACGTCCAACGATTTCCTCGCAATGTATTTATAAATATTCAAAACAATCCTATAAGTTGTGACTGTAATCTGTATGACTTGTTGCGGTATATTGAAGGAGATATTCATCCATATGTACAAAATCTTTTCAGTCTAAAAGTAGATAATCTCAAGTGTGACCAACCTGCATCACTAAAAGGTATAGAGATCAGCCATTTAAAATCTCGATCTTTGACATGCGAAATAATAGAATCACCAAGAGACAACTTATCATGTCCACAAAACTGCACATGTATGAAGAGACCATCAGATAAATCGATTTTAATTGATTGTTCTTATCGTGGATTAACCGTAGCTCCAGAGCCACTCCATGTTCCAGCTGGACGTCGTGTAGAAATGAATTTGATTGGAAATCATCTTACAACAATGCCATCATTAACCCAATCAGGATATGATCAAGTTACTGTGCTATCTCTCAATAAGAATAGTATTTCACAAATTTCTGCGAATGCTACATCAGAGAAATTGGAATCATTATATTTAGATAATAATAAGCTGGAGCGTATTGATAATCAAGTCTTAGAATTATGGAAAAATTCAACAAAATTAACAAATCTTTCTCTCCAGTATAATCCATTGATATGTGATTGTAATGCGCATAATTTGGTAAAATTCATCCAAACAATGAGAATAAAGATTCCTGAACTTCAAGACGTAACGTGTGTTGAAACAGATGCATTCATTTTTGAAATGACCCCTGAAGAATTATGCCCGATAATACTTGACTGGATAATTGGGCTCTCCATCGGTGTAGCATTAATTGGAATGGTAATAGGACTTCTTATTGCACTGAGTTACCGGTATCAACATGAAATAAAAGTTTGGTTGTATGCCCATCAATCGTGTATGTGGTTTGTCACCGAAGAAGAACTTGATAAAGATAAACTTTTTGATGCTTTTATAAGTTTTTCACAAAAAGATGAGGAATTTGTTACCAAAGAATTAGTTCCTAAACTAGAAGAGGGGCCAAAGCCATTTAAATTATGCGTACATTACAGAGATTGGAAAGCCGGTGAATTTATTCCTAAACAAATTGCTCGATCTATTGAGGATTCACGAAGAACTGTTGTTGTTTTATCTCCAAACTTTTTAGAGAGTGTTTGGGGACGATTAGAATTCCGTGCTGCTCATCGTCAAGCTCTCAATGAAGGTAGAGCCCGAGTCATTGTTATTTTGTATGGAGATATTGGGTTGACCGAAAATTTGGATCCTGAGCTAAAAGCGTATCTTAATATGAATACGTATGTTCGATGGGGAGATCCATGGTTTTGGGAAAAGTTGCGATATGCGTTACCACATGCAACAGATGTCATTAAAAAAAAGAGAAACCATGAAATTAAAACTATCTATGAGACTCATTTCCCAACAATTAGTCTTAATACTGATAAAAGTGAATTAATTCAGGTTAATGGAATTTTCCCTAGTGCTCCTTCACCTCCAACATCAACTCCTCCCGCTGATTCGATAAAAACTTTCATTAATATAGAAAGTTAAAGTTTTACAGCAAATGTTTTGCTGTACATATACTGTAAATATCATTCATGATCATCTGTTTACGCCATATTTGACAATTTTACACATATGCACCATTTATTTATTTATGTATTCCATTATTATCTATTAAATAATCAATCATTGAATCGAGAAAAAAGTGAGGTTTAATACTCATAATACTGAATTTACATATAAATGGATTGTTCATAAAGTTATGAATATTAATTCCAATTACTCAGAGTTTTTATTTCAAATATGAACATAAGACTGAATTGATATTAAGACATTTCATAAGTAATAATCTATACTGTAAATCATTCATTATCATCAACTGTAGAATTAAATTTTTACGATAGCAAATACTGTTTGAATATAAACTTGAAGATAATAATTTATTATTAACTTTTTTTATTAGTCAATATGCGAATTTGTCATATTAGATAAAAAAAAAATATTATGTACACTTATGTAATATATAAATAAAAACTTTTTTAATATGAAGTATAGATGTTGTTGGATTTTTTTATGTACTGATTGACTTTTAATTATGTTCAGCAGCGTGAAACTATTGATGTATGTATAAATATATATATATATATCTGTTGGCCTATGAATATGGAGATTTTTTTATAGTATACAACCTACCATGAGCCATTTTAGTAGATTTATCAGACACCTGACAATGAATTTTGATCAATAAAGATCTAAGAGAACAGTTTTGTCACCGAAAATCTTGAAATATTCTTAACATAATTGTCAACTTTCCATTCTGAACTTATTTTACTTCGGTTGATTTTCTAAATGTGAAATTTTGTTATATCTTTACGTTTTGAGACATTTAAAAGCATATGCGAATGTATGTTAATAGATATACGTAAGTAGATATGTCAGGTTTTTTCGCGTTATATTAAAAAAAACTAAAATAATGAGTCAAATGAATGAGAAGTTTGTCATCAGGACACAAGGTAAGCTCAGACCCATTTTTTTAATTACTCGTTGACAAGATGTTTTGCATATTTAAAGTGACTGATTTTTGAAACAAATAGTAATAATAGAGAGCTATAAATTTTGATCAGAAGCAAAAATTATAATAGAAATATTTTTTTAATTTTAAAATGGGCTTTTGTATTAGTTTGTACAGACGAGAGGAAAAAATTAAGTAGTACCCTATCTTAGGTATGGACAAGCTGGGCAATAAACCATTCTCCTCATATATATCTTAGATATATTCGGAAGTTTCGAAAAAGTAAATGAACCTGTATCTACCCTAATGTCCATATTTTATGGATGTCCTTTTTCATTACCCTTGGAATAAAATTCTCTTAGCATAAGATGCATCAACAAAAGCTATAATTTAGATAATCTGAACTTACTACTAAAACTGAGTTGAAAATGGAAAATTTTTCAAATGATTATTACACACCATAATCGGTAAAAATGTCTTATATTTAAATTTTCTGTCGTAAAATTTAAACATACATATTTTTTTAATAAAACTTTTTGAATGAAAACTAGTTATATGGTTGTAAATTTTAAAATAATTTTAGTTCAAAAACTATGATTGTATCAGGGACAACAGCTTAACCTTGTGCTATGCATTATTATATAAGTGACAGAGAAAGGTTACTATAATCTAGAAAATCCCCGACAGACGAGACTGGGAGAACCCAAGAGCCCCCAGATAATCATTACTAATAAGTAAATATGTAAGTAATGAAATTTCAGGCAAGCAAAAGCTTTTTATGAAATGGTAAGAATGCATCGTTATTTAAAACTTATTAGAAATCTCTAATATATTAGAACAAATGTGTGTATAAACGTGTGTATCAACGAGCTATTACTAAATATTGGTTTTCTACGTTTTTTAAAAAAAACTATATCAACTTATGTCGAATTTCAAATTGTAAACCTAACGTTGAAAAATTATAACAGAAACTCTGTCATTCTTCAAAATTTAATTCCTGGATATATTTATAATTAATCAGTGTTCAATTACACAATTGTTGTTAAACATAATGAAAACTAAAAAATTAAAAAGAATCACGATGAAAAGTTTTCTAAATTTGAAATAAAATGTATCAAATTTGTGATGTATCATATTATCTGCAAACTATTTTAAAAAGTAGTTTTTATTTAAATTGAGTATTCTTCATTCGTTAATGATGTTTTTCTAAATACAAATATAAATATAAAGAAAGGCGATTGAAAATGGGCTTGTAAATGGGGAGAGGACATTGCAAAATCGATTAAAAATTATATTATCAAAATAATTTCATACGAAGAAGTTAATAAATTTAAAAATACATCTTTTGAACATCTTATTATGAAAGAAGTTGAATTTATTTTAAAATAAATGTATTTAATTTCGATTATTGAAAACTTTATCCATATTACATTTTAATACAATAATAACTTATCAAAATTCAACTGGATGAGTGTAACTTGAAATATTCAATTTGAACGAATCCAACAATATTTTTCAAATAAATTGAATTCACTTAGCATAAGTTTGTGAGAAATAATTAGCCAACCATCGAGCTTCTACATCAACCCCCTCCCATCAGACAGGACAAACTTGAGGAAGGTACGCACCCCAGTCTTAAGTTACCTCTGAACGATGAGACTTTTGATCAGGTAGTTGACATTGAGCTGTGCTACAAGACACATCGGTCCAGTGCTCTATTCATCAAAGAGTGTTTCGTACATTTTGAGTTGTAATAAAACATCTTATTTACTCAGTAAATATTTTCATATTTGTTGGTTCAGTTTCATTGGAAATTTATCAATCGGTGAGTATCTTTCTTAATTATTCTATTGTTTCTATTAATTATAAATTTTCATAATTTATCAGGTTACAATCTTAACACATTTTAGAATGATCGATTATCAGCCATTAATAGTACGGTTTTTATTTGTAAAATACATCTTCATGTAAAGAGTAATAAAATGAAAATCATCTCCAACACAATTGTTCGGAAACCGTGGCAAGGAAGAAAATAAATTGAATTAACGCTTGTAATTTATTTTTGTAGATAAAATATTGTTCATAGTGTTTGTTTTCCCGACCGATGAAATATTTAAAACTTTAGGTTGCATAATTAAATTAAAAACAATGAATGACAATAACTTCATCTAAAAATGCCTTTGATATGAATTTTGTTAATATTAAAGATTATAAACAAAACATTTTACATTCGTATTTGTTATTTGTAGGGTTGCGAAAATGAATTGGCTGTTGTTGACAATAATATTCCAGTTGGCAATATCAAGATCTTATAGAACGCATTGTCCGAAAGGAGGAACTTGCGGACCGTGTGAACTCCGTTCAGCAAACAAGTATAAAATAATCTGTGATCTTTTTGAATCTGATACTGCGTTCGATGTCGACTTCAAGTTAAACGAATTCGTCACCATCACCTGCTTAAATGATGCTGATTTGGCAGAGTTTGAACTCGGATCAGAAAAAAAACTTGCAGAAATTGACACAATTATAATCTCCTTATGTCAACTTCCCGACGGAAAAAATCTTACCACCATTGCCAAGACATTGCTTGAAGAGCCAGTAAAAAGTTTGACTTTTTCTTCGTATGATAATATAACATCAACGTTGTCGCGAGAAACATTGAAAGGATTTGAAAACTTGACGAGATTGACATTGTCGAGCAATTCATTGACAAGCATTCCTGGAGATCTTCTCCATGATCTTTCAAATTTGACTCTTCTGAACCTTCGACAAAATAATCTGCACAATTTGCCAGTCAACTTTCTAAATACTCCAAAATTAAATACCCTCGAACTTGGAAGTAACAAATTAGAAGTCATCGAGGCTGGAATTTTCGATAAATTGACGAATTTAACACTACTTAATATATGGAATAACAACTTGAAGGAGATTCAACCGCATGCATTTGACAAACTTACTTCTGTCCAGTTTATTGATTTGCATATCAATAATTTGACTAATTTACCAAAGGATTTATTTAGTGCAAATAAAAAACTCAAAGTACTCAATTTATCACAAAACAACTTTTCTTCTGAATCTTTACCAAAAGACTTGTTACGAAATAACTTCCTTTTGGAAAATTTTACTATGATTCAAAACAAACGAAATATCACGACTTTGCCTGAAGGATTTTTTGAAAATCTTACCGGATTAATGAATCTAAAATTGTCTAAAATCGGCTTACTGTTTATACCTGAAAATTTATTTTGGGGATCAACTGAAATACAAACATTGCATCTGGACAGAAATTATCTTCAAACTATTCCACCGAATTTTTTCAAAGATTGTAGCAATTTGAAGTCACTTATTTTGAATTTTAATGAATTGTCTGATCTACCGGATAATGTTTTCTCAACATTAAAAAAACTTGAAGTATTGGATTTGTCTAAAAATCACATCACAACTATTTCCACGTAAGTAACATTGAATTATTTCGTTGTATTATTGTTTCAATATAAAAACATATTTTGTAATTTTTAAGAATGTCTGTTTTACCACGTTAAAATTTCGTTTATAGAAAGCTTCTGAATAGATTGTCTTCTTTACGTGCGATTAAAATGGAGCATAATGGCTTAATGACGATTGATCCAAAAGCATTCCAAAACTTAAACAGTTTGCAATTTGCACATTTTTCATATAACAATTTGACACTAAAATCACCTGTTATAACAAATATTGACGAGCACAGATTGATTTCTCCATTTCACTTCTGCCAAGATACTCTAGAAGAACTTTTCATTGATCATAATAATATTACTGAAGTATTTTCCGACTGGACCACAGCACCACGTCTTCGAACTCTTAATTTGGCTTATAACCAACTTTATTATTTACAAGTGAGCTATATAATTTTTTATCGTTATATGAAACATGATATGTAGAGAATGTAAGAAAAAAATTAATAAATACTTTTAATTTATTTCAGATATCAAACCTCCGATTTTCTTCAGATATGATCGAAGTAGACATGACACATAACAAAATCTATACTATTTACTTTCAAGACATTGAAGCATCGGCTGAAGCCCAAGACATTTCTCGTAAGGTCATTATTAATGTGCAAAACAATCCCATCAGTTGTGACTGTAATCTGTATGACTTGTTGCGGTATATTGAAGGAAAATTTCATCCGAATATTCGACATTTATACAATCTGAAAGTCGATAATCTAAAATGCCATAGACCTGAGCGACTGAAAGATGTTGGAATCGTCTATCTGAAATCTCGATCTTTGACATGCGAAATAATAGAATCACCAAGAGACAACTTATCATGTCCACAAAACTGCACATGTATGAAGAGACCATCAGATAAATCGATTTTAATTGATTGTTCTTATCGTGGATTAACCGTAGCTCCAGAGCCACTCCATGTTCCAGCTGGACGTCGTGTAGAAATGAATTTGATTGGAAATCATCTTACAACAATGCCATCATTAACCCAATCAGGATATGATCAAGTTACTGTGCTATCTCTCAATAAGAATAGTATTTCACAAATTTCTGCGAATGCTACATCAGAGAAATTGGAATCATTATATTTAGATAATAATAAGCTGGAGCGTATTGATAATCAAGTCTTAGAATTATGGAAAAATTCAACAAAATTAACAAATCTTTCTCTCCAGTATAATCCATTGATATGTGATTGTAATGCGCATAATTTGGTAAAATTCATCCAAACAATGAGAATAAAGATTCCTGAACTTCAAGACGTAACGTGTGTTGAAACAGATGCATTCATTTTTGAAATGACCCCTGAAGAATTATGCCCGATAATACTTGACTGGATAATTGGGCTCTCCATCGGTGTAGCATTAATTGGAATGGTAATAGGACTTCTTATTGCACTGAGTTACCGGTATCAACATGAAATAAAAGTTTGGTTGTATGCCCATCAATCGTGTATGTGGTTTGTCACCGAAGAAGAACTTGATAAAGATAAACTTTTTGATGCTTTTATAAGTTTTTCACAAAAAGATGAGGAATTTGTTACCAAAGAATTAGTTCCTAAACTAGAAGAGGGGCCAAAGCCATTTAAATTATGCGTACATTACAGAGATTGGAAAGCCGGTGAATTTATTCCTAAACAAATTGCTCGATCTATTGAGGATTCACGAAGAACTGTTGTTGTTTTATCTCCAAACTTTTTAGAGAGTGTTTGGGGACGATTAGAATTCCGTGCTGCTCATCGTCAAGCTCTCAATGAAGGTAGAGCCCGAGTCATTGTTATTTTGTATGGAGATATTGGGTTGACCGAAAATTTGGATCCTGAGCTAAAAGCGTATCTTAATATGAATACGTATGTTCGATGGGGAGATCCATGGTTTTGGGAAAAGTTGCGATATGCGTTACCACATGCAACAGATGTCATTAAAAAAAAGAGAAACCATGAAATTAAAACTATCTATGAGACTCATTTCCCAACAATTAGTCTTAATACTGATAAAAGTGAATTAATTCAGGTTAATGGAATTTTCCCTAGTGCTCCTTCACCTCCAACATCAACTCCTCCCGCTGATTCGATAAAAACTTTCATTAATATAGAAAGTTAAAGTTTTACAGCAAATGTTTTGCTGTACATATACTGTAAATATCATTCATGATCATCTGTTTACGCCATATTTGACAATTTTACACATATGCACCATTTATTTATTTATGTATTCCATTATTATCTATTAAATAATCAATCATTGAATCGAGAAAAAAGTGAGGTTTAATACTCATAATACTGAATTTACATATAAATGGATTGTTCATAAAGTTATGAATATTAATTCCAATTACTCAGAGTTTTTATTTCAAATATGAACATAAGACTGAATTGATATTAAGACATTTCATAAGTAATAATCTATACTGTAAATCATTCATTATCATCAACTGTAGAATTAAATTTTTACGATTTCACATGAGGAAATATGTACACTTGAATGTTATATAAATAAAAACTCTTTCAATACAAGATACAATTTTTTTTTTATTTCATTATATTTTCTGTTTCATGCACTGACTAACTTGAAATTTTGCTCTGCATTTTGATTCTAGTAGTTTGAGAATATATTGAAAAAATAATATAATATTTTAGTAGTTTTCAGAAATAATTTCTACAAATATTTAGTTGGAGAAAACTAATATCGATATTACGACATACAATAAATAATATGAGTAATATAGACTAGAACTGAACCTAAAAAAAATCCTATTGCATTTAGATAAAGTTTCGAAAATGCTCACGCAGGAAAATATATTTCTGATAATAAAGTAGATTATTTGACGATGCATAATTTTTTTTTGTTTTTATTAAAATGAAGGAAAATGAATTAATCTAAGCTTTAGAAGTTTCATTTTGATGAAATGAGAGTTAACAGTAGTTATGATATAATAGTATTTTTCCAAATTAATAAAATTTTTAAGAATTTACGAAAAATAACTAACAAGATTTATTTCTCAATTGCAGAAGTCATGGAAAGATTTTTTTTTTGATATCTAGATGCACAGGTAATAAATAAATTTTATTCATTCTCATAGTCGTAATAAATCATCATCACTGTCTTCTGATTGACAGCGTGTATCGGGCGCATCCAGTAATGAATCCATTTCTGGACCGGTATTGATCTATAATTTATATAGTTTAAAAATTAAATCAATCTATATGAAGTTTATAATTATTTTTATTAATGAAACTGAATGGTACAAAAATTCATTATATGTTTCAAATTGAATGATGATTGCTGACTACTTAAATAATTCATATGATAATTATAAAATTGCATAAAACTCAAAAATGGTTAATGTTATTCAGACCAAAATGCAATAAAAAAGATACTTTAAAGAATAATAATCACAAATCAAAAGATGTCTTCAACCAACCCCTGAAATAGAATAGAATAAAACCAAAATAAAAAATACATTTTAAAAATTAGCAAACAAAAAAAAAAAGAAATGAAAATGTAAAGAATGTAGCAACACTCACCATGCTTGCAAAAAATATTAATGAATTGTGTTAATGATCGAATAGTAAATCATTCCTATGCAAGTTTATTTAAATTATATAGAGAACCATTATCTTCTCTTAGTGTTACCACCTTATGATACAAGGCTTATATAAGCATGAAAAATAATTGCATAAACACTTACAACGAGAATAGTCATTCATTCTATTCTCAATATCAACATGCATGAATAAAAAGTGAATAAATACCTTAGAATACTGCATACGAATGTTCGATTTTTTAAACCATCGTGAACAACACGAAGAATTAATACATCCTCTCACTCGTGAATTTAGTAAGTAAAGTACCACAAATGATCCACATATAGCAAGTAAGACACTAATTGTTACTACGGAAACTTAAAACAAATTAAGCTGGGTCAAATAGAGAATTTATTTTGTTATTAAAAGAATAAAAAATCAAATAATTATGAATATATCTATAAATATTTAGATATTTTTACAGCATGATACTTACCATAAACCGTTTCATTAGACTCATCAATTATATCAGGTGCTTTTGAACTTTCAAGTGGAATAGTAGATGTAGAGGATATAGATTCATTGATTATTTTTTTTTTGTTTCGATCTAATTCAGAGAATTTAGTTTTAGGTATTTCTGTTTGTTCTTCAGGTAGCAAATACTGAAACATTGAAATACAAGTCTTCATATTTTAGGCATCTGATAATAAATTTTAATTGATTGAGATAGATCGCCATTAGAAGGTATATTTTTAACACAATTATTTCAATAACTCATTGAAATTATGTTTGACACATTTGAAGTAATTAAGAAAATCTATTGTAATAATAAAGTATTATAAATCTTTATCAGAAATAATAATTATAATCGTAGGAATTAGTCTGATTATAAAATTAGCTTCTGTATCAGTTTAAATAGGTAATAGGAAAAAGGCATCAAACTTTTTAGAGAATGTTTGGGGACGATTAGAATTCCGTGCTGCTCATCGTCAAGCTCTCAATGAAGGTAGAGCCCGAGTCATTGTTATTTTGTATGGAGATATTGGGTTGACCGAAGATTTGGATTCTGAGCTAAAAGCGTATCTTAATATGAATACGTATGTTTGATGAGATAATTCATCTTTTTTAACCTGGTTAAACTCTGAATAAATGCTATTTTGTATTATATTCTCTAAATATTTTTTCTCTAAATGAAGCTTACTTAATTACGCACAGTTGTTATTCGTTTTACTCACTTTTATCGATTTGTCATTACAAACGAGTGACGTATTCCATTGAATAATAAGGTGGCATGCTTTATCTTCAACAATTGTTGGCACGTTTTTCGATTTATCACGTTCACAGCTAAAATGAATCAATGTGTAGCGACGATTCTGATTTCCACAAGGCGATCCATCTGTGTAATTGAGATATGGACCGTGAGCTGACCAGAAAAAGTTCGAATTAGCTTTTCCACCAATAATTAAGTTCTGAGCTGAACAAACACCTAAAAGTCCCATATAAATTTTTCGTCAGTCTTATGTAAACTGTCTTATCTCAATGTTTTAAATAATAACGTATAAATATTTCAAAAAATGCAAAAAACCAACCTGCATCTGCTTTAAGCACATCTGATTGGCAAGAATTATTTAGTAAGGGTGCACAAACTCTTAACTTATAATGGATTCCTCCAGAACTTTCCAAAATTTGGTCTTTTATCATTAACGATTTTAAATCATATCTATTAAAATTCAAAGGAAATAAAACTTCCAAGTTAATAGATGGAAAATAGCAGGAATTTTAAAACTGTTCTACGTACTTCATTTTAGTAACCGGATCAAAAGCTATACACTTATCTTCCATTTTAAATCTAGGTTTTTTTCTACACACGACATTAGTTTTCCATAATAAATTATATCGACAATTTCTTTCAACCCCAGTAAGTTCAATGGTATTATCCTAAAATAAAAGATTCATTTTTAACATTTATCGCTGAAAATATAGTTTTTCAAAATTTAATATAAATAAATTTTTTCTACTGATAAATTAATTTCTACTAAATTTCTATTATTGTTATAATTAGAATAGTGAAATAATTCAATTTACGCCTGATTCTTCATCGCAGATGAATGATATTAAAGTAAAAGCCGCTTGCCCTCGACACAAATTTCCATTCGTATTGTTCAATTGAATTTTATTTTTGTTTATAGTTGGTGAACTTACGTCGCCAAGATTAACATAGCTGTAAGATTATCTTTTGTATAAACATTTTTTAATTATTTTTTCTTGATTTACTCATACGTAAATTTATTAAATAATCATACCTCATATTGAGTGAATGTCTTAAACATACACTTGATGAATATCGGCAAACTGCTCCGTTACCATAAACTATTGGATGACAAACATTTAGAATAATTGAAGTATTTTCATCGATGGGAACTATGTAATTATCAGAATATTTCGTTAAACTGCTTAAATCATAAAAATTTCCAGCATCATCAGTAACAGTACAGTCAATGAAGGGTTTTTCCATTGGAGGCACACCACATGCTGAAATTGTTCTCCAAATCATTTCAATTGCACATTGGTCGTCCGACTACATCAACAATAGTAATAATGATAATTAAAATAAAAATCCGATTTAATGAGAATAGATTCAACTGTTTTAATGAATAGAAAGTTTTATATTATTTATTAATTACTTACATGGAAATGAATTTCGGGTTCTGAATTAGTTTTTTTAAAATCGCATATCATCACAATATTAAGCGTATAAGGTTTATCATTTTTACAGCTTTCGCCGATATAATTAAAAGTCATTTTACCATCGATATCATTGTACTGAGGTTTATTTCCTGATGAAGAAAAGATCGCTTAAATCTTCAAATCTTTAAGTATTATTTTTAAATCTATGTACCTAAAACTATTTCTTTATTTCCTCGATGAAAACAAACGTAAGCATGTCTATTATTGCATAAGTTTTTCAAAGGTTCTTTACACAATTGTAAACTGATTTTTTCTTTAGAATTTTTCAGGCGAATTACATGCTCTACATTTGATAAATTTGTAAAATCGAAGTCAATACCACCTATTTGATTATTTACGTATAAACATGGATCATGCTCATCAATTCGTGGAATTTCTTTTGACGAAGATTCCTACGATAGAAATACAAATGTAATTAATACACCGTACTAAATAAATAGTTAATTGTATAAAATCAATAATTGAGTTTAAGATAATTGAGTTGGCAAAAGAAACTGATATGTAAATGATAGAGGTTATTTCATACTTTTCTCAGAATTATATTACAAACTTTGCAGTGAAGTTCTAGGAATTATTTTCAGATAATACAGCTGTAAAGATTAATCATGCTACATATGCTATATATATATATATGTTAGTTATGTGTTTATTTTAATGTTATTCTGAATGTGCATATCAATTATTAATCTAAAATTTTACCTTGCTATAACAGAAATGTAGACAAATGAATATTGTAGCTGATGAGGAGAAAGTTTTTGAATACCACATAATTCCTTATTAATTACAATTTTTACTAATAAATTTTAGTTTTAATAAAGATTTTATTCATATTACTATACAGCTAGATTCACTTAAATTTACTTCTAAACACCTCTTACATGTCGATCTACACCGCCAATGATGTTTCAACCAATCAGAAACAATGAATCGAACAAAGGAAATGACGGTTTTACGAGTTGATCTAAAAAAATCGAAAACGTATGACAGTTATTATTAAACTAAGTTATTAAGATAAGTATGTCTACTGTTTCACAATAATGTTTAGTATTTGCTTTTTATTGTTAAAGTAATTTTTCAAAAATATTATGTAAATAAATTTCTATATAGAATTGCGTATTTTCAAGTACAATTCTGTATGATTGTTGATAATGGGTTCATAATTAAAGCTAGGTTATTTCCGACAAGATACTGACGCCATGATGGTATAATGGCAGCCATTTTCTAGGTTAGTTGTGAGCGTTGTCAGTGACGCACTGTGACGAATTGTGGTCGATAATCGGAGATTGAAGTAATTAAATATCATTTTTATAAACTTATTTTATTTTTTTATAATAATTATATTATTCTACTCTTTAAAATGATTATATTTATTAATTGTAATCCATTTTTTTAAATAATTCGAGTTTGAAAAAATGTGACTGCTAGCGTCAATTTGCTTGATTATTTATTGTTTTTGTAAACATTCAAGAGTTATCAAAATATATTTATTATCAAAAGATTACTTCACAATCATAAATTGATTTATAAGTTTCTTTTAGAAATACTAGAAACATGTCAAACGGTAACGGAGATCATGAAGAAGAAGGTTATGTGGTAAAGTTGAGGGGTTTGCCATGGTCTACTACGGTGGACGAAATCATGAAATTTTTTAGTGATTGCCGTATTTGCCATGGAAAAGCCGGAATTCATATGACTATGTCACGAGAGGGTCGTCCTAGCGGAGAAGCTTATATTGAAATGGAAACCGAAGAGGATATTGAAAAAGCTTGCAAACGTGACAGAGATCATATGGGACATCGTTACATTGAAGGTAAATGATCATGATGTGATTATATTTTAATCATAAAAATAATGGTTTCATCATAATACACTATTTTAGAAATTTATATCAACACTTTGTCAACTTATTGTCAACAAATTATCAACTAATTAATTTTGGTTTTATTTTCTGAATCGCACAGTTTTCAAAGCGAGAAGAAGTGAAATGGAATGGGTTGTAAAAAGAAGTGGTCTCAATCTAGAAAATGCAATGGATGATGGATGTGTTAGACTAAGAGGCTTACCTTTTGGTTGTTCTAAAGAAGAAATAGCACAATTTTTCTCAGGTATGATGGAACGATATTTTTGTGTACATAAAATATTTTTATCAAATTCAACCCATTAAGAACGTATCTTCTCAATTTCACTCCAAGTTAAAAATTCAATTCCAATAGTTTACATATTAAATTCGTAAATAATAATATTGTAAATGGTAACATTACTTAATTCACTGTGAAAAAGCCTTTTCAAAATCGATTTACTTTCAAATTGTAAATGTTTGAAATTGGTGTCTTGTAAGCAGCATGATTGCTTTTGACAATTAACTAATGGCCTAGATAAATTTAAAAAAGCTTAAGACTCATATAAAAAAGAATTATTATTAAGCTGGTTTGGTAATGCTGTTGATTTGTTTTGGATGTAATCACCAGTTTTTATATTTAATATTATTCAGAGAATACGATAGCATGTATAAATAAAAAGAGAATAAAAAATGTCATAATTTGACAATTGAGGAACCTTTTTCAGCAAATAAATTTAGAAATTATGAATAAATAATCAAAATAATTAGGCTTCCATTATTCCAACTTGCAACTGTTTTTTTTTAATCTAATGGGTATGTCGCTACAATATGGTTGTTTGATTATGTGTGGGTCAGGGTTGGAGATATTGCCGAACGGGATTTCGCTACCAACAGACAGCTACACGGGCCGCAGTACTGGGGAGGCTTACGTTCAATTTGTTAACAAAGATGTCGCGGAGCGCGCCCTTCAGAAACACAAGGAAAAGATAGGACACAGGTGGGGCACTGATTCTAGATGGGTTTGGGTATATTTATGATTTACCAATTTAACTTTCATTAAATGTAATTTAGTATTTATTACATCCTTACTTTGGTTACATAGGATATTATTATAAACATTATTAATTATTTTATATATACAAAATCTATTTTTTATGATTTATTATTCCATTTATTTTTTCTTCTGTTGGAAGTAAATTATTAAAGTATGTATCTAAGATGTTTAATATCGGTCGAAAGTAGATCATTTTGGTAAAAAAATAAGAGAAAAAGGTGTTGAAATAAGCAAAAAGTACTGTTGGCCCGACTGAAACCTCTGGGTGGGTGCCGGGCGGGTGGTACCCCCTTACATCGTCACCGAATCCCATGGGAGGTGGGTTGGGCTATCCAAAGGCTTTTCATCATGGATGGGTGGGCACTACTGAGGTAGTAAACACCACCAACATTATGATTATTTTGATGTAGCAACTGCTCTTTCAACATAAACGGTACATTATTCGAAAATTATCAGATTACTAAAAAAATAATGTCAACTATTTCATATTCTTTCGTTTTTTATTTTAAAAATAATACAAACTGTTTATCAGAACTTCAAAGTTGCTCAAATGAATCAAAAAATAAATAGAATTGATAACGAAAAAGTTTTTTATTTATTCGTTAGTAGTAGAGTCTCCTTTTGTACTTAGCGAATTATTTCATTAATATGGAATACATTTTTATAAACATTTGTATTACTGGATATAATTATTAAATTTAACTAATAATATAATTTCAGTATAAATTTCATTTTATTAAGTCATTGTCAATAACTAAAAATGGTCGTTTTATGTAGAAAGTGCATTTGTTCAAATAATATGTTATTAATGAAATTTTTATATGTATAATAATCAATTACAGAAGCTCAGTGAATCTAAAATATTTTATTACTGAATTTAAAGACTTATAATCATTTAAATTTCTATTTTTAATCTGAACGAATAATTACTAAATATCTGGAAATTATTTTAAATGTTAACTGAATATCAATTTTTACGTATAATATTTAATTCAACTACATTGTACATTAGTTTATAAAATAATTCATTTGACAGATATATCGAAATATTTCGGAGCAGTTTATCCGAAGTTCGTGCAAGTATTGGCCCAAAAATGCGAGGTGGTCCTATGGGCGGTGGATTCAATCAACGACCCGCACCTTATGATCAAAGAGATCGATTTGGTGGCATGAATCGTTTCAATAGCAACAATAGAAATGCTCGGAATAGAGGTACATTAACGTTATATAATTCTTCTATTATTAATGTTTATGACAAAATTTATTTGGTCATTTTTTCATGTTAAATGATTTAGATTTTGATGGTGGTCCATGGGGTAATTCAAATAACTTTGGATCTCGAGGAGGTGGCATGGGAATGAGAAATAATATGGATATGAAAGGTGGCAATTATCGAGGAAATAATGATAATTGGGGAGGAAATTCCGGAATACATTGCGTTCACATGAGAGGATTGCCTTTCAGAGCTACTGAACAAGATATTGCAGACGTAAGTTTATTTATTTATCTTAAATATTAATTTCTTTTGTTAAATAAATTTTTAATGACTATTATAAATTGACACTTTTCAAAAAAAAAAAAAAAAATGAAATAAATTTCTATTTTAGTTTTTTAGACCATTGATACCTGTGAATATTAGAATAATCCTTGAAAATAATGGAAGAGCATCAGGTGAAGCTGATGTAGAATTTGCAACTCATGAAGATGCTGTTAAAGCCATGTCCAAGGATAAAAGTCATATGTCTCATAGATACATTGAATTGTTTTTAAATTCATCAATCGGATCAGGAGGAATGTCGTTAGGTGGAATCGGCAATTTTTGTGGAGGTAATGTATATAAAAAAAAGTCAAGTTAAATCAGTATGTACCAAAAATATAAGTATCATCAATTTAAAGAAAAAATTCAACGTATATTTTTTAAATTTAATATTGATTAGAAAGTTCCTATTGAATTTACTGATAATAAATTAAATTGACCAAGTGATTTGAATCTTTCAATTTATGAGTCATAAAACATTAAAAATTTTTCATATGAACTATTTAAATATCTTTTTCTCATTAAAATTCACTATTATTCATTATGAATACTATTTTATTAAATTATAAAATAAATTAATCGATTGTTTCGATATTTTTTTTTTATGATTTATTCTGTTTTTAGGATTAGGAAACAATTTCAGGCCAGGATATTCTCCAAACAATCGTGGTTACAATAGTCAACTTGGTGGAAATAATTACAACAGTTTCTGAGACAGGTCTCACGGTTTTCACCAAGACAATCACTGATAAATTAATATTAAGAGAAATTTTCTAATATAACATTTCTTGTTGACAAATTGATTTATTTCTTGGTTTAGAAGTTAAAAAACAAAAATAATCATTTCAAGGTATTCATTTTCATTTATAACAAATACTAATGTAGTATAATAATAATGAGAAGATAAAATGATCTTCTAATTGTAAGAATTATACACTGTAATTCAAAACGTATATAAAGTATACGAAAACATCACAATACTATGACATAAAAAAAATGTTAAAATACTAAAAATAATGAAAAATAGAACGTATCATTAATAACTACAATACTTATATCAAAATATTCTCAGGCTTAAGTAATGAAACTTTTAATTGGTAGTTTTATTGAATACGTAAAATCAGTAAAGAACAATTGAAAGATTGCTTTTTGTAAAATCTATCATGATATAATAATTAAATGAAATTTTAATTGCTAAAATAAAGTAGTAAATATCATGAAATATAAATAACAACAGTCATGAAAACTTAAATGCCAAAGTTTTCAAAATATCATTCTAGTTTTTATTAAAAAAACTGTGTTTCTCAAAGGCGTTGAGTGCCAAGTGCGCAATCAATAAATTTTAAATATATTTTGTACAATAAAAAAATAAAATTTGACAAAATAGTTATTGAATTGATGGTTTAAGTTAATATTAATATCATTGAAATTTATATGGAAGTAAATTTTTGTGTATTGTATTTCGAAATGGTGATAATAAAAAGAAACTTCGAAATATAAACCATCTCGTTTAACTATTTCGATTCCATTTGGCAATAATTAATCAGTAAACTTAATATAACTAGTATTTATTTAAATGAGAGTGCACTGGTATGCATGAAGTGAAAGAATGTATGATAGAATCCAATCAGAGATATACAGTATAATGTAAGGCGAATAACGAGAAGAAGGGGAATACACTAGTCGAAGAACTAACCAATGGAAAATTTTTGTCAAATTTTACTTCGCTGTCATCAAGAAAAGTTACATCCACAACTGACATGTAGATAACAATATCATTTTAACAATGATAGAAGATAAGAATTATTAGCCGAAACATGCATTCAGTGGGATTAAAAGTTGTTAAACGGCCTCTAATCGTGATAAGAGTTTCTAGACGATAAGCAATTGAAGTATGTTCAATCATTTTACCATTTAGCTTGGTCTTTTAGTGAGTGTTTAAGTCAACTTTTAAAAATTTTGTATTATATACTGTTAATCAATGAACTAAAAAGTTTGTTTCAATTACTTTAAATACATTTAATTAAAGTGAAATGGTGAACAGCTGACAATGACTCACACAGGAGTTGACTGTCATTGAATTTAAAAATTATCTTCTATCAGTACACTTGAGTTCAGTTCAATGCCACTTTAAAGTAGAAACTATGAAGCTGTTTTAACATGATAATTGATGAAACTGAAGCCAAGGACGATTCATTCATATCATTAAACAGGTAAGACTGTTTTCGGACAAAAATAAAATAATTATTTTTTGGACATCAGTCTATTTTGTTACCAGAGATAAAAATACTTTACACACAATATGTGAGTAATTACATTTAATATTAAACTGAAAATAACATGAATTTGGAATTTTTTATTGTCTCTATTACTTACGTTTGTTTTTCTTTTCATTATTTTGCATTTGTTTCACAGATTTTTAAATAATTTATTTCAAAAAAAAAAAAAAACAAAATCATGATGATCAAAAATGAATACAGACGAAGTCGAAAATTATCTCGATATCATAATGCGCTTAAAAATCTTATTCCATTTCGTTTGGTAAAAACGTATGTATTAATTACTATTTTATAAATTGTTTGATGATATTACTAAATTGAGCATCAAAAAATTAAATTATTAAAAAAATAAAAAATATAATATTTATTCAGGTCAGATGAAGAAATGCCTATTGATAAAGCCGGGTTTTTTTCAACCATTTCTAATTCGTGGATATCTAAATATTTATGGATTTCATATCGTAAAGGTATTACTTTAGCTGATTTACCAAAACCTTCTCCTTTTGATACTGCCAATCATAATGCTAAAAGGTAATTAACATAATTCAATCATTTATTTGTTAGTAATTAATATTTATATACACACGTATCGAACGTAAGAAACAAGTTATTATTTAACTAGAAATCTTTATCATCTATTTTTTAGATTAGAATCGTTGTGGAATGATGAAGTAATTCAACATAGTTTAACCGGAGCTTCATTTTCCAGAGCAGCATGGAAATTTATTAGAACAAGAATATTTGTGGCTGCTCTCATGTTCAGTTGTTCAATAACTTTAGGATTTTTTGGACCTGTACTTATGTCTTCTTCAATTTATCTTAATATTTATTTACAAAAAATTTATATTATTTATGTAATACATAACAATCTTACAAATTATCAATCATAAATTCTATCACTACAGGCTTTAGTAATGAGGAGGATATTAGAGAATGTAGAATCTTCAGAGAAATCGATATCAACTGGATTAATGTGGGTATTTTTTTTGATGATTGCGGATATTTTGAAAATTTCATTCTTTAATTGGGGTTGGAACACTTGCTATAGAACTGGTTTAAGAATGAAGTCAGCTTTTATTACTATTATGTACAAAAAGCTCATAAAAACAAATAATATAAATAATAGGAATTCAGGCAAAGTATGTAAACTAAACTGATCGTTTATAAAACGAAAATAGAAATACTACTGATTGATATAAATTAAATCTTTCTTAAGCTGATTAATATGATGGCTAATGATGGACAAAGTGTCTATGATCTTTGTATATATATACCAATGATGGGTGCTGGATTAATTGTGACAATATTAATTTTTATCTATATTGTCCTTGTATTAAGTCCTATGGCATTGGTGGGATTTTCATTTTTCTTTTTATTTTATCCTCTTCAGGTAAATAATGATTAATTTTAGTAAACTATTTTATTTTAATTTTATAATAACAACGACGACAATTATTATTATCTTCAGTATTTAATATCTCGACTCAATGGTTACTTTAAGAAAAAAAGCATTCAATTATCTGACAAAAGAGTCTCTATTATAAATGAGATGTTGATGTGTATCAAGTTAATTAAAATGTACGCATGGGAGGATCCTTTTAGCATGAATCTTTTGGGTAAAAAGAAAACATTATTTTTTTTACATGCCATTTACAATAACAAAAAATTACATAAAAGCTCGATTTTTACGAATCCATTATTTATTTATGTATGAATAATAGATTATTTATAATTTTTATTGTTTAGAACTTCGTCAAAAAGAAAGAATTTGGCTAGAAAAAATGTGCATTACGAGGAGTTATGGTTCTTCTTTAACAAGTACACTTCCGATAATTGCCGGAATAATTACGTTTTCTGTCCACGTAGCCGGAGGTCATAGTTTAAATGCGGCTCAGGTAACATGAAACTATTGTTTGTTTAATAGTTAACATTTGTTCTTCTTATTTCATTATTTATTCAAAACAATAATTATTACTTAACTTTAAAGTTTTTCGAAAATTCATTGAAAATAATTATACAGATTTTGTATTATTTGATTGAAAATGTGAATTACAGGCTTTTCCGATCATAACAATTTTTATAAATCAAATGAAGAATTGTCTTTCAGCCTACAGAGAAGGACCAAGACAAATCATTGAAACTAATATTTCATTTGAACGAATGAAGGTTCTTTTAATAGTTTTTATTTTATGTTTTTACTTCTTTTTAGCTTACGGTTTATTATGCTTTCAATGAACAATCACATTAATTGAAGAATAAATTTACATTAATTTAGAAAATAACTTTTAACTTGGTAATTTTAAAAGTATAACTTTTAATTTTAGTAAAAATATCTTTTATATTAAAATATAATAGGATTTATAGTAGAAACACAATGTTGATTACACCAATAGTTACATCAGTATATAAATGATTATTACAAATAGTGTCAATTGTAGATACATTAATTACCTTATTTTCAGGTATTTCCAATCTTGCTACTTTTGAATTCGCAGGCTCGACACATGATTTCATTCTTTGAAGTGGCAATAACATCTATTATAAATGCAAGACTTTCTTTTACTAGAATAAAGGTGCTTAGTTTCATTAGTATTTATACTAAAGCAATAAGATTTATCTTTTCATTCTCGATAAATAAATTTTTGAGTTTTTCTTATTTATAAAACTAATTGAAAATAGATCCATTTCTCAATTTCATTTATTATTAATTTACTTAAAATCTTTAAAATGAATACCAGATCATACTCCATTAGATACTCTAAATGATGACATACTATTTTTTCTATTGACTTTGCAGAATTTTATACAGTCATGTCTTATCAAGTAAGCTTTATGCGCTTTGTTACAAGTGATGTCAAGATCAATGGTTCTATAAAGATATTAAAAATATATTATTCATATGCATGCATGACAGATAGCTAATATATTGTGAGTTGGCATAAATCTTTTTGTCATATTTTTAATAAAAAATCAATTTAATCTGAATAATATTTATGTACCATTCATTAAAGTATCATAAATTATTGACAAATTTCTCTTAGAATTATTTTTAATGAATCTCAATTTCATGACTACAATAAATATTTAAAATGATAGCATTTCGTTAATATTTACTGCAACAATTTAAGCTTTGTAAATACTTTTCACATAACAGCATCCAATAAAATATTTATCTTTTTGCTATCTACGAGCTTGCTTTCACAGTATTTGTACATTAGTAGTCAAAGTATCTTTAACATTAAAAATAAAATAACAATTTATTAGCAAATAAATTAGATGTTAATGTTAGCATTTAAAACATAAATTAATTCAAATTCTATTTTCGTAGAGTGTCTTGAGTATGGAAGAAAGTAACTGCGTTATTCAAAAGCCAATCGTGAAGTCTCAAGCGTTGTCGATTATGAATGGATCATTTGTTTGTGACTTCGATTCATCAGATTTGAAAATAGACATTGACTATAAGTAATTATTTTTAATTTATGAACCTATTATTTTTCTTTTAATCATTCAATTATTATATATTTTAACTCGTAGAAGATTGAAATCCAAAGATGAAAATCAAGACTTGGAAAAAAATGAAATAGAATCACTTATACCAAAACGTATTGAGATTTTAAGTGATATTAATTTAGAGATATCAAAGTCTAAGTTAATTGGAATTTGTGGTCATGTTGGATGTGGAAAAACTAGTCTTTTAAAAGCTGCCTTAGGTCAATTACGCATATCAACCGGTAAAGTCTTTAGAGACGGTACCTGTGCTTATGTTAGTCAACAAGCATGGATTTTAAATGCTACTTTTAGAGAAAATATTTTATTTGGTAATAAATTCGATGCTCAACGTTACTATGCAGCAATTGTTTTATGCTGTTTACAAGATGATTTAGATTCACTGCCTGCTGCTGATGAGACTGAAATTGGGGAACGTGGAGTTAATTTATCTGGTGGACAGAAGCAAAGAGTAGCACTCGCTAGAGCTTATTATGCTAATCAGTATGTTTTCCTTTTTTTTTGTAATATATCATATAAAACAGATTTATTTTTATAAGGTATTATTTTGATTTTATCAGTATATTTTTTTTTACTTTTCAGAGATATTTATTTTCTCGATGATCCATTTAGTGCAGTTGATGTCAATGTCGGATGGTATATTTTTGAAAATCTAATTCAAGATGCATTAAAAGACAAAACTATTATACTTGTTACCCATCAAATATCGGTTAGTAACTGTGTATATTACAAATATTAGTAGATTTTATTCACTTAATCTGCATTTTTATGATAATATATGAAATTAGTTCCAATTATTTATTTTTCTAGTATCTCAGTCGTTGTGATCAAATTTATATGATGAGTAATGGTCGTATTGTAGAGCAAGGTGATCATATATCATTGATTCAAGCTGGTAAAGAATATGCTTCAATGGTCAAAAATATTACCGCCAATTATAATTTAAATAATCATGAAAAGATGTTCAATAGAATGTCCAATGATTATTCAGATGATGATGATGATAGTAATAATGAATTGATTGTCAACGAAAATTATCAAACAGATACTAATGAAGAACTTAATGAGAATAAAAATATTGCTGGTAATTAATATTATTTAATACTTAATAATAAACTCGTGTATTTCAAATATAGACTTCAACTATATAACGGTAAATTAATAATAATTATAATTCATAGATGGAAAACTTATTGCACCAGAAAGAATGGAAGAAGGAACGATAAAATTACATACGTACCTTCTTTACATTAGTTCAATGGGTGGTTTTTTTATTGGTGCCATCGTATTAGCTAATGTTTTGTTGAATACTAGCTGTGTATTGTTTAGTAATTGGTGGTTAGCCTATTGGATCAAAGCTGGAAGTGGGGTAAGTGTTGAATATTATTATGACTACAAATAATCAATTTTATATAGTAAAAGAACTTTTTAAATTCAAATGAGAATTGAAAGAATAATATGTAGTTGTTTGTTTTTTTCAACAATCTCTAAATATTAGGGCGCTACTATTTTAGTTGGAAATGAAACCATTATCTCAAATAATATTTTAGACAACCCTGATCTAGGGTATTATCAAAGTATCTATGCAGCATGTATATTTGCTATCATAGGATCGAGTATTCTTCGAGGATTTACATTAACTCACGTTGCATTAAATGCATCATCTACATTACATAATAAATTATTTAAAATAATCCTCAATACAACAATGCAATTTTTTGAAATTACTCCAAAAGGACGAATACAAAATATTTTTAGTCGGGACATGAGCGATCGTAAGTGATATTTTTGTATTATTACAATACATACATGTAATCATTTGCATTAATCAATAGCAATATGACTACATTATTATCTTTTTTAGTTGATGGTTCACTACCTCTTGCTTTAGAAATTGTATTGCATAACATGTTCCATGGAATAATGAATGTTTTAATCATCTGTATTTTATTTCCTTACCTTATCATTCCCTTTATTTTCTTAAGTATTTTGTTTTACTTTCTTAGTAAAATATTCAGGTATTTAGTCCAATTTCAATTATTATTATAGTTCATAGTACCAAATAAAATATAAATTATATAAAAAATTAACGTCCGTATTCGTTAAATAAAATTTTAAGAAAGCAAATTATTTAAATTTTTTAGGAAAACTTTAAGAGATTTACAACGTCATGAAAGCACAACTAGATCTCCTATTTTTAGTTTTGCAACGACAACACTACAAGGACTAGATACTATCCATGCATTTAAAAAAGAAAAAGATTTTGTTGGACGGTAAAACGAATATTTTTCTATTACACAATCATGATAAACGAAACTTTTTATTTTTTATGATAATTTTATTTTAGATTTTATGGATTTATTGATGTAAATGGAACATGTGATTTTATGTCCAATGTATTGATACGATGGGCTGCTGTAAGATTTGATGTTCTTACAATCATTGCTTATGTATGTACTGGGCTAGTAATAATTTTTTTAAAAGATGATGTCTCACCAGCGATGGCAGGGCTAGCATTATCTTTTTGTGGTCAAATGACTGGTTTTTTACAATACACAATTCGAGTATTATCTCAAACAGAATTAAAATTCATTGGTGTTGAGAAAATAGGCTTTTATTTAAGAGTAAGTATTGCCCAGAAAATTATTAATATTTTCATCAAAAATTGAATAATAATAAAATAAATTTTTTAGATTCTAAAAAACGAGGATGATTATACAAAACCATCATCAATTGTACCAAATAACAATTGGCCTAATAATGGCATAATAGAATTTAAAAATGTTTCATTGAAATATCAGCCAACTACTCCGACCATTTTAAATGATATTTCATTCCGAGTAAATTCGGGAGAAAAATTAGGTATATGAAATTCCATATTTGGAACTAAAATATAATAAAAATGAATGTTAATGGTATTTGTCTTAAATCCATTTTTATAGGAATTGTTGGAAGAACAGGTTCAGGAAAAAGTTCTTTAATAATTGCATTATTTAGACTAGTAGAAATTTCAACAGGATCTATATTAGTTGATGATATTGATATTTCAAATATTCATCTTCAAAAATTAAGAGACAAATTATGTATCATACCTCAAGATCCTATGATTTTTAGTGGAACAATAAGATATAATTTGGATCCATGGAAAATCAAAACAGATGAAGAACTTTGGATTGCTCTTGAAAAGACTAAATTAAAGAATAAAGTTATTTCTATGCCCGGTCAGTTAGACGCGATTGTAGATTCTAGTGGATCTAATTTGAGTATTGGTGAATGCCAATTATTTTGTTTAGCTCGAGCTCTTTTACGGAAAAATAAAATTTTAATTTTAGATGAAGCTACTGCTTCTGTAGATCCTCAAACAGAAACTCTTGTACAAACAACAATTCAAGAAACATTCTCTGACTGTACAGTGTTGATTATTGCTCATCGATTACAGAATGTTTTATCGTGTGATCGTATACTTGTTCTGAAAGCTGGAAAAATTGCAGAAATCAATACACCAGCTCAACTGCTCGAAAATAAAAATTCTGAATTTTCAAAGATGATAATTGCTTCTGAAAACAATCCCAATGCTTATTAATTGTTAAAATGTGATTCAATACAATAAAAATCAATTTGGTGAAAATACTAGATAATTTATTAATTTTAATCTATATTTTGTTTAAATATATGTATACTATTTTTTGTAAATATAAAAGATAAAAAATAGGTCTGAGCATACTTTGTCTGTGCTAACACGACGAACTTCCCATTAGTAATTGTTTATAACAAATTTAAATAGTTGTAATCAATGTTTGTTGAAAACATCCAAATACATGTGATATACACATTACTTATTCAATAAATACAATTTTTAATTGTTTATAACAAATTCATATTGTTATAAACAATGCGTAATTGTTAAGAGTCATATTTGGTTGTGAACAATAATGTCTAGTCAATATCGACTTAATTTTCAAATGAAATTGTTATTGTTTGGCTTAAAAGTATTTTAAATAGCTAATCTTTTCATTTTTTTATTAGTTATTTTGTTATAAAAAAACGGCTCTATCGAATTCGTTCAAATTTCTTTCAGATCTTCTTTATAATAATATCTTTCGAATTAATTTTGGTTCAAGTTGATATCTTGATCCGTTCTTAAGATATCGAAAACGAAAAAAATGCTGACGTCCGTACATACATACGTACACACACACATCATTCTAAAAATATGTCAGTATGCTTGCAAATATCTTGAAATGTGGAGATTAAATGAAAATTCAAATTTCACCAATCGACCCAATTACAATAACTTCCTAATGGGAAGTTAACAATACGAGATTTTTATATTAATTTAAAATGACAATTCTAATTGATGGCGCTAAGTGTACCAACGCGCCAGCTTCAGGATAAAATCAGAGTTATTAAATAAAAATAATAACAATAATTTAAACCTTTACTTTGTAAAAAATGCAATGCTGTGTATAATACATTAAATCCAATGTCAATCTTTGTTTATTTTATTTAATTTTAAAAATACGTCATAGTTTAGTGTATATTTTTGATGTGAATCTATTATATTATTCATACAAACCGTCATCGTTAAAAATTTGGTATAAGCAAAAACTTAACCTTAAATTGCAAAAACTGTAAATAAATAAAAAAAAAACAGACTTGGAAAAAGTAAACAGTTTATTTTCGAAAAAAAAAATTATCGTCATTGAAATATAAATTTTTAATAAACATATTGTTTTCGTTTCACTTTATTTTAGTTAATTCAGTGAGAGAGAGAAATTAATTTATGTTATATAAAATTATATAAAAATGGCAGAATCAAATACAACTCTTAAAGTTGATTACAATGAACCAACGTCACCAGATATTTTTTGTGAATTTGAATCGCCAAACCACGATGAAGGTAAAAATTCTTCAAGAAATATTTCTTATTTATTTAAAAATGTTTTTATGTTATTTAAATTTGAAAGCATTCTTGAAAAAATTAAATATCATTATCTGTACATTGTGTGTTCAATAGAAGTAGAAACGAATTCCATTCCTCTTGAAAGTGAGCCAGACGTAGTTGATGATACTCCAGAATGGAAAGGTGTCAGTATGGATAAAATCCATAAAGGTTTAGGTCCTTTTGGTCATCAACAACATCTTCCTATTCGGCCATCTGAACATCATACAGTTTTATTTCAAGTAAGCATTGCTAAATATTAATAACAATAATATTAGTGTTTAGAATATAATTTTCATTTCGTTGAGTTTTATAGGTACCGATACCTATCAAGGGATATCCAAAACCATATCCAAATCAAAATGTTGACAAATGGGGCAAGGATTTTGTACGAATGCCAACTTCTCCACAATGTTTTTACCCTATAGAAGAAGTACGTAATTTAGAATCTATTTTTGTAGTTAAAATTGAAGAAAGTATTGTGTAATTTTGTTTTATTATTAGGAAAATAAACCGAAAAAGCTTCTGATTCGTTGGGAAGTTATTCAACAAGTGTTATCACGTAGTATTATGTCCAGTTTACAGCTAGAAGCTGCTATTATGTCTTATAATAATAAGTATATCTCAAAATGGAATTTCAGTGCATTACATAATTTTTTCACAAACGTAAGAATCTAAACAAATTCACTTTCAAATTAATCTGAAAAATTAGAATAATTGTGAAATGAAATTTCTATAAAATAAATACTTTTTAAGGTGATGGACGAAGAGAACATAAATATTTTTTTTGATAAGTTACTACCTAAAATAATCCGATTGGCGCTTGATTTGCCATCACATGTAACTGGACCTATTCCATTATTGAAGCATCATACGAACTCGTCAATAAGTTTTAGTCAATTACAGATTGCTTCTTTATTAGCGAATGCATTTTTTTGTACGTTTCCACGACGAAATTCCAGAAATCCAGAATCGGAATATGCGTTATATCCTTATATAAATTTTAATGGGTACTTTATTATATTTATTTGATTATGAAAACAAAGTACATTTATTATATGTTTAATTAAATTAAATACATATTTTATGATTTTGTTTTAGTTTATTTTCAGCTTATCGAGAAAATAAACCGAACAGATCAGCTAGTGTAACAGAAAAATTAAAATGTTTATTTCACTACTTTCGTAGAGTGACAAGTTCAAGTGCGTAAAAATATAACAAAATTGTTTAAATAGAAAGCAATTATAAGTATAAGAAAGTATAAATAAGATTTATTCATAGAGTAGCTCCTGAAGGTACAATTACAATTGAAAGACGTTACATTCCGAAGGAAGATTGTCCAACATGGGATACCAAAAATGAGCAATTACCACCATTACATATTACGAGCAAAGGAACCATTGAAACTGAAGGAGCCGGACTTCTTCAAGTTGACTTTGCTAACAAGTTAGTATTATACAATAATATTAAAAATAATTATCAATTATTGATTATTCTTCATCCTTAATTTTTTTTATTATCAAATAAAAATACAAATCATTTGGAATGATACAATTCATAAAATATTTAATAACTTATTGATTTTTCATACTCGAATTGAAAATAATATAACAAATTTCACAGATACATTGGTGGTGGTGTATTGTACTGGGGCTGTGTTCAAGAAGAGATTCGTTTTGTCATTTGTCCAGAACTCATTGCAACAATGCTTGTAACAGAAGTTTTAGATGATACTGAAGCTTTAATAATTACTGGAGTTGAACGCTATAGTACCTATGAAGGATATAGTAATAGTTTTAAATGGACAGGCAACTTTGTTGATGAAACACCAAGAGACAGCAGTGGTAGACGTAAAACATCGATCGTAGCAATTGATGCACTGCGTTTCAGTAAACCAGATAAACAATTTGAAATGATAAACATTATCCGAGAACTTAATAAGGTTCGTCATAATATATAATATGCTGTTTAATTTGAATAGTTGATAAAATAATTGAAAATCATTAACCATCATTTTTCGGTCAGGCATATGTGGGTTTTAGTTCATCTCAAATGCCCAAAAATGATTTATCAGCAGTTGCAACTGGAAATTGGGGTTGTGGGGCTTTTAGAGGTAACCCGAAACTTAAAGTGCTGATACAATTAATGGCTGCAGCTGTTGCTGGACGATCACTAGTTTATTTTACATTTGGTGATAAGAATTTAAGAGATAGTGTAGCTGATATGTATTGGCATTTAATCAACCAAAATGTTGATGTTGGTATGTATTTTTGTAAAATTTTATGTGATGAGAGAAATGCAAAAATATGTGATGAATGAATCGTATTTAGTCTTATGTGATTGAATAATTTTTAAATATTTAAAACAGGTTGGCTATACACATTGTTACGAGCATATGAAAGTGAATCAACAACAAATCATCTGGATTTTTACCGTTTCTTGTATAAAAGGTCTAAAATAAAAAGATTAACTGATTATTTCCCTACACTACCAAAACAGCAAGAAAATACTGCCACATTGGAGAGAAGAAATAATGTATTAAAAAGAGACAATAAACATTTGAGCATGCCAAAATATGAACCTGTTGTTCACCGGAGCCATTCTGAAATACAAAAAACTATGCTAAATCATCAAGAGGATCAAGAATTAATACAAAAATTGTTCAATAATTGTACAGACATAAGTAGTGATACTGTGAAAGAGAAGAAAATAAAGAGTACAAACGTCACAGTAAAAAAGAAAACTTCTCTTTGGGAAATTTTTGCAGAAAAAGAATCTGAACAAGATAGAATGGCTGTTAGACCGTCAGAAAAACAATCAACAGATCTTCAAACATTTGACACATCAATGAAAATTCTTGATTGTACTCAAAATTCTAATACCGATGATAATAAAACAGATATGATTTCAAAATCATCGGATATGGAGTCAATAAATTCTGATCAGGTTAATAATGAAGTTGAAATAAATCTGTCAGCTCCAACAAAATTGACTGATAAACTAACAAAAATTGATTATGATAAGGACAAAGCTAACTTATCAATAAATTATAAAAAATTACCCTCTCAAATGCTTAATAGACAAAAGGGAGGCCAAAAAAAAATTAATGATTATTTTACTTCTTCAAAATTTAGCTCAATATAATGTTTTTCTTGGAAAATAGCAAAGATTGTTAATACTAAGATTATTTAAAAAAAATTTCATTATGATAAAAAAGTTTTATACAATCATTTTTTATTTTTATTCGCAAGAATCCAAGGATGTCTCATAACAGCTGGTAACGGAATTCTTTCAGCGCTTTCTTTCCTGATTAACTGTACAGAAATAATTATCAGTATTGTAAAATATATTTAATTGACTTTTTATTATCTCTCAGTATTTTCATACCTTAGATATGAGATCTTTAGCGCCTGGGGTAATTTCAGTTGGCCAAATTATGTGAACAGCACTAATTTTTTTATATGTTTCTTTTGATGTATCGCTCAGGAATGGTGGCTTACCGACTAAAAATTCATAACACAAAATTCCGAGGCACCAATGGTCTACATATAAGTTATACATCTGGCCATTGACCATTTCAGGAGGTAAATAATCCAACGTTCCACACATAGTGATTCGTCTTAAAAAAGAGAAAAAGAATGAAAGATTGAATAATCTAATACCGCTGATGAATATATGAAAAAGTTCAAATCGGCATATAAACAAAATATTTAAAAAAAATTTATGCTTTTATGATTCCATCGTTTTTTATAATGTTTTTTTTTTCATTGTTTAAACAAAGAAATAATTTTAATTTAATTGTTTTTTTTTCAATAATTTTTAGGCTGTGTTTTTATATATAAAACAATCCATTATTTGAAATAAAATAAATTATTTCAAATGATGCTGGTTAGTGAGCTATTTACCATTTTAGAACACATCGTTTGTTTTTGATTGTATTTCGTATTTAAAAGTTAATTATTATTATAAAAAAAATTAAAAATGAAATCGTACTTTAAAAATTACCAGATAAATAGGTAAAAGTAATAACTTACTTCGATGATGGAGCATGCACTGACCACCCAAAATCAGCTAATTTTATATTACCATTGTGATCGAGTAAAAGATTTTCTGGTTTTAGATCTCGATGGATAACACTATTTTTATGGCAGTAATGAAGCGCATCAGCTACTTGATAGACGTATTTTGCAGACCTAAAATTTAAATAATTTTTATAATAATAAACAAGTACTTTATGTCTATTAAGTTTTAATTATGCACAACTATATAAATCGTTAAACTAATAATAATATGATAGAATTATAATTAGTGTATTAACTTACAGATGTTCATTGAATTTTTGCCCGGGTTGTTGCTTTAAATAATTATACAACTCTCCTTGTGCTGCATATTCGAGTACCAAAAAAATTTTTGAATTATTGTGGAAATAGGTAAACAGTTGCAAAATATGAGGATGCTTAAGATGAGACTGAATTTCAATTTCTCTTAATGTTTGTTTTTCAACTTTCCCATGAACTAATTCTTTTTTGTAAAGAGTCTTCAAAGCAACTATGTAATGACTTCTCTTTTCTCTTGCCAAATAAACACGTCCAAATTTCCCTCTTCCTAATGGAACTCCTATTTGAAAATCATCTAAACTCCAGGCGTAGCTTTGAAAATTATAATATAATAATTATCAATCAACATAATTCTAAGATGTACAAAATTTAAATATTTACCCATCTCCAAATTTCTTTGTATGATCTTCCATAATACGTACACTTTCAGCAACACGTTCTTGATATTCATTAGGTACATTTTCAAGTATTTTATTCATCTTTTTATCCTCACTCATTTCATTTAAAAAATGGCTAAAGCTTTTTCTTATTCAAATAAAATATCTAATACTTGAAAAATTACAAACTCTCTCTTTATTGTCCACTGCATCAACTGACGCTGAACCGATATATTTTTCAAACGTCAAATTTAACCTAACATTACATAAGTTACCATTTTTTTCATCCCCTTATTGGTGAAATGAATATCAAGCGGGTTCCATGACCAATCAGAAGAAGGAAAGTTAAAAAGTGATTGGCCAATGTTAATATAACCTCACAAACCTGTTTTACAATTAGCCAATCATTTATTCGATTAGCATCATACGTGACGTTTACATGAGAATAAATGTTTCTTTTCATGAACGACAATTTCTTACAAATGAGGCTACTGCGCACATTTATAAAAACAAGAATCACTATCGCAAGTTACAAGAATTGTGTAGTTTTTCAGCCTTTGTATTTTGCGCCAAAGTAACCGTTAGACAGGTTATGATTTTTCAATTCAAGAGAGTTTCATTCAGCATTATTGAATAAGAATGTAATAATAACCTTATTATTATTGTTCAACTATATTAGTTTATTATAAATATTACTGTCCACTCACTCTCAACTGTGTATATTTATTGGTAAGCATATTTATCTACGCGTCAATTTTATGATGCATTACGCGGAATTACGAAATTATCTCGTTTTATATATTTATTTATCATGATATAAATATCGTATATGTAAAATGAATGAACTATGATCATTAAATAGGTTTTATTTTATAGATTTTATAATTGAACTAAATCACATTGTTCAAAATGTTTGGACAATCAGGAAACACATCATTTGGTAAGAAGATTTGTAATATTAACGAATATTAGTTAGTTATTCATAATAACTTAAACAGTTTTATTTTATTTACTATTGTACTAATTGATTTATATTTAACAGGATTCAATTCATCTGCTCAAAGTAGTCCATTTGGTCAATCAGCATTTGGCAAGCCCATTTCTACTACGAGCTTCGGGACAACATCAGCTCCAGTTTTTGGCAGCACAAATCAATCACTTTTTAGCGCAAAACCTGCAGGTGCTACAACTGGAGGATTATTTGGAAATAGTACAGCTACACCAGGATTTGGACAACCAGCAACAACACAGTCATCATTTGGAGCTTTCGGAACTACTGGCGCAAATACAAGTTTATTTGGAGCTCAGCAAAATGCTAACACAAATCTATTTGGTACTAATAATACCACATCAGCCTTTGGACAATCTAATAAAACAACGGGATTCGGAGGATTTGGAGGAACTAGTACAAGTCTTTTTGGCCAACCTCAACAAACTGTTCAGCAAACTACACCTTTTGGTCAAACTAACACAACTGGTAATACTAGTCTCTTTGGTACTCCCTCAGGATTTAGAAGTGGTACCAACACAGGAAGTGGTATTGTAGGAACAACAGTAAAGTTCGTTCCAGTTACTGGTGCAGATACAATGGTAAAAAATGGCGTTCCTCAGAATATATCTACAAAACATCATTGCATTATGGTTATGAAAGAGTATGAAAATAAATCACTAGAAGAATTACGTCTTGAAGATTATACAAATGGTTTGAAAGGACCAAGCCAACCAGGACAAACCGCTAGCCTATTTGGAACACCAGCACAAGCTTCACCTTTCGGAAATACGGGCACAATAACTAGCACAGTTTCTAGTGGTTTTGGAGCAATGACTAGCGGATTTGGAGTTAACAATCAGTCAAATACAACAGGTGGATTGTTTGGAAAGTCAGTAACTGGTTTTGGTGCTCCTGCAACCACTACTAATACTTTTGCTTTTAATCCAACAACATCAACCAGTCTTTTTGGTGCAAATACTCAAGCTAAGCCATTTGGAGCGGCTGCACCAACAACGCTTTTTTCAACCTCGAATACTAATCAACCAGCATCTGGATTTGGTACGATGAATAATACTCAAAATACGAGTTTTGGTTTTGGGACAACTCAACAGAATCAAAATATTGGATTATTTAATCAAAAGCCATCAGCTTTTAATATCTCTTCAGCTACACCTAATACTGGAAATGCTTTTGGACAACCAGCCGCAGCAAATACCAATACTAATTTATTTGGAACTAAACCTGCTGGATTTGGAACTGGGTCCACATTTGGTACGACTTCTACGCCAGCATTTGGAACAAATACTGGTTTTGGAACAACACAAAATACCAATACTTCAAATCTTTTCAACACTTCATTTAAACCTGCGGGTCAAACAAGTTCTTTTCCATTCGGTTCAACACCTGCTACCTCAACAGGTCTTGGAACTAATACTGGTTTAGGGCTAGGTGGAACAAATTCATTATTTGGTCAACCAAAACCCGGAAGTATTTTTGGCAACACGGGTAGTGGATTTAATTTCAATAATTCAGGGACTTTCGGAACTTCTGGCACGTTTGGTAATACCACAAATACTGCTCCAAATTTAGGAATGAATTTATTGAGCGGTGGAGTTGGAACAAATCCAGTTCAACAGAATCCTTCATCTGTTCCAGTTCATCAACAAATTCTAGCATTGGTATCAACACCTTTCGGAGACTCTCCACTACTTAAGAATCTTTTACCTGCTTCAGGAAAATCTGAAGAATTATTAAAACCCACCAATTCAAGTATAAAAACATTAAATGGTTCACAATATAAAATTTCTACGACAAATTCACCTAAAGTGAAAGCTCGAGTAGTTACTCCAGTACAATTATCGAAAAAATCATTATTTGAGGGCCTTGAAGAAGAAGACCCAACACTGCTTGAAGCTTTTCAACCTCGTCCTAATGCTAAACGTTTAGTTTTACGTCCAAAAAGGCAATCTAGTCCTTCAGGAACACCAACTGATAATGGAAATATTATACAAAATAATGAAACTATAGAAGGAAGTGTTGAAGCATCATCTTCATGTAGCAATGAAGGAGAAATAGTTGATAAAGAAAATAATCAACAAATCAATCGTCAGTCAACTGGAGATAGAAGATCTTCATCAACATCATGGTTAAAATCGCATATACCACGAGTTACTAAAATGAATGAAGAAGAAGAATTTGATGGTCAAAAATCTCCGTTTAACACATCAGAAATCCCTGAAGAAGTTTTGGAAAACACAATAAGTGAATTTCGTACTCATTCGGGTAATTTAAAAACTAAAGCACAATTAAATAATTCATTGAAGCAACAGCAATTAAGCAATAAAAGTGCTGGAGATTCTTTACTATTGAACGATTCCAGTCATGATCTTGATGAAAGTTCACTTCCGGCTCTTCAGCCACATAAACCAAATTTAGCAAAAGTCACTTTAAGACGTGTTGGATACTATACAAAGCCTGCAATAGAACAATTGGATGAATATGTGAAAGATGATTCTGTGTTTCCTACCTGTATTGTTCCTAATTTTACTGTGGGTAGAACAGGATATGGTGAAGTTTTTTTCCCGGATTCTTTTGATATATACGGATTAAATCTTGATGAGATAGTCCATTTTCGTCATAAAGAGGTAGTTATATATCCAGATGACGAAAAAAAACCTTCAGTTGGTCAAGGTTTAAATAGAAAAGCTCAAGTGACTTTACATTCTGTATGGCCCCATGATAAAAATCTTCATGAACCAATTACTGATCCTGATCGACTTATTGCTATGAATTATGAAGGGAAATTACGTAGAGTTTCAGCAAAACATGACACAAGATTTTTGGAGTATCGTCCAGAAACTGGATCTTGGGTATTTAAAGTTGATCATTTTTCAAAATATGGATTAAGTGATTCCGATGATGAAGACGATCTACCAATAGATCAGAAAAAACTGTTGAATTTGAAACTTAAAATGTCAATGGATCAACAAAAAATGACCCAAGTAATTTCACTTAATCAGAAACAAGCTCCTCCTACAAATGTTATTAAAAATAAATTAAAAGCTAATGAACAAGTTAATAAATATAATGGTCAAGTACCATCAGAAAAGAGAGATGAAGACACGACTTCTTCTTTTACTGTTAATGATGATGAAGATAATAGAAGTATGAACATTACAGATATTCAGAAAGATTTAAATGGAGATCAAACATCAGCCTTAAGTCCAACATCCATTTATGCTCGTCTTGCAGGAACAGATAGTCATAAACTTCAATTAATGAAAGCTAGTTTTTTTGATGATATGGGAGATTCGGCTGAACAAGAGCATTTTGAAAGTACTGAGCTTCCATTAAAACGTTTACATACTTTTGATACCCGAGAAAACGGACTTGAAAAAATATCATCTAATATGTACACCAGCTCTCGATCAAATTATAGAATTCATCAGAATACATACGCATCACCTGAAGAGACTTTATTAGAAAAAAAAGAAATAAAATATAATAGAAACCAGAAGAAACATGAAAAAATCCAAGAAACTATAGTTAATAAATATTTCCCTCCTCCGATTATTAAACCAGCAACACGAGTATTAAAGTATCACTGTGAAGTCATTCCATTAGAAAAATCAATTTGCAATAAGTTAAAGTTCCATACAATCGCTGATATTAGTATTCAAATGGGTAGAAAATTTAAGCCTAGTTGGGGTCCTGGGCTCACTTTAGTATCTTTGAGTACTCAAGAGCAAGCAGCAAAAGTACCTCTCCAAAATATATTTGGTCAAATAGAAACCTACATTGCAGGACGACTTGTAGATGATACTACATCAACTAATATCGTTCAACGTCTTCAAATTCTCGGTGGAAACAGAGCAGATTCTGATTACATTCGATTATTCAAAGAAAGTATAGAAGAGCATCTCCAAATTCAATTGAATCATTGTATTATTGGGGAAGAAAATGGTTGTCGTTGGATTCGTGTAGGAAATCAAGATACTGGTCTTTCTGCTCTTCACAAACACTGTGCTTTAGCTCAAGATATAGCTGATAATTTAGCTGACAATGTAAATGCTGACAAATTAGCATCTTATACAGCTGATGTATGGCAACTATGTGTAGCTCTTTGGGGTAATCTTTCAGCGTTAATTCCAGGTTCTGACAAAGAAAGTCATGATCATATGATGATAAGACGAGAAGCTTTTGGAAATTGGTTAAAGTCTGTAGTCAGCGAGACTGTTCAACGTGAAATAGCAGAGATAAATCAAGAAGATCAATTAATATTATCATTACTTTCTGCAAATAAATTGGAGGAAGCTTGTGAACGTGCCAGAAAAATTGGAGATTATACATTGGCTATTTTAATGGCTCAATTAGGTGGAACAGCAGCAACTAAAGAATTATTGAAACAAACTATTGCACTTTGGCAAGATATTGATATTCTTAAAAATATGTCAGAAGCACGATTGAAAATATACATGCTTATTGCGGGAGAACAATTGATTATGTGCAACGACAAAATTGTTAATGTTTGTGAGGATTTAGATTGGAAAAGAGCTTTAGCTCTTCATCTTTGGTATTTGTCATATTCAACTGCCTCAATTACCGATGTTCTCGAGCTCTATGAAAGTACTTTCGATGTTGATCCATCAGAAATATGTGCTGCAGCTCCCCTACCCGATTATAAAGAAGAATTTGAACCAGAAATGATTAATGGCAAGAAAACATTTGATCTTTGTTTTCATCTGATGAAACTTTACTGCACAGGCAATCATTCGCTTGAAGAATTACTTAATCCTCTGACTCATACAGCAGATCCTCTTGACTATAGGCTTAGTTGGCTTCTACAGCAAGTTATCGTAGGTTTGGGATACTCTCATTTATCAGAACATGTCGCTACTTTGACTCACACAAATTTTGCGGCACAATTAGAAGCTCATGATCTTTGGCATTGGGCTATCTTCGTTTCTCTTCACATAAACAACTCAATAATTCGAAAAACCGCTGTTATCGATTTACTTGCTCGACATGTAAAGATTGACGAAGATTCTGACTATATTAAACAAGAGACGTTCTTGAAGGATGAGCTTGGCATTCCTTGTAAGTGGATCAATGAGGCGAAAGCTATTAAAGGATGTGCGTTGAAGAGATATGGAGAAGCAGCGTGGTATTCACTTCAAGCTGAGCTATGGAATAAAGCTCATGAAATTATTATCGAACATTTGGCAGCGGATGCAATAATTAATGAAAATTATGATTATTTAAAGTCATTATTGAAACCTTTAGTAAGTCAAGAATGTAGTAGTGTTGTGAATGGATGGTCTTACCAAGGTCAACTACTGTGGGATTACATGGAAATTGCAGTAGAAATTGAATTATTCTTGAAGAAACCTGACTATTCAATAATTGGATATAAATTGGAACTTTTACAACCTCAATTAAATTCGTTATGTGCTAAAATTAATCAATTTCCATGCCCTACTGCTAAACTTCGGTAAATTGAAAATTATTTTATGTTCAAATTATTTATTATTGATTGTATAATGTATCATTTCAAAATTCTGTAACATAAGTTTTTGAAATAAGTAAAATTAATTTCTTCTCTTCCTTGGTTTTTAGATTATGCCAAGCAGAAATTGCTAAGAGAACTATTCACCTCGCAAAAGGTATTTTATTACTTCAACCTCATGAAGAAAAATCAGCAGCAAAAGTTATTGCTCGTTTAGTGTCCCAGTTACCACTTCCTGAAGATTATGCTCAGCAAGAATTACGGCCAATCGTTAACATGTGTGCTAATGAGATTATTGGTCATTGATGATAAAAAAAATTATGTTATGGGTAAGTATCATAATTTTGATAACTTCCTCATAGAAAATTACATGTAATAAACGAACGTTTATCTTTTAATGAATTTATATTGTAATCATAAAAAATATATTTTAGATAATTTTGTCTTTTTTTCAATCAATGAAGATGTAATTAATCTTAATGTCATTATTTTCAACATTAAAATAGAAATAAATAAAAGTATTTAGATAATTATTTTATATAATTTTCGTTCATGGAATTATTAGGTAATTAATTGAAATTGAAAAAAAAAAAAAAAAACAAAAAATAAGAAGTTTTTTAAAAAATAATTTTTAACAATTAATAGCTAGTTATAAATGAATATTGAATAGTTTCAAGTAACAGTAATTAAATAAATAAATAATATTAATAATCATAAAAAAAAAAAAACAATTAATTATAAGTAATATGGCTAAAAAATAAGACGAAACGTGCCATTAAAAATTTTTTTTGTGAAAGGCATGTTTTTTAGTTCAATTATACAAGAAATATTTCTAGTTAACTGTAAAAAATCCAATATAACAAGTAGTTTATGTAAATATTGTGACCTGAAAATAAACATTCTCATTGACACAATTTTATTCTATAATTTTTTGCAAAAGAAATTTAATAAATATTCGTATGTTTTATGCGTGTAATATGAAAATAATTCCATAAAAAGTATTATAATGAAATTTTTTTAAATAAATAAAATTGAAATAATGTTTTAAAACAAAAATTATAACAATAAATTTTCTTTTTATTTTAAATAATCGCTATAGAAATATTAGTAATTTTTCATTAATGTTAGTGAAATTACTAAAATATTTCTTGAGTTTTTATTCATTATAGGGCTAATGAATTATCACACTTCACTACAGTTTTGTCGTGTTTCGGAAAAATTGTACAAACTTCATATTTATATTTTCATTTTACAATATGAACAAGTCAAATACTAAATGACAAACAATTAATTAAACTAAAAAAAAATATATCTTACATACTGAATCGGTGTGTTGTTTCACCTGTATTAGGATCAACAGTTATGCTTTCTATATTATTTCCATTTGTAACATTTACAGGCAGTATATTTGAGTTTAAAACTGGTAAAAACTGCCCATCTTCACATTCACGAAATAGTAATTCATTTTCTTTTTTATCATCTTTTTTACTTGGACTTATTTTTCGTATCATCAATGTAAGTAAATCAATAACTAAATAAGATTCAGGTTTATAAAGTCTCGTAAAGTGTAACTTAATATGTTCACTAACATTTTCATCTTTACGAGGTACATAATTGCAATGAGGACAAGGAGGAGTGAGTCTTTCAAGACCATGACGACGTTTGTGAATATCAAGGATATCTTTATCTGGTGAAGAAAATGGGCATTCATGACATCGAAATAAAGTTTCTTGTTCTTCAAGCATCGCTATTGTTTCTTCTTTTTTTTGCATAAATAAAATAGATTGTTTATCTTGATTAGAAATATTATACAAACCTCCGAAAATAATTGAAGAATTATTTCCCGCTGATAATCCTGAAGAAATGGTCGATTTTCTTCGGGATTTTCCATAATTTGTACTTTTAATTTCATTATAATCTTGATCATATTCCATTGAAATATCTGATTGATTATTTACATCATCAGAATTATTTGAATGATGTTTTTTTAAATGTTGAACATAATTAGCATAATATTTAACTGAAAAATCGCAGGTATCGCAACGATATCGTCTCTTAGCACCGTGCATTGTTAAATGAACTTGATATTGTTCACGTTTATTAAAAGATGATGGACATTTATGACATTTGAATGGTTTTTCCTTAAATTTACCATTTTTGGTAAATGTTTTACTTGTATTTGTAAATGACTGCCGTCTTCCAGCAAGTGATTCATTCATTTCGTTTTGTCTTTTATGAACTACTTGATGTTTCATCAAATTTTGAGCTGTTTTTGATGAATAATCACACTCACTACATTTGAATCTATTGTTCGAACCATGAAGAGTCATATGATATTCAAGTGCGTCAAGTTTGAAATATCGAGCAGGGCATTTGGCACAAGTAAACACTTGATTTCCACTTTTATGTTCAACAATTTGATCACTCGATGAATTAAAATTCGGTATTTCAACAACGATCCAAGCAACGTTTTTATTTGAACCACTAATGAGGCTACCTGTTTCAATACATGCAGTTCTCGGTGGTGGATATCTTTGGGAATGGCCATATAAAATTAATAATTGTTGAGAATGATCTTGATACTCGGCAGCATGAGCTTTTTGATGTAATACAAGATGTTCTGGAAGTTTCGCTGTATAAGAACACCACTCACAAGCGAATGGAAGCTCAGCTGAATGATATCCTAGATGAATTTGTAATTCTCTTTCAGATAAGAAGCGTCCCGGACATTTACTGCAATAATGAACTAAACGAGGATCACGAAGATCGGGATCTGAACCCATAATAGGTGTTTTAGTTAATCCTAAAAGAGTTGTTAGATCATCCAGCTGCTGTGCATCAGATCTACTATCATCTACAAGACAGTGAACTGTTCCTAACGCTCCTTGATGCATATCTGTATGACTGTCCATTACTTCTTTACGCGAACAACTGAAACTACAATCAGGGCATGCTATAAGTGTTTCATTTACAGTGGATGGATTATGCATCATTTCATGATCACGGACTTCGGCACGTCGTGATGATACATGCGGGCAATGACGACACTTGAGCATTTTTACAAATGTTCCATTTGGTCGAGAAACCCAAACAAGTGGAGTATCAGGTAAAGCACGAGTGTCTAATAAAAGTGGTGGTGTAGATCCATTAGCGGTTTTTGGAACATCCGATAATATTGATGCAGCTCTGGATGTTTCATCTACAGATATATCAACTTTGTTCAAAGAATTATCTTCAGCTGTTGAATTTATTGGAGACCTTGATTTTTTAGATGCAGGATCGGATGTAGCACGTTGATGAACAACAGCTAATTCTTCTCCGTGTAATTGTACATGGTCTAACAATTCTCTGAAATTTTAAAATCAATATTATTATTAATCCATGTAAAAAGTTAAAATTCTCTTTCAATTTATATTAACTTATTTCATAATAATTACGCTTTTGTGCTGACGTAGTATGGACATAGATAACACTTGAAAATAGATTCTAAATTTGGTTGATGGTGTACTTTATGCATTGCTAAACTTGTTGCATCCTTAGCGATAAATGGACAATCCTTACAAGCAAATGGATTCTATGATATAAAAAAAAAACGAATTTTATTATTAGTTAGAAACACCACAAAATTCGTTATTGTTTACCTTTTCATTGTTAGAAGATAGTTCTAATGACTCATAATGGGATTTAACGTGAAGTAAAACCATGTCCTTATTTGCATCTCGAAAATTACATCTTTTGCATTTCCATAATGTTCTTTTGGTTTCTTCTGATAAGTATGAAATTGGTACTGATGTTTTAGAATCTAACGAATTTACGGGAATGGTAGGATTAGAATTGGTTGATTGATTAGGCTTTAGCAATGATTGGCCGCTTTTAGTAGCTTGGAGAGGCGGTGGAGGTCTAGAAAGAATCGCAGAATCTTGAACTCGTCCATATCCTGGCTGATTAGAATTTTTGTGGATTTTTGACGATGATGCCATTTCAGGTATTGAAAGAGTCTTAGAATTATTGAAAAGAACTCTCTTTCGAGGAGGTTCATCAGTTCGAGAATTTAATGTACCGCATTCATCATTATTTGGATCATCTACACTTTGCTCCATCTAAAATAAAATTAAAAATAAGTACTAAAGTTAGGAAGGCCAAAAAAATAAATAAATCACCTGTGCAAGATATTTGTTATATTTGGAATAATTTCTTCGGCCAGTTTCATCAGTCATTAAAACTCTAGCATTAGCATGAGCAGGGTCTCTTGCAGCTTTTAATTTGATGTGTTTGGTAATATCCCATCTCCAATTCGATCTATAAGCACAAAGAGAACATTCGAATGGCTTTCGATTCAAATGTCCTACAATATGAACGTGGAATCGGCTTGCAGTCGATGCCCAGAACGAACAGTGAGGACACTTGAATACTCTTCTTGTTGTGGTTGCATTGGCAGTACCATCGATCTATTAAAAATAAGCAAATTCTTTATCATCTTTAAAATAGAAGTTAAAATTACGGTAGCGCCCGCTCTTTGTAACGTCAAAAAAGAAATGATCAAATATAGCTAAATAAAAAAAATCAAATAAGTAGATCAAATAAACAAAAAATAAACTCATAAAATAAAAACCCCGTACCGACGATCCGGAAGAATTCAGACCACCATTCGCGTCCCAGTCCACTTGAAAAGGAAACTCAAAATCACCATAGTGGGATGCAGCCGTATAGTTCGCGTTAACGCCAGTGTTTTCTTGTCTACTAGTGCTAATCATTGAATCATTATTGACTGTAGAACACACTTGCATATGAATTTGAAGATCTGTCAGACTACTGAAAGGTTTTCGACATTTTGTACATCGCGACAATTCATGAGAAGAAACACTAAGCGCAGTATGATGCGTTTTTTTATGCCTAGCCAATTCTTCCGAGTTATTCGCTTTGAACGTACACCAACATTTTAAATCTTCCATTGTACTTACGACTACCTGTGATGAGCTGGCGCTTGTATTTGTTATTAACCTTTCCTTTAGTTTGTCGAAAAAAGACGCATTCCTTTTTTCAAAGGATTTTACTGCACCCACCTCCTTTCTTACTCCAGTTGTTTGCTGATGTAACAAAAATTATTACAAATATTTATAGAAAATGTATTTCAACACATTGTTTTTAATTATTAAAATATTTTTGGAAAGTTTAACTAAAACTTTTATTATATTTATCAATTCAATTTTTAATAAATCCAAAAATACGAACCTCACGATTATTATAAAGTTTTGCTATCTCAGTGTCTCGTGCAATTTTTGCAAGCTCTGGCCTTACTCTAACTCGAGGAACTTTTAATAAAGGTGGAGAACTATTAGATGCAGTATTATTTGAATTATTTTCTGGACTTAAAGGAATTAACATTGGTATAGGTTTCTTGGATTTATTTGGTGATTGTAGAGGTGCATGACATTCCATTAAATGTCTTTGCATTTCAGAATCCCATGCAGTGATAAACTGACAACCCTTCTCTTCACATTTCAGTGCAATACATTCAGCACCAGCTATTGCGCTTGATGGATCTTCTGTATTTTCGATTGGATCACCATCAGTATTTTTCGTTGAATTTGAATCTTCTGGAACATCTCTATAATCACTTGCACCAACCTTTAAATAAAAAAATTGAATTATCATCATTTCTTACTCTTTTAAAAGTTCATCATAAGACAATCTCTAGTTATCTTCTAACATGTAATTTTTCATTCAGCTATAACATTAAATAGTCAGGGACTCGGCTAAATAGTCGTACATGATTTAAATCAATTTTACCAAAGAAAAAATTTACATATACCGTCAAAGCCGTGCCCTGATCATTTCATTATTTTTAAAACCAAAAAAAAAAAACAAAGAAATTACTTGATTATAACGTTTTGGCCCATTTCGTGGTTTACGATCAAAAGGACCCAATTTCTTTATTGGTTGTCCAACAGGAGGTTCATGATGATTTGTTTCATGCACCGTTAAACTTTGACGAATATCTGCAGTAAAGTTGCATACTCGACATTGAAAAGCACCACCACCACCATGATTTCGAGTATGTCGATCTAAATTCCACTAATAAAGAGTATAAGAACTAAATTAATTCAAAGAACATAGTAAAATAGTTCAGATTTATATTTTACGAATTTTTAGTACTGTTTTTAAACAATAAAACTGCTTTGTAAAACTATCATTTTTAATGATACACTAAAAACATTTATCAATTAAACACAAGTAACGAAAAAAAAGAACAAATAGAAAGAATAATAGAAAATAAAAGTGTATTACCTTGTACGGAGTTCGAAAGTCACAGTCATCACATTTGATCATGGGCATCGAGTGATACTTGACGTGTTTTGTGTAACGAGCTCTTACGTGCGTCATATATGAGCACTTGGTACATCGAAAAAAACGTCGTTTAAGATGATGAAGTCTTTGGTGGTTAGTCATATCGGATTGATCAGTAGCCATGAAGGAACACATTGAACATTGATTACGATTATTAGCTTCTGAAGCAGTAATATCATTATTTTCTTCTGAATGTGTTACCAAAATGTGACGCTCTAATTTCTTTGGATGCTGGCATATAAAGTTACAATGTGGACACTCATGATACTTTGCCTATTAAAAAAAAATTAAGCATCTAATTAATAAATATTTATTAATTATAAAATTAAAATATAATTGAAAAATATTTGAACCTTTTGATGATGAAAATCCTTCAAATGTTTCAAGTATTCAACAAGACTAGGAAATTCAGCTGTAGGTCTACATGATTTGCATTCATATTTATTATCAGGTGGTGTTTTATCATCTGTTACATCATCATTTTCCTCCGGTTCTTCTTTAATAGTGAGCCGTGGTTCATCATCATCATCATCATCATCATCATCATCATCAACATTGTTGTCATCATCTTCATTATAAACATTATCTTCTTCATCTTTTTGTTCTTCTAAATTATTAACCGCTGAAGTATCCATTTGATTGGTCCCACCGTCAGTTTCTTCTTCAGATGCCTCCGTCTCAGATTCCTGTTTTTGTGTTGACCTTTTGTGCGTTCTTGGCCTTAGTGCCCTTAGAATTGGAGATGGTTCCGACATTTTACAAGTTTAATAAATTGTTTAAATTCATTAAATTCTGTAAAACAAGTTTTTATTGAAATTAAATTTACCTTTTTTAAACTAGCATCAATAAAATAATTAATACAATATATTTATATGAAAAGAATAAAACCAATTTGACAATTAAGATTGTGATACGTAAAAGATTGATAGATAATACATGAATCATTTCTTCATCATGACTTTCGATTATTCTATACTTTCTGCAAGTCTTCAGTTATCTGCGTTAATTTCGAAAGTTAAAATTATAAATAATTATTTTTGTAAAAAAAAATAATAAAAGAATTGAAGAAAAAAACCAAAATTACGATGTCAGTGAATAAAGTCGATGAAAATGAATTTTTTGGGAATTGGGGTTCAATTTCCGTTTTTGAAATACAACAATCTATAGACTTCCGGTAGGCAAAGAAGTAGGGAAAAGAGTATAATACATCAATACTGAGTTGAACTAATATAATGGAACAGAAATAAATGCCATGAAATAACAATGCGATGATGATTTTTAAATCGTTAAGAATGAAGTAAACGAACCTCAGGTACGTTATCCTCGTTTCACTTCTTATCTACGTAACGACACCCGAATGAACATCATAGTAGCAATGGCGACGTAAAAAATTTTTCCTTCAACGCGTGTTTAGATGTACACCGGCCTATGGACTGTTGTGTGCAGCAGCTATTGCGGCAACGGGCGCACAATCGCCTTCTCTTGAATCGGAAAAGAGAATGGCAGCGAAGCGAGCGGAGTAAATGCGAAGCACTGTGGTTGTTTAGGGCAACGAAGAAGACTTTGAGTTTGTGGATTATTTCCTCTTCGGTTTATGACGTATCACCGGGTAAAATGCAGAATAAGATGCGTACTGAAGAGTCGAAAATTCACAAGACCTCAAGTTAAGAAGGAAGCAAGGTCTGTTTCGACCAGACAAGACAAAAGCCCCTCCCTCCAACCGGATGACTCGACTGCTGGCCCCACGATGTCGATGTAGCGCAGTCAGGCGCCATCTGCAATTCCAATTCTGATTCTGACCTCTAGCTACCTCCCGTCCGCCTCCTCTATCACGAACCACTTCCCCTACTTTGAAGCTACATCCCTCTCCAAGCGCCCCGCAATGCTTCCTCAAGTGTATCCCGCCGTTGTTAAACCACTAAGAGCCTGCTGTTCCTATCAAATTATGCTTGGATCATACTATTTTTATTCTTCAATCAAATTTCATTCTTTTCCTTCTTCTCTTCCTTTCTTTACCATGTCCTCCGGTTGCCATTTCGTTTCTTGATTCTCGACCTTTATTGATTCTTCTCCTGCTCTTCTACTTCTTGCATGTGCGCATCCCCTTCACCAAATTCTGAGTTGATTTTTTTTTAACCAAAAACACTTCTTTTTTTTTATTTGAATCTTCTTCTTGAACTCATAAATGATGAATAAAATATTTCCAAATATTATTTCCAATTATTAAATGAATTGGTATTTGAATGAAAAATTTGTTCTCACCAAAATAGTATTAATAAAAGTAATAATAACAATGCTTCACATATACTTTTAAAAATTGTCTTTCATTGAAAATGACAGAGAATAGTTCTCCATGTCGAACATGAAGATTGAGAACAGCGTTTGATGACATCAAATATTTTGTCTCTCTCATTCTCTCTACATAAGTAATCATGAAATAAAAAGAGAGTATACAGTTGCCAAAATCAACAATACTATATCTATAATCCTATAAGCATTCTTTTAATTTTTCTTAATAAACTCCGAGATGTTTTTTTATTAAGATTAGCGCTTTTATGTCAATCTAGGACATAGTCAATATATCTGAAGACCTTGTCGTGTGAGTCTACGCGTGCGTCCAAGACTCCTCTTTATAAATGACGTTCGTTATATACTTGTAGAAGATGCTTTTTCTTTTTTGTTGTATCTAACGTCATTAGTAATAGATGTATCATGTGAAATAAAACCAATAGCTATAGTTGTATAGATATTAGAATCTTAATAAGAAGTAATATAAAAAATATAAAATTTTCTTGTCATGATATATTTACGTTTTTATATTCTTTATTTTGCAAGGTTTCTTTAGCGTCATCAGAAAAATATTTAAGATTTTACTTTAGGGTCATTTAACGCTTCATTAAATAATGTTTTCGTTAGCATTGAAACAAACGATAGATATTTATTTTACTCTTCAAATATCACTATCAGGCTGTCGATGTTTCCTTATAATATAATATACGTTTCCTCATGCTTGCATCAATGTATTCAGTGTCATAAAAATGTCACTTGAGATATGCAATAAGATTTCACAACTGTGAAAGTGTATTTTTTAAATCGATTAAAAAATTTTTTACCATTTAAAACAAATAATAATTAGTGTTTTTGTGTACAAATAAATTTTATTTTATGTTTTTTAGAAATACAAATATAGTCTAAATCAGTCCAAGAATAAACGAAAAAATTTATTGTAATACTGTTATTATATAAAGCGTAAAGCAAAAGAAAATCAATGACTCAAACCATTAGATGACTTTAAAATGTTCAAAGACAATAGATCTTGGAGCACATGGCAATTGTTGGAACGATTTCTGTGGAAACAATTATTCATCATCATTTCATAATTGTGAAAAGTAATGATTGTAAAACGAAAAAAAAAAACTTATCATTATCTCTTAGCTCTTTAATCGTAGCTCATGGATCTCATCATAAAAAGACCCTCAACTTACTGAGTAGCCATCCTTATTGATATGACGGCTAGAAAAGAAATCATCAGTTATATTACCAATGTTTCACTTATTAACACTATTGTATTGTAAATTGAATGAAAAGAAATATTGAAAATTAAAAAAAAATGTCAAAAATAAAAAATAAAGTTTTTACAATAAGTTTATTTGTTACATTGCATTAATTTAGAATAAAAACAAATAATAATGCGCGAAGAACCTTACCGTTGTATTACTATATATAATGAAGGTCAATTGTTGTTCATGGAGTACATTTAATTTCCACCAGAGAGTATGACAAGTCAATTTTGGTGGGAAACATCGAATGTAGTGATCAGTTCAAATAGGAATTTAAAAAAATGGTGTTTTATTTTTAGATTAATTGTCAAGATAAAAATTAATTTACTGAACATGAGATTATTCTAGATAGAGTATATTTCAAAAAACTCTGCTTAAAATACATAAATAAAAAATACATGTATCCTAATTATTCAATAGAATATATAATCATAACTATGTTTTGCTGCTTCTTCTATGAATTGAATATATGATAACTAAAATTGTAATATTGAGGTCATTGACAAATTTTCTTCATACAAATCATTAACACACATTTAATTAATTATTTAAGCGCTTTTTTGACATAATCATTGTCTCTTTAATGCACAACAGAGTTTACATTTAGTACTTACATTAATTAAACATACAAATTTATTAAAAAAGCGATAATAATTATATTATATAAAAAGAGTATTCCAATATTGTCAAAATGCCATATTACAAAAACTACGTATGAAAAATTCGTCAAGGAAAAGAAGACTAATCATTTCACTTACGAGTGAAATTCTGTACATATTATAATTTACGTTAAACAGTCACTGGTAAAAGAGCTTATTTTAATTATGTATATATTTTTATCATCTTTTGTGCTACCACATGCGTAATTGTAGATAATTACATTTATATTTATTTATTGTATTTATCATTTATCAACATCATTAGAGTGGTAGGTAAAATGCAGCCATTATTTTTTTAAATTATAATTTTTTTTTTTACTAAAATTGTATAATATAAAGAAAGCTAGTGAAAAAACAGTAAAAAATAGAAAACCCAGAAGCAGCTTCATCGTGACTAGAATGAATCACAATTTACCATTCCACTGTATTATTCATAATATATGTATTTATATCATTAATAATATTACACAGTACAAATAATTAAAATAAAAAATGTAACGAGTAGATCACTTTGGTTTACAGCATTTTACAAAATACAATTAATCGCATTGAAACACTTTTTTTACATTTTTAATCGCTTATGACTTCTCCAATGACTTTTAGAAAATTTCGATATTCTATGGCAGCGAATAAATATTATTATTATTATTATTATTATTATTATTATTATTATTATTATTTATCATCATTACTAATAATTATTACGAACTTTCATATAATTTGATACTTTGTTCCATTCAAAGCTAAATAAAGACTAAAAACCTGATGGCTGTTACTGTACTGTACTAAAAAGACGTGTACGTTTTTTATTACATTTAAACTTAATTGATGGTTTTATAATTAAATAGTAATTATTTTAATATCAGTAAATTTAGTACATAAATGCTCTAATTATTAATTAAAATATTATTATAATTAATACACAAGTGATGCGTTTATGTAAATGATTTTCAGTCAAGTAATTTAAAAAAATTTTCTTAACTAATTTTAAGAGCTGACAAAAACTATTGTTTCGTTTTAATGTTATAATTTCACATTATACTTCTTATTGTATTTTTACAGCATTGGAAAGAGCACCAAAATTCGATTTTGTAGTTTTTTATACTTTCTATTGTAAATATTTCGATTAAAATATGTTTAAAAAACACTCATGAAACGTCAAACTTGAATAAATGTATTAAGTATAAAATTTTTGTCAGAAATTATTTATTGTATAAATGACTTGAATTAAACTCAAGTTGATCAAAATTATATTTAAATGTTATTTTAATTAAAGTGCCATTGAATGAGTATTTAGTCGAGGAATATGTTAATTCCTGTTATTTTGTATTATAATGAAATAAAAATAGCAAATTGTAATTTCATTATTAATAACATTGGAATTTATTCTTTGATTTTTAATGCAATTTTTTATATTATTTTAGTCTAAATTTTTTTTTCTAATTATTTTGAAAACATACAAATAAACAAAATTATTTTTATAAGTAAAATTTGATAGTAAAAGTGGAACCTTTCATAGCCAATCTTGCGTCTTTTTGGAAATTAAAATTGAAAATTTATCGTTGTTTGTGGCATTGGACAAAAAATTGCATTAAAAAACAAATTTTTAGTGTACACTTTTTTCTATTCTACATTATATACAATCAAAAAGCATGTAAATGCTTTAATAAGATGTTCTTAAAGTAATAATTTATTTGATCATTTAAACTTTTTTATCAATTTTCGATTCTCAATTCGTTTGATATCATGTTTAAAAATAACATGAGCAGCAGTATAAAATATGATTTTAGTTTTAGTTTAAATAAGGCAAATGACTAGGACACATAAGCCCCATATCGTTTGCTTCTCTACGCTTTTTTTCCCTTCTTGAATATAAAAAATAGTATGTTCGCAATTACAGGAATATTAATTTCTGTCTGATAAGGTACCTGAAACTATCGAGCTCTCTTTGTTAATGTAATAATATTAATAGTTGGTAATTGTATATTATCATTATTTTTATATTTATAATAATGCGATAATGCCTGAGCTCGTGGCCTAATAAAGACCTTGGAATTATATAGGAAACCAAATAACTTTCATTACTAATTTTTTGGTGCACCATATAAAAGTGGTTTATTTTTTAATTTTAAAAGATATCTAATTTGTATAATAATAAGTATAATTTAGAAATTCAAAATGATTCAATTATAATGACTAATTTTTTCAGCTTATCGTTGTTTGATCAAAACTTTACAATTTAAAGGTTAACATTATTTTATTCTTTTAATTGGCAGAAAAATTTTTAATATTCATTAAACTGTATTAAGGATGAAAATGAAAAAATAATTTCATAAATTAATATAAGTTTGAGATAAAATCAAAGAAAAATTGGAAAAAGTATTTTTTGTATTCATTCATTATTTGATTTATAAAATTTGTGAATAGACTTTATAATTAGGCAGTTATGCTCATTGTAATAGTCTTTATGAAATCAGATCAAAAATAGAGTTGTTAAACTGTTTCTCAATCAAGTAATGTTACAAATAATTTTAGATATAGTAAAAAATTTATTAAATTAAATATTTGATTTTTATTCCTATGGCACCTAGGGTTTGAAGACTTTAAAATCTTGAATTGTTAGTGGAAAATTATTGTTTATGGCCACGTAGAAAAACAATATAAAATGGAACTCTAGTGATTTTGTTACCATTTCAAGCATCATACGAAAATTTTTATTTTTGTAAGTTTCGTTGTTTACGAAACATTTATTTATGTATAACTGAAATAAATTATTGAAAATAAAAGATGCAGTTTAATCTACACTGAATTATGATCATTTTTTAAAAATAATAATTTATGTATTTCAATAATTATAGATAATAAAGAAAATATTCTCAAAGTAATATAAGCTAATTTAAAAAAAAATTCAATTATCCTGAAAAAAAAACTTTCTTTAGTAACATTTTTAGTCAATCTAAATTTTCCGTAGTGGTAAATAATTCAATGTAGAGTTAACTATCAATATTGTAAAAATAATAAATTCACTACCATTCAATAAATTCACCAAGTTCTATGAGCTGTTATTATCCTAAACTAAAACAATTACTGAGATATTTGATTTTTTGTTTAATCAGATAAAATTATTTCAGTACAAATAGGGATTTATGCGGCTAAAATTATTTACTTAGTAGCTGCTAAAAAATGCGTTCAAGAGGAATTTTCATGCGCACTGAATGATAAACTTGATAATTAATTTATTCCTTTCAATATGGCTTTATATCTCGTTTCCTCTCTTTGTTATTGATTATTAATAATAAACTATTTTGTTTACTTATGTGTTTGTTATGTACCTTACAACATTAGGCATCTTCTTTGACGACGTTTTTGTGGCTCTGGTCGTAGTACAGCTCGTACTGCTTCATCAAATACTTGTTTTAAACCACGTTGCGTTAAAGCTGAACATTCCATATATTTAACCGCACGAATCTATATGAATAATTATTTGTTGTGTATATTTAATAATTGAATAAATAAAACGTTAATACAAAGTAAAACTCTGATTAATTTTTTTATGTCATTTAAAATTATTTTTACCTTATTTGCTAATTTTTGACCTTGCTCACGTTTTATAGCGCTCAAACCTTGCTCAGCTAGAGCCGTTAAAGTCTCTCGATCATCACGTAAATCAATCTTTGTTCCAACAAGAATCATTGGAGCATCAGGACAATGATGTTTTATTTCAGGATACCACTTGCTTGTCACATTCTCAAATGACGACGGGCTTGTTACAGAAAAACAGATTAAAAAAACATCTGTTTGTGGATAAGAAAGTGGTCGTAATCTGTCATAATCTTCTTGTCCAGCAGTATCCCACAGACCTAAGCTTACAGGTATACCGTCTACAACCATTGGTGCCGAATAATTATCAAACCTGTAATCGTAAACATATTAATAAGACTTATACTATGAGTACGGAAGTGAATGAAATTTTCAAAGCTTCATAAGTATATTAGGTCATTTTTAGATCTATAGAGAGAAATTGAAAATAAATATTTAAGTAATTTTAAATCACTAAATGACAAGTCAATAAAAAAGAGACTAGAAGAGGTGACTTCCTGTAGACAGAAAGATCTTAGCATCTGAACTATAATTAGCCACCCTAGTTTACTGTTCTCAAGAAGAATTTTGAGACAAAAAGATTTCTTCTATTTCTATTTATAAATATTTAACATATTAATAATTTTTAAAAAATATTTATTTTTTATTTTTATAACTATGACTTACACAGTAGGTACATATTCTCCTGGAAAACTGTCAGTTGTATACGATATTAACATGCAGGTTTTCCCCACTGTTCCATCTCCAACGACAACACATTTGATTGGTCTACCTGAACTCATGGTGCTGTTTCTGAATGAACAAAAATAGGATCGATAATGTAATTAGTCGGATTTACATATAATATATCATTATAATTTTTATTAATTAAATTGTAGAAAAATTATTTTAAAATAAAAATTAAATATTAAAAATTTATATTTTTTGAATTCGTATAAAAATTTTCAAAAATAGTAAATAAAGAAATTAGTATATAAATATAATTAAAATAATAATAATATATAATTATTTCAATTCAGACAGTAATGTTTGCAACAGTATTTACAAATATTACTAGGTAATATTTCATATACTTAAACATTAAAATAGAATGTTTTTTATAGTAAATTTTAAAAAATTCTTAATAACAAACGATTCTACGAAATAAATAATATTTTTTTATGAAAAACTATTATACTGATAAAGTAAAACAAATTGATTAAGGAAGTATCAATTTTATTGTAGAATATAAACTAATAAATTTTTTTGAGCAAAACTTAAATGAACTTAATATAAAGTTATTTACACTGATAAATAATTAACAAACTTAGATACTACCTACTCATATTGGTCAATCATACCAAAAAAAAGCAATTAATTGAATGCTACTTACATTTAGGTTAGTTAAAAAATTTTAACAATTATTTCCAGCAGTATTGAAATAATCTAAAGATCTTTATCCACGATAAACTATTCACTCTAACCTATAATATCCAACTAATATTTTCGTATAGTGTTGAGATAATTTTCAATAATGAAAACTAAATATTCAACAGTAATTATAGTGTTGTGGCAATGATTTAAATTGAGAAAATTGTGCATTTAAGTGCTATATCGCCATGATAGTCGCAATTTTTGAGAACGAATTGAACTTAGCTCCACTTCATGACAGATGTTTCAACAATCATCGTTTCCTTCCCCTTTTTCAAGTTACCAGACTGGAGTCACTACATTCTAGTGTTAGTTACCTCCCTCCTCGGGTCTTCGACAACGTCATTGTTCAGTGCATAACAAACTGACTCCAAAAAACCAATCGAATTGCCGGAAAAATAATCTACTAATGGTCATATGAGGTACTCATGTGCTTTATTTCTCATTTATCAACTTTATTTTACGAAGAATGAGCTTTAATGGTTGTCGTAAGTGAACTCATAGATCTTGTCGGTGATTCCACTGATTCTACCACGTAAGATATCGTCGATTAGACTTTCGGCTTTTCATAAACTCAATACACACCCGTATAAAGAATTACACGAAGAAAAAAGAGTGAATAATCAAGAAAAAACAATTTGAAGAATTAATTATTATTACCTTTAATTTGAAAACGATAGTTGTTCACAATAATACAATGAAATTTACAACTAACTTCGTCATGATAAGAAGTGAAAAAGGCGTCGTATAGCCGTGCATTTTTTTTAGCTATTCATCTACTGACCGCGTATGCGTTCGAACCTATAAAATAGTACACAGAAAACATAATGGCAGCTCACAAGACAGGTGGGCAAAATGCTCGCAAAAAAGTTCAGGTAAGTTTTATTTATTTATATCTCAATCGATTGATTTTATTATGATTAATCATTTATGATTCATCATATGAAGATTATAGACACTTGTGTCTTCCATTGATGAATCGTTAAAACGTTAATTAAATTTATAATGGAATATTAATGATATATTCAATGTTATGATTTTGATATTGTTTAAAACAATACAATTTGATAATTTTTTAGGTTTCAATGGTTATTCGAGATGAAGTGGAAAAAAGACATAGAGCCGGTGTTAATTCATTACAGTATGATCCAGCTCTTCACAGGCTTTATTCGGCTGGTAGAGACAGTATTATTAGGATATGGAATTGTAAAAATATAAATGAACCTTTTATCCAATCAATGGAACATCATACGGATTGGGTAAATGATATAGTGCTCTGCTGTGGTGGCAAAAATTGTAATTAATATTTATATTTACTACATAATAATTTCTTCGTTCATTTAATTACACATTTTAATGTTATTTTTCATGGTTTTTTAGTAATTTCTGCAAGTTCTGATACTACAGTAAAAGTTTGGAATGCACACAAAGGTTTTTGTATGTCGACATTAAGAACTCACAAAGATTATGTTAAAGCACTTGCCTATGCAAAGGATAGAGAACAAGTAGCAAGTGCCGGTTTAGACAGACAAATTTTTTTATGGGATGTTAATACCCTTACAGCACTAACTGCAAGTAATAATACTGTAACGAGTAAGTAGATTCGTAAAAAAAAAATTTTTTAAATATAATTCACAAATTATCAGTTTAGTTCATCAATATATTCTGTTTTAATAGCATCATCCCTAGCAGGCAATAAAGATTCAATTTACAGTTTAGCAATGAATCCACCAGGTACTGTAATAGTAAGTGGAAGTACAGAGAAAGTTTTACGAGTATGGGATCCAAGAACTTGTAACAAATTAATGAAGCTTCGAGGTCATGCTGACAACATCAAAGCACTTGTTTTGAATAGAGATGGTACTCAATGTTTGTCTGCAAGCTCTGATGGACATATAAAGCTTTGGTCGTTAGCACAGCAGTTGTGTATACAGACATTTAGAGTCCATACAGAAGGTGTTTGGGCATTATTAGCGACAGATACATTTAGTCATGTAATATCAGGAGGAAGAGATAAAAGAGTGATAATGACAGAATTGCGAAACCCAGAAAAATATACAGTTATTTGTGAAGAAAGTGCTCCAATTTTGAGAATGGCTATGACCCCTGATCAATCAAGTATTTGGGTAGCTACTAGTGAATCAACAATAAATAATTGGTGTATAAATCAAAAAGACTGGCAATGTGGTGATTATTGTGTTGATTCGCCAAATGTTGGTGCCGGTGGAATGGTTCCCAGAAACACAGAGCCTGCTCAAAGAATACTAGGAGGCCCAGCAATAAGACATCACGTAATTTTAAATGATAGAAGATTTGTTCTAACAAAAGACACTGAAGAAAATGTAGCTCTTTACGATGTTCTTAAAGCATGTAAAGTTGAAGATCTTGGACGTGTTGATTTTGATCAAGAAGTTAAGAAAAGAAATAAAATGGTTTATATTCCAAGTTGGTTTAATGTTGATCTCAAAACTGGGATGTTGACAATTCATTTAGGACAAGATGAAAATGACTGTTTTTCAGCTTGGGTGTCTGCAAGAGATACAGGAATAACTGATAATGATAATGTAGATCAAAAAGTAAATTATGGTAATTTACTACTCCAAGCTTTACTAGAACATTGGTGGAAACCGATGCACGCTGATGATGAGAATGAGGCTAATAGTAATGATGGTAGCAGTCAAACACATTCACGAGACGGAAATTTATATTTTCCGGTCCCTGGTCACACTCCAGTCATTTTCAGGTTAGTTTATCTCTTGTAACTTTTCAGTCCTATTATCGATCCATCATAGTTGACTATTAATTAATCCAATTTATTTATCTTTTAATATATATATATATATTAACTTATAAATTTTATTTCTTATAGTGAAGTAGGGGGAAAAACACTCTATAGATTACTTGTTCGAGACGCAGCAGGTGAAACAGAACGCGCCTTGCTGAACGAAACCGTTCCATCGTGGGTTGTGGACATTGTTGTTGACAAAAACCTGCCTAAATTTATCAAAATTCCATTTCATTTGTCTCCACATCCGTCTTCCGGTTTTAAAAATTTCAAAAAGTATATTTAAACTTCTTCTTATTTCAATCTTAATTAACATTTATATTATTATAAATTATTCTATAATTTTCTGTTATTTCATTTTCAGAGATCGATTGATTGCTAATGATTTCATTCAAGTTCGGAAGGTTATTGAACATGTTTATGACAAAGTTTTAGGAGCTGGAAGTGATTCTGGTTCAGTTGCTGGAGGTGGAAACACTGTTTCCAGTGGATCTCCAGCTGGCGATCGTGCCAATACTGATTCGAATGCTGATAACTCTTCATTAGCTGAAGAAAAAGTTGAATTGCTCTGTAACGATCAAGTATTAGATCCTTCTATGGATTTAAGAACAGTAAGTTATTATTTTTTTTCTGTCAAATAAATTATTATATAAACAAAATATCTCTATAAATAAAACGTTTTCAGGTGAAACATTTCATCTGGAAGAATTCAGCAGATCTGACACTTTATTATCGACCAGTTAAATAGTTAGGATCGCGAATGACGAATAATGGTCCTTTGAAATATGCCTGGTTCTGTTCCATGGCAAAGTAACATTGAAAAAGTTTCCGCTCAAAAATGACGTGAACAATTGAACAAAAGTTCGATTTACTACGCCTCAAAGTTGCCAAAAAAATGCAAAAATCATAATTAATACTTTAAAACGATGGAAAATTGTAAATGATCTTAAAATCAGTGAAACTGATAAAATTAGCATGAATATGATATATATTTTTCATGGGATGTTTAACAAGGCGTGTAAAATGATCAAAAAATTTAATGATGCATTTAATATGTATGTAAAAAAAATCTTATTAACGACTTTAAGTAATACTTAATATAAATGATATCTTAATCAGCGTATTCATCGCCAAACATATACATGATGAATGAGAAATACTGCTGAATTACTGTTCGTTACTTGGACAGCATTTTTATTTAAATAATATATGTGTATATGGAATATGATCTTTCTATTCAATTTTTTGTCTTCCTGTGTGAAGAAGATCAATTTTATGAGAGCACAATAATGGAATGATAGAATCAGAAAATTAATTTGTAGATATCACAATTAATGAATTTTTTCTTTTGTACATTTATTAATTATATTACAATTAATTATTAATATAATAGCCTGTTATAGTAACCATTATTTACTTATACCTTCAAAAGTTTTTATCATTTGAGCGTGCCCTAGCGATCTTTAGATCATTTCTCTCATCACATTTAGAGTTTATTCTTTAGTAATTATAAATTTTATAATTTTTGTAGATGAGAATACATAAATAGAAATGAAAAATGTACGTGTAAATATTTTACTCATGGCCTAAAATTAACTTTTATATAGATAAAAACACAATTATGTTTATTTTTTGGCATTAATTTATTATTTATTTATTTTTTTTTTCACTTCAATTAGTTTTTTATTTATATGCTCGTTATTTATGACTCGTTGAATTTTGTTAAGTAATAAAATTATTTATTTTGGATATTTTTGAAACTAATTTTTTAATGATTTTAATAGATGTTGAATGTAAAATTTGAATAAAGGAAAGTATTGTTATTTATATTAGAAAAAAAAGTAATCTACTTAGCATACAATAGAAAAAAATGTATTTGTAAGGGTTTGAAAAATAAATCTAAAAAATAACGTAACGGAGTAGTTGTTTGTATAACGGGTCACTCTTTGACAAGTAAAAGCATGCAATTTAGAATAAAAAATTATGATGAGATAATTCTGTAAAATAATAAATAATTATATAAAAGTAAGTGTTAATATAATTAAAAAATAAATATTTTTTCGTGTACTTTAACGTCGTCTTTTGTGATAGATTTTTTTTATACGTAGTGAAACATTTTTAATAGTAAAGGGTTTATTAGGTAATACAATTATGAGTATTGACTATTTTTTCATATGCACAGCATATATTTTTTTTGCATGCAATAAAATATTAAACATTATTGATCTATGCTTAATAATGCAAGTAAATCATTGAATATAATTCAGGATTTGGATGTGAGATCGTGAAGAGTTATTTAAAATTATCAATCAAACAAAAAGCAAATGAATTAATCAATTTAAATATTGGATATATCAAACGAATTAATGATTAAAGTGCGAATCTTTTCTATTAATAATTATATTTTTAATACTTTATTTTTTTTTATCAAATAAAAATGGCTAAATTTAATTATTCTTCAATTTGAAAACTAAAATAATTTAGCTGAAACCCAAAAATATATGTAATGAAAATAGTGAAATTGTTTTGCTTTTCTTGTAAATTTTTCACTAACAGGATCCAAATTTACTGAATAAATAAGTAACGTTTCATTCTTTTTCAAAGTTATTGTAATTAATACTCGTATCGATATTCATCACTGAATAATTTTTTATCGTAAAATACAAAATTTATCTAATTGAAATTCAAATAAGAAGTAATTTAATATTTCTCTCCTCTTCAAAATATAACATAGAAATTCATAAAAATATATATACTGTAGTACAGAACGTATATCTACATATATAATCTAAAAAAGTTCATTGAAAATTTCATCAATTGCTTCAACAAATGAAGGAACTATTTTTGAGGGAGCCGGAGAAATCAATGCTTCATCATTTGGACGATACTTTCCGGTTTGTACTAAAATACCTTTGATTCCTACAGCTTGAGCTCCTTCAACATCACCTCGAACATCCTAGTAAAACCATTTTTTCTAGACAATGAATCAAAAAGTTTTAAATTATTAAGATATTAAAGTTTAAGAGGTTGATCATACGTCACCAATCATGATTGCTTCACTCGGATCTATATCTCCCAATGCAGCTTTAAAAAATTTTTCAGTAGGTTTCCCTACTACATCAGCTTTAACATCAGCAGCATACTCAAGACCTTTAATAAATCCACCAGGTCCAAGTGCTAAACCATCAGAGCGTTCATAATAACGACCATCATGAACCGCTATTAAAGAGGCACCTTGTTTGAGTAATCTATAAAATGATGTACTTTTATTAACAAACAATTGTCAATTATATTATCTGTTATGAATAAAAGTATATGAATATGTACCTAAAAGCATTATTTAGCTCATTGTAATTGAATTTATTCGGTGCTAATCCAATAACAACTGCAGTAGGATTTTCTTCAACTTTAATTAGATCTTCAAAATCTTCCATCGCCTTTTCATTAATCAATAGATGTGGATTTAATTGTTTAGATATTATAAGTTCTCTTGCTGCTGCAAGAGAACTGAATATTTCTTCCTTTTTAATATCAAACCCTAGTTTAATTAACCGGTTGTGCAGATAATTTTTCGATTCCTTAGAGGTGTTTGTAACAAATTTTATTTTTACATTAGAGGTTCTCAATCTAAAAATTATATGTAAAAAAATTTTTAATAATTCACAATTATTATTATAAGAAAATATATAAAAAATACTTTTTTAAAGCTTCTATTGCACCAGGAATAATATTATTTTCTATATGAATAGTTCCACTAAGATCAATTAGTACTGCTTTTATTTTGTTTGTCATAATCTTTTCTTTTTAAACTTATTTTTTTCGTGAAACTCTTTTGTATTTCTGCAAATTTAAAATAAAAAATTGTTTGTTTAATAAAAAGTTCAATTAATTTTTTTTGATTGAATTTGGAGTAAAAAATATCAAGATAATTTTACTCTCATCATTACATAGAAATCTAACTTTACCATGTGTAACACTGAAGTTTACTACTAATGCTCCAAAATGAGTTTAAAGCGTTTAATATTTTTTCTGATTTAAATTTCGCGCGATTAAAAAGTTCATTATCTGCTTATTTATGTTCAAAATGATCTTTTGCTATAGTAACAGTCACTGATCTTATACTAATCAATACTCTTCACATATTATGCGTCTACATGATATCATCATTTCAAGAGAAGTGCATCTTCTTGTAAAATTTTCAACTCTATGAGTTAACAATGAACAGGTGGAAAACAGTGGAAGATAAGTATTAGTAATAACAATATGAATCTCCACGTCAGTTTAATAAATATTTGGTTATATCACGTGAGTTTAAAAACAATTTAAATTGAAATAATAATTAAATCACTCGATGGAGGCTAAGCTTGAAGCTTATAGACGAAAAAAACGCCGAGAAGCAATGGCTGAAGCTGTTAAAAATAGTATTCAAGGAAGATTACACGCCTGGAAAGAACAATCTTATTCATTATTATCATATCGCGAGGTAAGATTTTGTTATTTATCAATAATAAATACATATTTAATACTTCAATTTACGTATAACTATTCACTAATATAAATATAGAGTATCAATAATGTAAAAAATATGTATTTATCTTAAATTCTATAAAATGTACTTTAACGTTAAGAATTAAAAGGTTTCAGGACAAGGATGAAATTGAAAGTATAGGATCTGAAGAAAGTATTGACATATCACCACAAAAACATCCACGAGTGATTAAAATTCTTTATTTCTTATATTTCTTATTGTGGATAACGTTATATATTATTGCACTGCAGCTGGAGTTTGGAGCAATATATTTTATAATAACAGCTCTGATATTTATATGGAAAAATACACGAACAAGTCCAAAGAAAAAGGGAGAAATAAGTGCTTACTCTGTGTTTAATCCGAATTGTGAACCAATTCAAGGATCAATTAATTTAGAACAATTAGAAAGAGAAATGGGTTATGGTGTAGCTACTAGTTTTGCTAGATAGAAATCATTTATTTATTTTTTAGCTAACTAACGATACTTTGGTAATTCAGTTAACCACTGATTAGTTGGTTAATTTATTTATTGTGAGGTGCCTTGTATACAATTTATTTTCCATTCCATAATCAGATTTATTGAAATATCAAGTCATATCTTGAAGTATTTTGTCGGCATCTTGATAACATTTTAGCATATTATGAAGATATTCGTATACGTTTTTGCTTTGAATTTTTTGTCGGAGTGCGGCTATATCAGTTTGAGATTGAAAAGTTTCATCAGGGCATAAAAGAATTTGCTCTAGATCCTTGAGAAAGTCATTCATTATTCGTATATCCAATGATCTACAATAATCAATCATAATATGGTTTTTAATACATTTGTACTCAACTTTAATAAATTTATAATGTTGATATTAAATAATTATTTACGTACTTTAATCTGTCAATATTCATTATTTTTCCATTAAGAGTTAAACCTTCACTGATGATTCTTTTAACTGTTGTTTTGATGTATTCTTTAAAAAAATTAAAAGCATAAATTATTAAATTAATAAAAATGATATACATTTGTACTTTTTGATGTATTAGATAACTTAATTACGACTTTACCTCTAATGATTTGTAAGTCTTGTGATGTTATTTGATCTAAAACTTCGATGACTTCATTGAGCATTTGTGGATCCCATTGGAATATTGTCATTTCTGACAACTTCCAAATGCTATTGCTCAAAACTCTAGCTAAATTTATTTGGTTTGTACGAACAAAATTTTTATTTTCTGCCAAATTAGTATAATTAATTTGAGAATTAAATGAAATAACTGCTTGAGGCATATTCACTTTTAACCTTTGAAGATTAGTGAAATTATAAGGATTTTGAAAATCTGGAAAATCTTTAGAAGCTTCAAGAACTGTTGTTTGAACCATGTCTGATCCTGACATTAGAAAAACACCTTGCTCTAAAAATAGAATAAAAATAGCAATGTCGTAATAAAAAAAAAACATTCATTCATAGAATACTATTCTAATTTTAATAACTATTTAATACTGTGAAAAAACTCACTATCTATATTTGATTGAAGTAATAGTTATTGGAACGATGTTCTTATTAGTTAAATTAATTTACTATTAATATATAATAAAAAATTTTTTATGCCGGGTTGATGACAGAAATTAAGATCATTAATATTATAACTTTTTATTTTTTCTTAAAAAATGAAATATAATTCTGCATACCTTCAATAGGACTTTTATCAACCGCTAAATAAGCAACAATTTTGGATCGATCATAATTAGATAAAGAATATAAACAAGATTCCATAAAATCTGTAGATATAAGAAAAATTAACGTTCTCTTAGGTATCCATTCATGAGTTTCATAAATTTTTTGAAATTCTTTAGCTATCGAAATCCCGATAACGATGTTTGGACCATCAACACCAAGAACAATGTATCTGTCTACAAGAAGAATGGATAATTATGATCTAGTATAAGGTTAATGATATAATAATTTTATGTACAAGAGAATAAGATTATTTTTATAATAATAATAATAATAATAATAACCAATTATTTTATTTGCTTACCCGGCTCGTGAGAACCACGTACTGTTGCTATCACGCAACTGTCATTTCCTGTGATTTCATTGAAAATATTCAAGCCTGACAATGATTTTTCAACACTTTCCAAGGCTTTACTCGTTCTTAAATGTCTAATAAATTATTATAAAATAAAATATGTAAAAAAATAAATTTATATCATTTATTAATAACTCTAGAGATGAATAAAAAAAAAAGTAAACATACGTTACATTGAAAGTGAGATCAAAGTTTGCATTATTTAAATTAGAAATCAATTCATTTCTTAAATGATCATAGTAGTAAAGGCCATTTCCATCCAATTCAAGTTTTTTTCTTTCAATCCGTATTTCAATCACACGTCCTGCTGCAAATCTTCCAATTAAAAATCCACAAAGAAGACACAGAAAACCCACCGAAAATATCAAAGAACAACACATGCGTTTTGTAACAAATTCAGTCGATTCCCCACCCCCACGACCTGTTTGAAAACTTAAAACACGTTGCATCTTGACAAGATTCACGACATTTGTGTTGAGGAATGAGATTGAAGCTTTGAGATGACTTCTCCTAAATGCCCCACTCGTTTAAGTTAGAATAGAAATATATATTTTAACATGGAGCACAACACAAAACTTTGTTTCATCATTGCAATCAAGCAATTCATGGGAGGAATATTTTTCTTTGATCTCTCCTTGGATCATTTACTCAAAAATAAAGCTTTTGTAACAGATTAAAATAGAAATAAATAAATTTTATGAACTAAAATCTTTCACCAGACACATTGAATAAAGTTTATATTTTTTTCAATGATAATCCTTTAAGCTATTTTACTTTTTTTTTATTTTTGTTAAATCTTTAAATCACCTTTCATAAACAAGTGTTATTTTTTTTAAGCAGTCAATTTGATTAGGCTGCCTTAAAAATCGCATAGATAAATGACACTGATTGCCGTTAATGTTTAGTTCATTTTAATGTATAAAAACACTCAATAACAATATAAGCATACGTATTCATTTTCTATTTCTTCTCTCTGGTGGCTGGTTTATATTTCGAGTTTTATTTCGAGGCGATAATACGACACAGTCTTGACATTTATAAATAGTTTACGTTTATATTACATACATGTACAAGGTTATTTAGCTAACACTTTTAAGAAAATCTCAAAATATTACAATTTTCCGCTAAACTTTATAACTGACATAATTTAAAATCAATTGAGATTCTTCTAAAACTTAGCAATAGCTTTTGCCTTTACTTGTGAAAATTAATCGTTAAATGAACTAAATTTTATCATTTATAGAAGCATTATTATTAGTTAATCACAAATCAGCTGGATACACGGTTAAAAACTTTATTTTATTTTTATATTTTAATTACAATAACTCTTTTATAAGTAATAATGTATCTGTAAATATTAATTCATCAGTTAATCAAAACCTAATCACTGTAACGTTTTCACATATACTAATTTGATGATTAACATATTTATGTAATAAACTGAAAAATAGATATGTTTATTAATAATATTTAAAAGATGGTAGTAACATTTGCGGATAATACAAGAAAAATTTACCATGTATTTCCAAGTGCACATAACAGTGATACAGTTATAGTTATAAATATGATTACTTAAAAGTGATCGCTTCAGCATTTTTATTTTTATTATTTTTAACGTCCAGAATAAATTTTAAAAAATTCAATAGTTATATAAATAGTTGATTCGAAGAGCATTTTTTTACTTATGTTTTATCATTTTTGTATGAAAATCACAATTAAACGTAGAGTAAATTTAAATCAAAAGTGTGGTAAGAAAGAAATTTTTTCGAAAAATAATTTAAATTACTCGTATGGTAACTCTGTTTAATTTATTCTATCAACTTATTAGATAATATAGTGACAATAAAAATTTTTAAAAAATGTGAAAGTAAAAATTTCAACATACTTTTCAATCATTAATATTCAATAATTTCTTTTTAATGATAAAATTTTCAAAGAGACTCAAAATTATGAATATATATCTTAAATATTGAAGTTATTTATTCACAAAAATTTAATTTTTTTTGTTTTTTGTACATTAAATGTAAATTAAAATACTTACTGTTTATAACTAAAATTTTCGAGTTTTTGTTGGAATTTTAATTTCAACGATAAATTCAGAAAATAATTATTAAGATTAATTTTATTTACTACAAGCCATCATATTGTTTTTATTATCATTATCGATCAATCGTGTATTAATGTACAAAATGTACATGTTATATTTCTATGTAAAAAAAAATATTTTCATAATTCTTGATAGATGATGACTGAATAAATAATTGAGATTTATGATGTTATTTTTTAAAATCCTTCGAAACTGAACAGTTTAAATTAATGATATACAATTATAATATTGAGGTAAAATCACCAATAATGGACGCTTAAAAATACTGAACTTAAACATTTATAAAATATCTCATCAATATAAAAAATTTCAGAATAAAACAATGTAGATCCGACCATATTGACATTCTTTACAGCGAAGATAAGAATAATAAACTTTTAAATTGTAATAATTACAAAAAATAATAATCTAATACCGCTTATCTTCGCAGAATAGTATGTTTCGTAACGTTTAAGAGAAATTATTTTACATGGAAATAAAGTAATAAATGAAAATGATGATGATGATGATTCTCTCAAAGTGTTAGATGAAATAGAACTCATTATATAATGTATATGTATATTCAAATATACATGATGGAAGAAGATAAATTTTAATTAACTATTTGGTTGTTTTGCAGTTTGTCTATTGGTGGTAGTAGCAAAAGTTGTTTTCAAAACGTAAATTATTAAATTAAAGCATGTGACACTATCATCAGGTTGATTTAATATTAATTCTACTTACAATCGAAAGATTGCTACAAGTTTTGTAAAATTGAAGGTAGTACTAACATTCCGGAAGTATTCAATAAATAACTGACACTGTAAATTTTAGTGTTTTATTTTAAAACAATTAAAAACGTTTTAAAATCGAGACAATGTTAATCAAATGGGTGATGTCATATTAAATCACTTTTAGTGTTGTAAAATAAAACACTAAAATTTACCGTATGATTCTTTGTAATAAAGTAAACAAATTGCCTCCAACATATTACCACGAAAAAAATTATTTTATGTTTTAAGTATTTTTGTAAAACTGCGAATAATCTTTCGAAAACTGATAGTAAAATTGCATTGTCTCCAATAAAAGGTTTCAATTAAAAAACTTATGAACGAAATACCAAGACCAGCAATAAGAATTTCAAAAGCAAACAATAAATCATCTAAACTAAACGGTTTATGATCTTCGCTAAATTGAACTTCTTTTCTAATACATTGATAAGTAACATTTAATTTAGCCCATTCTAAAAGATGTGTAACGATTCCACTTTCAAACATTCGATTATAAATAATTCTAACTCTGTTCAACAATGACCAATTTTGTCTCATTCTGTAAGCCACGTAGAGGGTTGGTTTCATCTCTTTCGAGTGATGCATTTTATATTTTATTGTAAGATCCATATTATTATAATAATCCCAAATTAATGCCATCTGACGACTTTTATGCAAAAATTTCGAATTAATATTTACCATTGTACATCGTTTTTGTATTTTATGAGATAGAAGAAATTCAAAACCTTCCATACAATAGAGTTTGTAATTAGATGCCATAAGATCATCAAATGTGTTAAAATCATCCGACTCAGGTGCATGAATAAATGAAAATATTTTGCTTCGAAGAATTGATTGTATGATCAAAATAAATATCAGTATTGTAGAGAAAAAAATTCTGAATGACATCATATTGGGAACTTTTAAAAGAGATCCATTAAACAATAATCGAAAAACATCTATAGTCGCTCCACCAATGTTTCTATAAACAGATAATCTTAAAACTAATACAGTTAACACTAGAGTAATTAAACTTAAAACTATCACTAAAGGCGAGTACAAACGTAATAATTCAATATAAATGGACATTTTCCCTCTCTGATAAGTAATGAATGTAATTCCACTTTGGCCCAATGCTGAAGTCGAATGTAACAAATCCTTCGAATAAGCTAAATATCGAAAATCGAGTAAAATGTCATAAGTACCACGTGCAAGACTTGCTTCAAGTCCAAGAGTATCACCATTTTGTGTTACAGTACCATATTCGTAAGTACGTGTAATTTGAGGATGGGTATTCAATCGGCGAAATAAAGTATCACTCATAGCTAAGTCAAAGTTTCTCTTTATGCTGCAACTATTGTTCAACGAAATTTCTTGGTGAGGATCGTGTGCGTCTATAATTTGAAAAACACCTCTTATCCCTTTGTATCCGTCAAGTCGAAGAGTTTTATCAAAAAAAAAATAATCACATGGAAAACCTGAAATTGTTATCAAAATTTCAATTTACTGTTCATTTGGGAATTAATTTTTTTTCGATTCAACTTGATTAAAATTATTTTTATTATTACAATTAAATTCATTGAACCATTTAATATGATTGATGCATTCTTTTATAATAAATTTAATAACATTTTGACAAACATAAGTCTTTCAATAATACATTTTTCAGAATCGAAAAATAACTTTGTTAATTTTGAACGTTTATAACACTAACGAAAATATATATTGATTAATAATTAATATAAGTACACTAAAAGAAAAATTTATTTAAAAAAAAAAATAATTCATTAAAATCATTAACATCGAAATTTCAAATAGTTACTATGAAATATTTCTTTAAAATTATGAATATTTTATTTGATTAAACGAATGAAATGTCATTTGTTTTCATACTTGTCGTAACATTGAAACAAATGACAAAATGTGTTTTTGATAACAATATTATTGGATTGAATAAAATATTATCGTGAGAATACTCCAAGTTCCTTTTATAGACTAAATAAAAAAATTTTCTTTTTAACGAAATAAATATGTAAATAAAATATTAGCCTTTATGTCTATCAAAGCCATTATAATGTCAAAAACATTTATTCAATGACTTCAAAATCACTCATATTTATCGAATGAAAACTAACTGATTTTTTATTTTTTATAATAATTAAAAATAAACAACTTTATCATATACAAGAGAAAATGAAAAAACTGACTGTTAATGTGAAAAAACCAATATTACATAAATAATATATACCTGATTGAAATATTTGACTGTACAAATACCAAGAGATATTATTCTTTTCTTCAAGTGTTTCGATGAACTCCCAATTATCAGGTGCCCAGTTCGTAAAGGGATTGTAAGTATAAATGGTGACATTTTTCTCATCTTTGGAGCACAAAACTATTGAATTAAGTAAATCAATTTTCCAAGTATTTAATAGAATATCTATGCTGTCATTACAATTATCAGATTGTAAATAATTTTTAATGATAATAATATTTCCCTGATGATTCCACCATGGTGAAGTTTTAAATTCTTTCATGTAATCATTAAATTGGTTGAGGGAATCAACTGATATAAGATAAAAATTGAGTTTGGAGTTAATAATTGGACTATATAAAATATTTTCGTGATCATTTACATAAAACAAACTTATTCTCTTTATGTTGTGAAGCAATGATATATTGCTATCTTTAAAATCACCCATTAAAAGTATAGGAATATCGTTCACATGACATCTTTTGACGATATTTATCTGCAAAATATATATTTTTTTTTAATGAACTTTATCAACTATATATTTCTAAAACTGATCTAATTCTATTTGATATTCTAAACCGCCAAGAAAATTTTTTAAAAAAAATAAGTGATATTTAAATTAAAATATTGTTATATAATTTTGTTATTTTACTATTTAAAAGTTTATTATTTTTATTATTTTTTATCTAAAAAAAAAGTAGTATTTGGAATTCAGTTTTAGAAAGTATAATAAATATGAACGCTATTTATATTAACTGCTGAATCAACAATGGGATTCTGTGATGGCAATATCTTCCATGATATCACAGGTACAATAATGATACAAATTAATACTTTGAATTGTCTTATCATCATTGACACCAAGAATATGTTGAACAATACAATGCAACTACTTGATCCACTTAAGTTGTAACAAGCAATCGACAATACAATAGTATATATCAATATTGTACAACAGGTCAATATCTACTTAAAATAAACGAATACATTTAAAAACAATTTCACTTATCAGATCATACTATGATAATCTATAATAAATTTTTCTAACATTACTATACATTGTCAATATCAATATTTATTGTACCATAAAAAATATTAATAGCGATCTTTAGAGGATAAACAGTACTACACCAATAACTTTCTCTGTTTGGCAATGAAAGATGTAGCCCATCTAGTACAAAAAATAAAACATAAAAAGTTTTTTAATAAGGCAGCTAATTAGTTTCTTAGTGAGTTTTTTCATCTACTAAGATTGAAAAGGAAAGGTATATCTAATTAGATAATTAAAGATAATTATCTGAAAGGAAACAAACGGAATGTTCAATTGTTTTCAAATTGTTAAATATAGATAGATACGGAAGTTATTGAAAATAATAAAATAAAACATTTTTTTACAGCTAAAAATTTTACAGTTATTTGCTTATGACATCATAATTATAAACGATATTAGTTTAAAATGATCTTGGATTATGAATCATCATCATTTATTGACTAAATTATTCTATTCAACTTGCGGTCATGTAACTCTTTTTCCAACTAGTATTCCTAACAATTTCTCACAACAAGAAACTTATGATTTTGTTTGAATTTTTTTCAGCTGACAAATTATACAATCCGTTATGTAGGACATGTTGAGCCATATTTTGACTTTTCTTAAGACACGAAGAAAATTCACTGTCATTAATGTATACACTTGTAGTTATATTCACATTTCCTATGTTAATGTCATTGCTTCACTGCTTCTTTTCTTTATGATTTTATTTTTGCAACAAAAACATTAAATATAATCATAATATAGTCAAATGTTGGTGCTTGATCTTTTATTATGATTGCTTATCAAAAAATTTGATGTGTTTTTTTATAACATCATTGATTATATAAATTCGAGGGATTTTTCTAATACTTACAGATGAAGAAATAAAAGTTCACTATTTGCTTCTGGGGCAGATCTTTTCTAATTTTAATATCTAAAATGATTATATTTTAATAAAAAATGATCAAATATTAATAAATGACAACCTCAAGAAAAGTCCGATTTTTCTCTTTGAAAGTTTTTCCATTGAAGGTGCTTTTTGAAAAAAAAAAAATATTGTTCCCATGACTCAAACGAATTTGAAAAGTACAAAAAAGATATAATCCCTTATTTGTTAAAAATTTTAAGGACCTATTTAATGATTGAAAAATTTGTCAGTTTTTAAATATCATCGTTTTTTTTTTATATAGCGGTAAGATGAAAGACAAACAGTAATTTACTTGTTGAATTTGATATAACATAACATTTTTTTCATATTCTACATTTACGTGCATCCGATCTACTTTCACGCAACGAGATTGATTAATTCTTCCAGTGGTAAGAATCTGAATAGCAAACATTTATGCCAGCAATCGTTTTTATTAAATTTTCTATCAGTATTTTCACATAAGGACTAGTGAATGCATAGACAATTTTCTTAATTCTACTTGGGAACAACTGAATTCTCAAATGAATAACAATTCTTTAATGAATATAAAAAAGTAATACATACATACATATAAAAATAGAATTGGAACGAAATTTCTCTATTTGTTAATTTTTTTTTTTTTCACAAAATTGTAATTTTTTTGAAATAAAAAAACTGTGCGTCTATGAAGGGGATGAAGCAATATGAGTGAGATACATTTTATAGTTTGAATCTTAGTCTCTCTTTATAAAATAATGTAATCGTGAGAAAAATAGTTAATAACAATAAAATGGTTGTTAATGATATTTCATTTAAAGTTAATTGAATACTAAATTGTGAATGCCATAGTTTTAATGAAATTTTTCAGTTCTCATTTTGAAAAATTCAAAGGGAAAACCGAAAAAATGAAAAAGGAACCGGATTTTGAATATGAATACCCCATTATTCCATCTCTTTTAGTAAATGTATCCATAAAATTTCTTATTTAATATTAGATAATGATGATAGGGACAATTGTTACTAAGTAAAAAAAATTTTTGGAAATTAAATGATAATTAACTTTGAGCGGTGAAAGAAATAAAAGCTTTCTCTTAAAGAAATAAATTTAGATGAAATTAAAGTTATATGTTTCGGGAAGTTGTTATTGAAACTTAATTAAAAATTCCTCATAAATTAAAAAGCATTCAGAAGAAATAAAATAAAGTTTTTAAAATGTAACTCAAATAATTTCCTATTTGCTAGTAGGTTGGTGAAAATAATGTTGCTAATTACGTGGTAAATGATGGTCTTAAAATTAAAAGGATAAATATACATGAATGTAGGTAAAAACGCTTTGGCTATTAAAGACTACCTTTTATGGAGAAAAAAAAATATTTTCATTATGGCTTAAACCTGACTACTCAACAAAAGTAAATAGTAAAAATACTTGAATGACCACAGTGAAAGGCTATTAGAAGAACCTTAAATACATAGAAAATACTTCTGATTGAAAAGAATCTCAAGTTTTTTTTCAAGAAGACTACGGCAACTTGTTGATAGATTTTGCACATATAATAAGTTAACTTGGTAGAAGTAGGGTTGGAGTTGAAAGTCAGAAGCAGCTGGAAAACTTAGGAAGGGAACGGAGATGTTTGTTGCTCTGTGTTGTTGTATATCCGTTATATTGTGTTTCGTACCACGTTATACTTGAGTCCAGAGACCTCAGAGAAGGGCACAGAGAGCACTTTACGCACTCCCACTTGATCGGTTGGTATGCCACTTTTTCCATGTCTTTCTCTTGCTCTTCCCCCTCTTTACTACTATATTTCCACCACATTCACGTTCTTTCATCTAAACATCAAGTATCCTCAGTCCTGCTGCTGCAGACTCAAGAATACCGTGACTTTTAGAATTTTACGTTACACTCTCAACTTCTTAAGATTCTTTTACTCAATAGTATACTGAAAGAGTTTTATCATTACACAGAATGATTTGCCGTTTATAGAAAAGAAAATTATTTGCTCAGTGTCATTGATGAGCACTTTTGCAGTTGTTAAAATGATGTGGATGAGAGTGTAAATAGTGCTAAATAACTCGAATAATAAGTGACAACTGTTTATTTTCTCTCCAAAAATCAAAACAATGAGGTGAGATTTAAGTATTAATGCCAAACGTTCGGTGTCTCAATTAATATCATCTTGAATGAGAAGAGTTTTTTTGTGCCTGATTTTGGTGAAAAAGGTGTGAGTGAGCCAGCGTATCAATAAGTACATATTCACTCGACCATGACCTCAAGATGTAAACTGACGATGATCCGGCTTTAAAGAACCGTTACACCTTCGGTAAAATATAACATTACTCTACAGATGGTATTGATATGTTAAAACATGTTTAAGGAAAAATAGACTCCTAATATATGCACACGAAAGAATATCACTAAATTAGTGAATCAATATGAGATAAATAGTTATGTTTATTCATTGAAAATATTATATAGAATATTCGAGGAAGGACATTAAATAATAAATTAAATACCATACATTTGCAAAATATTTCAATTTTAGTAGAATTAAAATTAACTGTTAATTAAAAATTATTTTATTAAAACAACAACAATTTGCCAGTTTCTTTTTTTTTAGAAGAAAGCCAGACCCGCATTTTTGTGAATAATAAGCAATCATTTATGTAAGCTGTGAAATGGGTTACTACTCATTCATTTAGATTTAGAGAAAACAATTAAAATAAAAAAAAAAAGTTTATTGTAAATAATGGCACAAAAAAATTAATCATATCTTTACGGTATGATTTAAATTTTAATATCAGAAACAATGAATATAAATATGAAAGTATTTTCGCCAAATAATTGACTATTAAAATAATAATCCAATTATTATTTGAGTCATAACATAACAATTTTATTTTTACACATATCAAATGTATGAGCTGCAATACATCTCCTTGTGATGCAAATCGTTGAAAACATAATCTTTATAGTAGTCAGCTTGTAATTCAAATTCCATGACCTTTCACATTTCTTAAGCTTCTGATGATGTGAATACTCAAGTTATTTATATGGTAAAATATAAAATCATAATACAAATAGAAAAATTCTCATTATTACTTCACAAAAAATTACATACAAAGCTAAAGTCAACTTTTTATTTATATTTGGGAATTTTTTAAAAATAATTTATTGCTGAAGAGATAAAAATTTTCTCATTTAATTTAATAAAATGGATAAAGGAAATTTTTTACATTATTATTTCGTCAAGTATTTCATTACCAGTGTATTTCTAAAAAAGGCATTTATATTTTAAATAATATGATTAGATAAAAATATAAATAATTAAAATTATTTAGCTCAATTGCGTAACGTTAATTTGAAATGTAGAAGAAAATTTTGAGTTGAATGTGGAGAAAAAGAAAAATGAAATTTAAAATTTTTATCACGCAGTGATGGATTAAATGTGTTATCAGAGAGATGAGAAAGTATCTTTACCGGTGTTGGATGAATCTTGTGATCGTGTAGGAAAGAGAAAGAGAGAGACGTCAATGCCATCGAAGACTAAGATTCAAGTAGTACAAAAAGATGCCTTCAAGCAATTCATTTAAATTTTTTCTGGCCAAATTCTTTACATTTATTTACATTTAATTTTATACATTTTAAATTGATTAAAGTTATTATAGTTATCTTTAAAAAATCATTTTATAATAAATAATCGTTTCCACTTCCAGATTTACAGCAACTTTAATATTATTTTTAATAATATCTACATTCAATCAGAGTAACGCACAATGGAGACCTTGCGTGGAATATAAACGAGATTTACATTTACCTTGTAAATGTTCACAATCACCAGAACATCCACGCTCAATCCGTATGGATTGCGATCGGGTTATTTTCAACCGAGAATCGTTGGAAATCCTGCGAGATCAACCAATAGTATCAATAAGTCGTCGTAATTGTGGCTACCAAAAGTTACCTGAAGATTTATTAATGTCTGGTGTGCAACTAGAAAAACTGGATCTTACTGGAAACTCAATTCAAAGACTGATGGATCGTCATCTGATGTCTCAAAGGCATCTAAAGGAATTGAGACTTGGTGACAATTTATTGGGAGATAATCTTAATCCTATTTTCTCTACCAACGAATTTCATGATCTAGAAAAACTTAAATTATTAGATTTACGTGGAAATGGTTTGAGAAGTTTGGAGGAGGGTATTTTTAAAGGTTGCATCAATCTTGAAGAACTATATCTTGATGATAATAATTTGACGGCCGTTCCAGCTGACTCTTTAAAGGGTCCAAGGACTATCAGATTACTTTCGCTTGCCGGGAATAATATTGGTAAGTCATTCAATTGATCAATTGTGTTGTGAGAAGAATAATATAATAGATATAAATATTGCATAAAGATTAGTACAAAAACTTTAAATAATTATCAAAAAACATATAAGTAGTTGTTATATCTTTAAAAGTTCATTATTATTCATCAAAAAAGTTTGTAAAGTTTAAAAATGAATAAACGTTAAATTTATAGTATTCTATTTATGAATAATTATATTTTTAACAGATAATATGTCTCAGAGATATAATCGTATAAAAAAAGAGAACGCTTGAAGTATCTATTGAATGTTTAATGATGAATGAAATAATTTATACATTGCGAAAGTATGTATGTAAAACGTTTTTCTAACTTCTAACACTATTCATAACATTGTGTAAAAAATTGACTGAGTTTTAACATTCATCTTTTTACATCGTACTTGTATCTAAGTTACTCATTTAACACTTACAACGATATAATAACATTATAATTTAAATTTAAGTCGAAACACTTTGTATAAAAAATGTCCTTGAACCTTCTTTCCAACTATGGAACACGACTTAATCTCCATACTAAGGTCATTATTTTTTTATTCAAAATGTTAGATTTATTGTAGTTGAACCTAATTTGATTGAGAACATAAACAATGAATTTTATATAAATATTTAAATTCAGATAAAAATGTAAAAAGATTTGTATTGTATTTCATGTAATGAAAGTAAATGGTTTTTTTCCAGGTTTTCTACCAAGGAATGCCTTTGGTAATTTGGGTGAATCTCTCTTTCGAGTAGACTTGAGTCGTAACGAATTATTACAGATGGAAGATGATGCTCTGGCTGGTTTGCAACATCTGCTCTTCTTCAATCTCTCTCGCAACGATCTAACTCGATTTAACAGCGACGTTTTCAAGGGTAATTATACATGATCTAGAAGTCTTACCACGCCTTATTCTACCTTCACTATATCTTCGTATACTACCACAGCAAAAATAACTTTACTTGTTCTCGACTTCATCTGAAAGTTATCGTTCACTGTACCTTCCAATTCTAACAACACCTTATGGGAACTGAAAAAAAGAACGAATGAAACATTGCGGTTAAGTTATGCTGTCGTATCGTGAGAAAAAATCTACACACAAACTCCTTAGTGTTCTTTTTTCTGGATAATATAATGAGCAAACGTCATACTGACGACCAAGACCCCGTGCTTAGTTCACCAAGTTCCGCATGGATCCACTTAACTCTCACGAACACCTACCGGGGGTAAACGTTCTCTTATTCAATTGTATTGCAAATTTCCGCTTTCTTATTGAACTTTTTGCCGGTTCATCATAAATAATCTTTTTTCTATGTATTTATTAGACGAAAACGACTACCATTCATATAAAAAATATTTTTAAAATAAGATATGTATCATTTATCATGTGATATGATTAATTTAAACAACTTTCTTTCGTCATTTGTCACCAGGATTTTTATAATTAAAGACCTTGTTCATTCATTATTTTTTTTTTTTTTTCATTAATTACTTAGATAGTATTTATTATTCAGACATGTATAATTATATTACAACAAAAAATAATAATGAAGAATAGAAATTTTTCTCAGAGAAAATTAATTTATCTAAAAGTACTTTAGAAAAGAGAAAAATTACTACTTCAGTGGTAAGATTGACAAAGGTCTGAGTTTCAAATATAAATTATCATATTGATTTCCAAGCAATAAATCGATAGAATTTGATTTGAATATTCAAAACTTTCACCAGTTCACGTGAGTAAGTATACCAATTTTTTTTCCCAGTGATTAAAACGATTTCTTCACTTATTGCAACAGGATTTTATAATTAGAATTTTTTGTTAATTAGCATTCAAGCAGTATGTGAAAAACAATGCTTGATGAAGCCAACAATATTGACGATTACATTATTATTTTTAGGCGCTCATAATTTGTTGCAACTGGATTTATCGACCAACTTTCTCCAAGAATTTCCATCTGATGCTCTTCGACACTTGGAAAGATTGAAATTTCTCAACATTTCTAACAACTTAATAACCGTAAGATATTTTCTATTTATTTATTATTTATTTTTTTTTTGATACATTATATATTATTCAAAAAAATTAGATTTATTCAAATTTTTAAGGAATGATAATTCATAATTATTACAATTTTCGTAACAAGTTAATGTATTGTGCATGAAATAATTCTTTTCAGAAGTATACAAACTTTTTCACATTATTAACTTACTGATGGGATTAATTTTTCTATTTTTGAGCTGTATAATGAGAATCGACAAAATTATTTGTAACATAAATTTATAATTCGATCAAAATAAACCGCTCTTTCAATGTTCAACGTTAATTTATTTAATGAATTTGAATAGCATACAGATTTCATTTAAAAAATAACATTTTATAATGCAATTTTTTATATGCTTCTCGTTACTAATATCAGTTGTTTTTTGTTCAAATTAAATAATAAAAATGATATGTTTATTTAAATATGAAGAAACTGTATATGTACATGAAACATAAATAATGATGGAATTTCTATAAATAAAAGATTTTCATGTTAACCAGTAATAAATACTTCAAGTACAAATAGCCGGTTATTAAATAAGTGTTCAAGACCGAGATTTTATCTGATAGTAATGCTTTTGCTTTGATAATTTTTATGTTAGACATTGCATGTTATTTAGTGAATTAAAAAAAAATTATACTAAATTTCAAAATTTAATATTAGTATATAAGAGAAAGTAGTATTAAGTTAACTAAATGGTGTTGAATTTTTAATTTTTTACTGGCTCATAATCACCTTGAGGCGTAAAAAAACTATAACTCGATATGAAATATGAAAAAATTGATCGGTTTGAAGTGCTAATATTATATTTAAAATAGAAAATTTACTTTAGAATAGTTATATCTCATCTTGACCTCAAATAACTTAGGTTTTACCTAAATAAGTCAAAATAAGGTCATTATATTGACTCTTGACTACTACTAAAAAACCTATGTGCTATATTGATGATATTATTTCATGTTAAAAAATTATAAACTTTTGAAATGATTTTTTTTTATATATTTTTAAAAAATTTTTAGTCAAAAAAAGTTATTTTATTCATGTAACAAAACTACTAATTAATAAACATATTGAATATAGAAATTTAAAGAAAACTATTCAACTGTACTACATTATATAAAATATTACAGGAAATCGAAAGGACACACTTGGCAAGTTTAACCGAGCTTCAAGTACTTGATCTGAGCAAAAATAATATAGGACGTCTTGGAGTAAACGCCTTCACCAATCTCACGGCTCTTACCCGGCTTGATTTGAGTTTGAATGCTTTACGAACGGTATTCATATAATTTTAAAATTATACAAGATAGATGAAAAGTGTTGACTACAATTCATATTTCCTTGTTTTTAGGTTGAAGAATCGGCATTTGAAGGATTAACCAATTTAAAATGGCTATCTCTTCAAGACAATAATATTTTACTCGTTCCTGCCGCAGCTATAGATCGACTACCGTCACTTGCACACTTACACTTGGAATTCAATCGAATAGCAGCCATTTCAAATGAATTATTACGATCAGCAATAACTAATCTTGTTTCATTAGCAATGACAAGAAATCTTGTACGTGAAATTCCATCAAGAATGTTTTTAAACTTTGACAAACTCATCAGTATTGAATTATCAGGAAATATGCTCTCCTCTATTACTCAACAAATGTTTGTTGGACTTGAAGATACTCTTTTAAACTTAGATTTATCAAACAACCGTTTAATTTCAGTATCACCGCTAATGTTGAAGAATTTATTGTCTTTAAATTTAGCATCAAATCATCTTAAACGTCTAACTCCAGATACTTTCAATAATTTATCAAGACTTAAATATTTAAACATAAGTGAAAATCCTCTTTATGGAGGTTTCCCACCTGTTTTTCCATCGTCTTTAGTCATATTGGATGCTTCTAGGACAGGATTAAAAATTCTTCCTACAGTCTTACTACTGAATTTGGATTCTTTATCAAAATTATATCTTTCTCATAATCATCTTCAAGAAATCGGAGAAGGAACTTTTCAGCATCTTTATAATCTTACTTCGATTGATCTTTCATATAATATTATCGAAAGAATTGATAATGGAGCATTTGTAGGATTAATCAATCTTTATAAGCTTAACTTAAAAGGCAATAGATTAACTTCATTTGCTGGAGAATATTTTAATACTGGAACTGGCTTGGAAATACTTGATTTATCCGACAATGCTATCAGTTATGTTTCACCAACAGCCTTTATTATTCATCCTAGGTTAAAAGAGCTTCGACTGAATGGTAATAGATTTGCTCGCTTTCCCAGTGAATTTATTAAGTCTTTACAATTTTTACAAGAAATTGATCTTTCAAAGAATGCTTTAAAAAATGTAGGAGAGTTTGCATTTGCTCAAATGGGTAGACTTCAAAAACTAAATTTATCGAATAATAAGATTGAATCTATTGATGAATTAGCTTTTCATAATTCTACACAATTACAAATAATTGATTTATCCAACAATGTTCTTGAAAGTTTAAGTGAAAGGACAATGGAAGGAGTTTTGAGAGTTGAATTTTTGGATTTATCCAACAACAAATTATCATCACTTCCTGATACCATTTTTGATGGATCAAAGATTAAAACTGTTGAACGAATAAATTTGTCTAATAACAAATTTGCAGAAATTCCTACTCGTGCTTTGCAACGACAATCAATTTCACTTCATCATTTAAATATGGCAAAAAATAAACTTGTACAAGTTTTTACGCAAGAAATAATAAACAGTGTAAAAGAGTTAGACCTTTCACAAAATCCATTAAGTGAAAATGCAATCGAAAGTATCTTAGGAGAAGCAAAAATTTTGCGAGCTCTTAATTTAGCTCAAACAAACATAAAAAATATTTCTCGATTAGAGACTCCATTTTTGAAATCATTAAATCTCTCTGGAAATAATTTAACTACTGTACGATCAAGTGCATTAGAGCGAGCAACACTTTTACAAACACTGGATTTATCTTTCAATAATATCAATGACTTTACAAGCTTTGCAAATGTGTATAAAGTTCTCCCAGTGTTAAGAAATTTAGATATATCAGGTAACAAATTTAAATACGTTAATGAAAGTAGTTTTGAAGGCTTGGATAAATTACGTGTATTAAAAATGTTTAGCCTCTCAGAAGTAATAAGAATAGAGAAGAATGCATTCAAATTCTTAAACAAATTAAGAAAACTTATAGCTTATGATTATCCTCGATTGGGATATTTTGATGTTCAAGGAATTCTTAAAGATATGCATAATCTTGAAATATTAGATGTTGAAATCAAAGATTCTTCAGCTGGTAACGATTTACTGACAATTAGATCTCATCCTCGTCTTCAACAATTAACTTTGCGTGGTGAAAGACTCAAAAATATACTTTCTAGCACCTTAGTAGGTGTAAGAAATCCTCATCTAAAAATTGGTCTTAAAAATTCATCAATAGAATCGTTGCCTGCTGCTCTTTTTTTTCCAGTGCCACGATCAACTCAAGTTGATCTGGACATCTCTGGAAGTAAATTTTCAACAATTTCTGCCCAGTTTATAACAGCTTTAGATGAGAGAAATGGAATGGTGCGAGTACGAGGATTAGAAACTAACCCGATTAAGTGTGATTGTGAAACTAAAAATTTATGGAGATGGTTAAGAATAATTTCCAATAATCTTCAAGTTCGTTGTAAAAGTCCTGAGCATTTAGCTAATAAGTTATTAATGGATTTAACTGAAGATGTTTTATCATGCGAAAGAATATCTACAAAGCCGCAAATGACTCAAACTACACCAGGAACGCGGCCAATTGGATCATCAGAACCAGAAATTATTTGGACTGTAGCTCCAACTGTAACTGATAATAGAAATAAAAATTATCAAGATAAAAATGGTCTACCTGTTACTGGAACGACTGACGATACTTTAATAATTGGAATAGTCGGAGGAGTCGTTGCTTTTATCGCAATTGCAATTATTATAATATGCATTTGTCGGTTAAAGTGGAGCAGCCAAGTAAACGAAGCTAGAATAAATGGTATGGCATCAAGTATTCATGATACTTCAGTTATTCAACCTGCAAGTGTTTATTCCGGAAAAATGAACCATGAAGCTTATATAGGTTCTTATAATAACTCAACATTAGGCCATGGAAATGGACATACTGGTCCAAATACTCCGGTTCAAATAGTACCTTATGTGCAACCAATGCATGTCATGCATCCTGTAACACCGCCACAACCAATATATGGTTATTACGGAGAAAATCCTTCACATTTACCTATGTATGTCTGCGCTTCCGACGATAAATTTAATAGATAGTTAGTACATGTTCCTTTTATTTAATTAAAATTATTCATAAATGATCTATAACGAATTTATGCAATAATATTGCATTTAAATTTTATTTTGTAAATATATATTGAAGAGTTTATTTATATTATATATCATATGAAATTTTGTATAATTATTACTGTAATAATTATTATTACTTTTATTATGAACAATAAGTAATATTGGAATTTTTTTTTTATAATTACGAATTTACTCACCCACTTTATATTACATTAATTTGTATTAATTATGCAAAGTACAATCCATACCGTGTAAGGTTATAAAAAACATGAGTTATATAGTATTATGAAGATGACTGAAGAATTATTTTATACAGTAACTTCAAAATTATGATGAAGTTTTTACAGGTAAAATGAGGCTCACATGTACTCTTCCGATTAATATTAATCATTCAATTATCACGTAGTCTCTGTACATATTGATCAATGTACAAGCAGTAAATTTCTTTTTATTTTTTTACGATCAATCAATTTTTTTTATTCTATAAGCTTTTTTGCTCTAAAAAAACGCCTCAGATAAAAGACCTGCCAAGTTGCTAGACCCAATAAACAACACATTGAGAATATGCTGAAGTATAAAACCCGAGCATTTGTTGCTTCTGCAAATTCATAAAAATATACATAATTCATGTAATAGTTATTTAAAATATTTATTTAGTAAATTTTTTAATGAGTAAAATAAGTTTACTACCATTTGTATCTCGCATTTGTTCTTCTCTTTGACGCATTCTTGCAAAATCTAAAACAATACTTTCTGATAAATCTTCCAAACGTTTGAGCTCAACTTCAATTGGTTTTAAGTTCGAAGCTTCTCCAATCTATTAATGAATAAAATAAATATTACAAAAATATTTTAAAAAAATAAAAAATAGTCAGTCAAAAAGTTACAATTAATTAATTAATAGTTACTTTTTAAACTTATTATGATTGAATAAAGTAAAGATTTAAGATACGAATAGTTGCTATTAATGAAAAGAATAAGCTAATAATTAGTCAAAAATTTATTACATATCATTACAAACTAGCTACAAATAATAATTAGAATACAAAAATAGTTAAATAGTTGTTAAAATAAAAAAAATAGAAAAGTATTAGGTGAAAACAGAAAAAGAATAACACACATAAGCTAAAGAAATACAATTTTAATTTACCATCTGCGCGCCCAAATAAGATCACATATAAAAAAAAGAAAGAGTAAAAATTTGATTGAAATGAGAAATAATTTCATTTATTAATAAATGTTTGATGACATACCGCTTCATAATTTTTAGCTTCAATACCATGCTTGGTAATTAGAGTAACTTCTTGGGTCATACCTTGTTGATCTATGAAATAAATGAATCGAATTTTGAGTATTGACATGAAAGAAACTTTTCATTAAATAAATAATTAAAGTTTAAAATGAAAGCGTAGTAATTTTTACTTTTTTAAATAAAATAATGACAAGTAAAAATATAATTTTATACAGAAATATTATATTTATTTTGAAGAACATTTTTCGTTCATCAAAATTGAAAACTTACGAATTGGAAGATTCGAAACAAAACAAATTTCAAAAGTATCTACATTTTCAGTAACGAATGAAAATTTCCACTCTTTTCCATGTGGAATATCTTCTTTACGAGCAAGTACATGCCCTTTAGAGTCTGTAACCTAAAGTTATAAGTTATAAAATTAATTTTCCATATTGTAGGTTAGTTGAACTTAACCTAATCAATTGATTTATAATTAGTAAAAAATACAAATAAATGACACTTACAGTATAATCAACGCGTTGACCAGGTGCCTCAGATATTTTATATTCTCCAGTTACCAGAACATTTGCTTGAAGTTCTTCTTTTAAACATTTTCGCCCATTCGGCTCTAAGTGAAACATTATACTTTGTACATTGGCTATTACCAAAAGTAATACCCAAATAGGGTAGTAAAATGAACTCATATTTAATAACAACTACTATTAATGAATAACTCCAATAATTTTTTTTTTTTATAAGTAAATATTATTGTAAAAGCTTTAAGAAACAACGAAGAAAGTCAATGTACGTCTGTCAACATTTCGATGAGTTGGCAGCCATTGGAAAGTGGAGAGTGATCACTTTTTTCTTTTTGACGTGTATTTCGGAGCACTGTAGGAGATGACGCCATTCAAAATGCTATAGCCAATCACGTTGGCTATTTTTCCTTTTCTTTTCATATGATTTGAATTTGTAAACGGTTATTTTGGAGTATAAATGTCAATCTTTAATATTTCGTAAATAATTATTGATTAAAACCTTTTCTTTAATAAAAGTAAAAATTTATAAATTTTTTTTATTCTGTAATAAATATATTATCAAAACACATTTATTTATTCAATGAATATTATTTATAATATTACGTGATTAGATAAATCTAACCTTCAAAATGTTACAAACACTTGATGATATTATGAAGGATCAGCTAAAAACAGCAAATGAACTTGATGTAGCAACTACCTTTTTTTTAAGTAAGTTCATTTTTTATATTATTTACCTCTATTTCATGTATGCAATGGTAAGATATAAATAAAATAGTAATTTTTTTTTTTCTAGATAAAGATATTGTGAAAGAATCACTGATAGCAGCAACGAAAGATGTTCATTCTATTAAATCAGGATTATGTGACATGAAAAAATATTTAGAACGAATGAAAAAACAGAATGAAATATGTCAGGTAAACGTAAAACAATGTCAAATTTTGGTTATCATTAAAATTGAAGGTACCAAATCGAATATCATCTTTTAGGAACTCATATCATGTTACAATTCATTCAATACAAAAATAAAATACTTAGAAAATAATATACCACAAAGTCTGATACAAGCTCTTCAAAAACCGAATAATCAAACCGAAGAAAAGAAAGAATCTAAGCCACCACTTAAAAAAATAAAACCAAATGGAACAACACCGGCAACAATACAATCAGTTAATTCTCAACAAAGAACTGAAGGATTAAATTCTATAAACGACATTAATGCCTCTGAGTTATTTTCTGATGTTCAAGACTGTCGAAAGACACTTTTCAAAGAAGAAACTGAAGATTCTTATTTTATAGAACCATTAAGTGAAACTGAATTTTCTAAAATTCCAAAATATATGATAGGACGTCAAAATATCACAAATGTAAACGACTTTATTTCTACTATAAACAATGTTTTAAAGGCTAAATATAGTATATTAGCTTTAGGAAAAATTGGAGCACGCAAAAAAGGTGAATTAGAGTTATATTTGCAATTTAAAAAAGAAGAAACCGATGTTTATCCTAATTCAGGTAAAATAATCATTATATTTTTATAAACCATTATGTATTTATATTCTATAGTAATTCTAAGCATAATTTGATTGGATTTTATTTCTAGGATCAGAAAAAAAATATTTTTTTACAGCAGAAGATTATTATCGAGAAACCAAATTGAAACTCGATAAAATTAAATTGAATTTGCTTACAGTATTAAGACATAGTAAGAGAATCCAAGAACTCCGCAATGGCAAAGCTGTCAAGTATGAAGTTATAACTGCTAATTAATTTTATTTGTATGAATTTAAGATAATTTAAAAACATCATTATTACTAAAAGTGTATAAAAATAATTTTATAAATTAACTTTTAAATATTACTCTATACTATATAAAATAATATTTTTCTAAATCATATCGAGCGATATTTTATATTTCAAATGACATCGATAGTATCGTCACAATAAATAATCGACTTTTACTACATCGAGTATCGATACCGTTATTAAAGTAACTTTAGTCTTTTACTGCCCAAATATCCCTTTTCATACATAGATACATACATACATACATACAGGTATTCATTGTTGTTTGAAATTTTCTCAAGAAAAAATTAAATAAAAATGTTGAAATAAAAAAATATTTAAACATTACTACAAAAACAATTAAAAATGGCTACTACCATTTCATTCCAATATTGTGGCACGTGATAGTGACAGATTAGATGCGCACAAGTTGGTAATGGTCATATGGATGACGATAGCACGAAAAGAACAGGTGAGATAAGTATAATGTCAAATATAGTTCGACATAATTTAGGATAGTATTTTTTTTTATTGTTTGTGTAATTTTTATACTTATAAACTAATGGATAAATTATAGCATCAATACTGTACTATTTATTTGGTTTTATGTAGATACTCACGTAAGAGTGAGCCCAATAATAACTAAATTCTGACAACAATCTGGCGACAATTAACAAAGGTACATCATATAAATGGAATATACGTGAATTTTGAAATGGCTGGTTTTAAATTTTATGGTTTGAAGTAACACATCAAACCGAATCAACGATACAAAAACAGGTGATTTAAACAGATGATTGAATTTGATTTATTCTGATATTTATTAGTATAGATGAATTTTTCATCTCTCGTGATCAGAATTTATAGAATAAAAATCATTAAAAATGTTGAGGTAAAGGTTATAACAAAATTATCTTTACAAGTCTTCAGTGATTAATTGAATTTCAAAAATATATTTATAACCTCTTTCAATAATATAAACTTGTGAAGTAATGAATGAATAATATAGTTTATATATTCATAATTTAAGAACTTGAGAATTATTGCACTTTAACAAAATTGTCCTTGAAGATTAAATAGAAAGTTGTTCGATGAATCACTTGAACGTTTGGTATGTTTTTTTTTTTAAGTTGTTTCCATGGATACCGATACAAAATTGAAAAATTTTCCATTATTATAATATATTTCATTTTTTCAGATCAAAGTGTAATAATGGCATTCCCTCCACTGGTTAGTTCAACACCTCCACCTCTTGATAGTTTTCGTGAGAGTGATGATGATGAATTTGGTGATTATGCAACTGGAGGCATTGATGGTATATTGTTTTTTTTTTTTTTTAAATAATTTTATTTCTTTATTCAAAATATATTCGATATTTCTAACAACTATTCTAATGAAAATTCCGTTTATTACAAATCACATGACCACAATTTGTATAATTCAAAAAATTTCAATGTCTTATTCTTTTTTTTTGCATCCAATAAGTTCAATCTTTATTTTATTTATGCACTAATAATATTATTATTCATTTTAAAATATTATTCATTTCAATCATTATTAGGGTCATCAACAACAACGGATTCACCTCGAGAAAATTTAACTCCAATACAAACTCCAATTCCATCAACAACAACATCTCCACAAATTATTAATAGTACAACACATCATTCACCGAGCGTGGATATTTTATCTGTACCTAACGGTCTTCATAAATCATGCATAAACGATGATATTATGATTGTGGAAAAAATAGATGATACAGTGAGCAGTATAAAACTAGATCTTAAAATTTATAGTGATGGCACAACAAACAGTAATTCAGACTTGATATTAAGTAGAGACACAGAGCTACAAGAGTCAACTGATGAACAAAATAATGAAAGCAATAGAATTGATAGAAAAGAAACTAATCAAGCTAATTTAGATAAAACAAGTGCTATTAATGGTGATGGTGGTGATGTAGTTAGTAGTGACATAAATAGTTTAGCAGGCACGTTTAAAATTACAGATGATCAAAATTATTCCCTTGATAAGCTCGAAATCAATGAAGATCACGAGCCATTGAGTTTAATTCTTGATGATCCTACAACTGTTGAAATCTTACATCCAGATTTAGACGATGATTTTTATAATTATAATCATTTTGACAAATCATTAGAGCACGATAGTTCACAAATAAGTGATAATAAACTCAAAGTAACATCGAATCATCAAGTTAACGATGTAAAAAGTACCAGTGATGAATCAACTAATGTAAAAAAATACGAAACGAATATTTGTTTGAGAGAGAATGAGAATAAGATAGTCAAATTCAATGAAAATAATGAAAAACATGTTGATAATTTATTTGATAAAGTATCGTCCGATTTTTCCGATTTACTTATTGCACATGGAAGCCATGTGAATGGTGTGAATAATTTTACAATATCTGGTATTGAAACTGAAATAGATGTACTTAAAACAGAGTCAATAAGATATAATGAGGATAAGACAAAAAGTTCAAATAATTTGGTTAACTTTAATTTTGATTTTGATAAGACTGTAATTGTTAATGACACCCATGTAAATGAAGTAACTGAAGATAATAGTGATACTAACATTCCATCAATGGGTGATGAATTTGGTGATTTTAGTGACTTTAATAATATAATAATCAACCCTGCAGATAATCAAAATATTAATAGTTCAGAACAAATGAAACTAGCTGATGAATTCAATAAATCAACTATTGAACAAGTTGATAAAATTAGCGGAAGTACTTTTTCGAGTTTCATAGACTATCAATGTACAGAAAATAATGATAAAAGTAAAATAGATGTTTTGGAGACAAGAGATTTTTTTGCAACAATAGATTTATCTAATAGAGAAACTATAATAAATTCAGAGCAAAATTCACTGCCAATAATTATTCCAAGTCAAGAATCAACAGATGATAATAGTACTTTTCCAATGTCTTCAAACAGTGATGATGATACAACTGAAAATTCCACTAAAAATATTAAAGAAATAAATTATTTTAATGCTGATATAAAAAATTTATCAACTTCGGAATTGAAAAACCAAAAAGAAAATGATGATTTTGGAGATTTCGCTGACTTCTCAACGGAACCAATAGCCGACTCACAATCATGGGCATGTAGCGAAGAATTTCCAAGGTTACCTGATCCTAATGAAATTATCGACGATGATGATGAATTTGGAGATTTTAATGGATTTTCGTCTATTTCAACACATCCAACGATATCCAACATTAATTTAAGAGAATCTATCAGTCGAATAGAAAATAAAAACGTAAGATTAGCTCAGTTTCAATTAAATTTAATTTTAATCAGAAATATAGTAGATGTACAAAGCTATAGAAAATTTTTTTATCTTGAGATACATTTGTAGATAAGTATAAGTATTATATAAATAATTCTACATTTTAGGCTGCAAATAAAATTGAAGACATCATAACAAATATGTTTGCTGTAGTTACTGAACTTCCGGATATTAATTTAGAACCGTTAATCAATGACACAGATTTTATATGGACATCATTAAAACAAATAGAAGAGACAAATGCTCTTACATATCAGTGGAATAATAGTGTCAGTAACAATATCCTTTTGCGATCACTTGGCATCGATTCTAGAAATATTGTAAGTCGTAAACTTTCATATTGATTAAAACTTTCTTTTTATACATATATATGTAGGAATAAATATAGAGATTAATTATTTGTATAGTTATTTGGACCACGTTGGAACCCAAACATTCCAAGATTTGCAGCAAACTTAGGATTTGCACCTCTGGAACCAATGAAAGCTTCTCTTGAGACACAACAAGCAGTATCAAGTTCATCAAAACCATCCCATACGACGACGAATGATGTATGAAAATATTTTCAAAAACTTTTTCAAATAATTATTTGAAAGAAATTCATTGTCATTGTTTATTATTTACTTAGGAAGTACCAGCAGCACAGTTCGATTGGAATAGTTCTGGCTTGATCAATCCTTTAGATTCAAGTAAGTAGTAATAAATACATGTTTATAAAAGTGATACAATTTGTAATAATAAATATTTTGTTATTGATTTAACACTTTCCTCCTCTTTATTGCCCTGCTTTCTCTTCGCTTTTGTTTCTTTTATCACCTCCTCTTCAATCCAACACAATGGTATTATCAGATGGTGGTCTCTCGGCGCTCTTATCATTAGATTTGTTATATCCCTTCGATCCTTTACTAACTCCTCATTATTCGGGGCACTCTGAATCCTATCACCATCACGCTGCTTGCAACAGGAGCTCCATATATTTCAGTAAGTGTTTAAGCTAACATCAACCTCGCACCAAGAAATAAATGTTTCTTATTTATAAGATTTTAGGATAAGTGTAAATGATAAAAACCAACTAACCAGTTGATAATTTAATTCATATTTAAGTGAGTTTTAATAATGAAGTGCCTTACATAAATGTTTAGTTAATTGTAAATTGTTCTTTGTTCTATAGATACTGAAAATTCTCAAGTTTCTGATCAAAATAATCACCATAAACAATCATCAGAATCAATGGAGAGTAATTCAAGCAAACCTCAAAAACAATACCAATTAACAAAAATTATAGAACCATTACCAGGACCTAGTACAGTTGAATGGAAAACTAAATCGGATAACTTAGCAAGTACAGTAAAAATAAGTAACAATCAAAAATTACCAAAAAATTTGCAACAAATGCCTATCACTACTAAATCAGTAGGAATAAGTAATGCAACTAAATCTGACGCTAGTGGTTTCGAATCTACTTTGAATCGCAGTGATTCTAATAAATTTAATCAGCATAGAAATTCATCATTATTAAAAAGAGATCATGCAGTTGATTTAGATTATAAAGTGATGGATATACATGGCCGTCCTATGGCAGTAAAACAAGAGACTGTTAAAGTGCTTAAGCAACTTCCAGATTTAAGCTTTCTAAATGCAAGAACACTGATGTTTAATCCTGAACAAAAACAGATTGTTCAAGACCTCGGTGCTATGATCAACCGTAAGATGCCTGGCTGAGTTACATCGGTCTGAACACTAGTTTGAAAAAGGTTAAATTAATGAAACATTTCTTTATACCCTGTGAAATGAAACCGGTTGAATTCCTGCTTCGTTTCAAACTTGTGTTCAGACCAATCAAAATGAATTAATATTTTTTTATTTTCAACTTATTGTTAGTTAATCCATTCATGTATTGCATTTCTATCCATCAAACTTGATATATTTCTGTATATTTTTGAAATGCTAAAAATTAGAAGAATTTCAAAGAATTGTAATAACATAATTGTAAATACGTCATTGAGTATTTGTTTGTTAATAACCGATATATCGAATTTTATGTTCATCTAGTCCATATAACATTTTATTTTATTTTCTAACTAAAAAATGTTTATTGTCTGATGCATATAAAATTTACCTCTATAATCATTATTTGTAATGATTATTATTAATATTAATAATAGAAAATAATTCAAAATTTTTAAAATATTTTTTTGTTGAGTATTAATGCTCTAAATTTTATGTTAAAATTTTCAGGCAGTTTCACATTTCTAATACATTTCTAATTGAAGATTTCCAATAAAACTTTATTATTATATTGATATTATTGTATTAATGATAATTATAATACTTATAGTTGAGTCAATTAATTCATAAGATTGATCTTTGAGAACATGGTAAATCTAATGAATCTTTGCAATAAAAATCAAGTATGTGTTTATTATTAATATCTAATGTGTTTCATCTATTGCTCTTCATTTTAAAAATTTTAAAACAAATATAGAATTTACTAATTTTCCAGAAAAAAATTTCGATGTAAATAATTGCAATTAATTGTACCATTTGTATTAATTATTTGTACTATGTATTTTTACCTTTTAGTATTATTTATTAATTTACAAAATTTTATTTTCTGGATACCTAAACATGCTAGACTTCTCACTGAAATAACGAAACAATTGATGGCATGCAAAACTTACCAAATGTTGTTTTATTAATTTTTAACTGTCCGATACAAATAACATTACGAAATATTATCTATAAGAAAATAGTAATTTTTGAAAATTTGATTACTAATAAATATATTTCTTTACGTAATTTTAATTACTGTTTTTTTTTTTTTTTTAATATTAAAAAAAACCTTTTATTTAAATTGTAAAGAATGAAAAAAAATCTTATTAGTCCACAAAAATTTATTATTTTATAACATGTTTTCATGTACGTTTTTTAGTTTACATTTTTCATGTAGTTTATTGTATTCACTATACTATTTTTTAGACAAATAACACTTGCTAAATTGTAAGTAAAACTTAACAAAAACTTCTGCCACTTGAAAGTTGATTGTTTACCAACTTCAACTTCGTATCAATTTTTTTTCATATTTATTTGGTTAAATTTATCGGCCGCAATAATTATATTCGTAGACTAATTGTTGTCTGTATCAATTTCTATACTTCTATTGATGAAAAAAAGAAGAAACTTTTTTTTTCTAAATCATGAAATAAGCACCTGAGAAACAACAGTAGGATCTGATAAAATATAATTAAATAAAATTTTCAGATCTATTTGTATCTATTTATGTTTTTTCCCAAAATTCAGTTATTTATTAGTAAACGTTACATCGAATTTGAATTTTTTTTGTCATTTCACTTTATCGACTGATTAAATGAGTATATTATTTATCAACAAATTGGTTTTCTTCTATACCTAGGTAATAAGCTAATTCTCATTCTTTCAGTAACCTGTTCTCTCTACAGTAACACATTTGTATTCCTGATTGAATAATTGTCAATGAAAATTTTAATTTTTTTCATTTTATAAATATGGCATCAGTATCTGTTCAAAAATCACCAAAAACTTTATCAAAACAAGAATTATTATCAGTGATCATAAAATCTATTAATTTTGCAGCTTTAAAACATAAAGATCAACGACGACACGATTTAGAAGCAACTCCGTACATTAATCATCCAATAGGTACCTGAAGTTGAAAAATGATTTATTTTGTATCACGATTTATTAAAATCCTTATTCAGGTGTTGCAAATATTTTAATTCAGGAAGGTGAAATTTATGATCCAGTTGTAATTGTTGCTGCTATTCTGCATGATACAGTTGAAGATACTGAGACAACTATTGAAGAAATTGAAAATGAATTTGGTTCAGAAGTAAAACAAGTTGTATTAGAAGTAACTGATGATAAATCTTTACCGAAACAAGAACGGAAACGTTTACAAATAGAACATACTCCTCATATTACTTACGAAGCTAAATTAGTTAAATTAGCTGATAAAATTTACAATCTACGAGATCTTCTGAGGCAAACTCCAATTGGCTGGACACCTCAAAGAGTTGATCAATATTTTCTGGTTGGTTGATATATTTTTAATGATAATTAAAAAAGTTGTTAAATAAATTACAATAAAAATTCATTTTTCTAGTGGGCTAAAGCTGTTATTGATGGCTGCCGAGGTACTAATGAGAAATTAGAAAAAGCATTTGATGTGATTATTACAGAAAAAGAAAAAACTACTTAAAATCATATTTTATTTTTAATAAAAATGTTTATTATTTTTCAATAAAATAAAAATATTAATATCAAAAAATATAATAAGAGTAAGTATTAGATACTTTTGTTTAATTTTATTTTGTTAATTTATTTCTTATGAGTTTGAAGGAATTTTTTCATATAATCAGCAAGTGCTTCAGTTTCTTTAAGGGTTACGGCATTGTATAGAGATGCACGAATCCCTCCAACAGATCTATAATTATATTTTTTTAAATACATATTATCTATTTTTAATCATGAAGATAGTATAATAAATATATATAAATTATTACCTATGACCTTTGAGTTGAAGCATTCCAAGTTCAACAGCACCCGCCAAAAATTTCTTCTCCAGTTCTTCATCATTATTATTAATTCTGAAAGGTAAATTCATACGACTTCGACATTTTGGATCAATCGGACACGAGTAGAAACCATTTGATTCTTCAATAATATCATAGATGAGCTTGCTTTTCTGTTTAGCCAAATTTTCCATACCTTCTACTCCTCCATTTTTTTTTATCCAATCAAATACTTTTCCAATGAAATAAATTCTACAATGAAATTTTTTAAAATTATTTCTTTATATTATCTTATTTATCATATAAGTCCTTCGCCGATTTATCAAAAATAATTGACATTTTTATCAAGAAAATATAGCTAATGATCGTTTGACTTGTTTATTGCATAATCAATGTCGTCAGAGAACGATATTAGATAATAAATTGATTAATCTTAAAAACCACTGACACGAAATATACTTACTGAAAAGTTGGTGGTGTGTTGTAGATAGAGTTCTCCTTTGCATTAACAGCAAAGTCAAGAATTGAAGGACATACTGTCATTGCGTTACCTAAGAGATCTTCTCGCACGATTACAACTGTAACTCCAGAGGGTCCAATATTTTTTTGAGCTCCAGCATAAATTACGCCAAACTAAGCGAATATTAATCTAATTAGTATGTTTTTTTTCAAAATATTTTATAGTAATTAATTGAACGATTCTAAAAACCTTAGAGACATCAAATTTTCTGCTTAGAAAATTAGAGGACATATCAGCAACAATAGGAACTCCATTTGTTTCTGGGATGAAATTAAACTCGACACCTGAATGAAACATTTATGTTATGTCAATAAATTAAATTAATTGAAATATATAATAATATATAATTAAGTTTGTACCATGAATGGTTTCATTATCACAGTAGTATACGTAGGATGCATTTGGATTAAGATTCCAAATTGATGGATTTGGTACCTCAGTATATTTTGTCATTGGTGGATGAACAATATTGATTGATCCGTACTTAGCAGCTTCTTTAGCAGCTTTCGCTGACCAAGAACCTTCGGAATTTAATAATTTTCAATAATATTATTGAATAAAATTTTTTGAAAAATGAATTGATTATTCATAAATCGATAAAATACCGGTTACAATGTAGTCAGCGGTTCCTGATTTACTGATAAGGTTGAGAGGCACTGCAGCAAATATTCCAGTTCCACCTCCTTGCATAAATAAAACTTTAAAATTATCAGGAATGTTTCTGAAATTGTATTTTACATCATTATTAATTTTAATAGAAATAATATCAATTCTAAAAAATAAATAGAAAAAACTTGAACAAATTACAATAGTTCTCGAAGACGATCTTGAGCATTTTGATTAACTTTAGCATAATCAGTAGATCGATGGCTTAGCTCAAGAATACTGATGCTTGTGTTGTTAAAACTAAGTAGCTCAGCTTGAACATCTTTTAGTACCTTTAGTTGAAGAATAAAAAATTATAGTAAAATTAGAATTTTATATTATTTTATTGTCGACTAGCTTTCAAGTTCAATGAACTTAAATAACCTGAATGTATATGAAAAATGATCAATTATCGCGATATTTAATTTTAAATGAATAAATAAAATTAGTTCTTTAAACAAGCCTTATCAGAATTCGTAAAGATAAATGAGATTTATTATGATAAAAAGATATTTATCTAATTTCTAACGTTCATAATTTTTTTAAAAATATTTATATTTCTGAAATAAGAAAATATCTTTATTCTTATGTAAAATAAAATGTTTTCTTTATTTCAAAGAAACCGGTTTCCTTACAGAGAATAAAAATAATGTAAGTTTAAATAACGTTCAATTTTATAAAACTTTTGTCTCATGTATTTTATGTATTTACTTTAAACAATTACCTCTTCTGGGAGTTTGGCAGGTCCAGCACCAAAATTCATAACTTTTTTCTGACTCATTTTACGACTGATGTTTCTGTAAACACTGAAAGACTGAGTAGATAAATCTCGAGAAGAATTACTTAATAGACTGAATATAAGATAGTTAACACAAGAAGTATGACTCCAGTCTTTCCACCACTCTTTACGATTAAATACGTAACATTTTTACATAAAATGAATTAATTTAAACTCGTTGATAAAACAGTATGAATATGTTTTAATCAAATGATCGAATATTAAAATCAGGCATATAGATCATCGAAGCAAAGTTCATTGTTCTCTTCCATCTATTCTTCTCTTCTTTTATTTTTTTTATTTTTTTGTATGCTAGATAAACGTGAAAACTACATTATCAAAACTAGCTTCTACTTTACTGACGTATGGTTATTTATCAATCAGTACATTAAAAAATGTGTGATAATATGTAAAATTATTAAATAGACAAAAAGGAAATGATTTATGCTAATAAAAATTTAATAAATATATATGTATATAATCTAAAAAATTAAAATTTTATAAAAGAACAATAATTAAATTAGTTTTTAAACAAATTGGTTAATTTAAATTGACCCGGGTACTAGAATTACCATGGAATGTCATGTTTGTGCGCTTACAGCGTTCACAGGTAGAAGGGATGGCCAATAAGATCATTTTATCAGATTTGAAAGAAATACGTTGACGTGAAGACGGTTGAAAGTAAGCACCTCAATGATCTCGGTTACAAATACAAGGTTTTGCAAATTTACTCTTTTTTGAGGTGTTAACAAGTGTAGTAAAATATTAATTAAATATTTCTATTTTAAAGTGACTTTTTTTTTTAATTTCGAACGTAAGTGGACATAACATAATCAAGATGGGAGAAAATTGGACAGAGTAAGTGGAATGACGCCATAGCTTTCAAAACAATAAATGTAAAATAATTTTGACAATTGCAGATTGAAAGAAATAAATTTAAATTCAATTTGTAGCTCAAAGATAATTTATAACTTGAAAAAATTATTTTATTATTTTTCAGAGAACAGTTACTTAATATTATATCGCTTGAAGTTAAAAAAACCACTAGAAACCTATTCAGTATATGGCAACAGGTTGGATTTGAAGAGGAAGTGACAAATAAATACAAAAAAGATATTTATAAGCATATACAGGTAGAAAAAAAATTATTTACATAATATTTATTACAACTGTTATACATAATTGAATATTAGTGATTTACTAAAAAAATTACGTGACATTTTAATTGTATGAATATTTTGAAGGAGTTGCTTAACGATATGGAAATTGAAGCTGAAGAAAACAAAAATAATTACTTAAAAAACATTGATAAAATGGTTCAGCTAGTTCATACACTAAGTAATGTAAGTCATTATTCTTAACTTTCTTTTGTTAGTTAATTTAATCTATTCAGTAGAATTATATTTTATATTATTTTCCATAGGAATTAAGAATTGAAATATCGATGCCTAAATATCAAGCAGAATCACTACTTAATGCCACAATCGTATTAAAGAAAAAAATTAGAGAATTGGAAATACTCAAAGAACATCGTATGTCAGAAGTTCAAGTTTTACTTGATAAGGTAGATTTTCTTATTATTTGATTAAAATTATGAATGTACTTTTTTGTAATAAGGGACTTTTTAATAGGAGCGTCAAATATGTAAACATCTTGGATTGCAGCCAAATGGTTTTAAATTTTCAGTCCCTAATTCTGACGAAATAAAAGATTTTGAATCAAATTTAATGACATTAGAAACCGAATTATCAACTCGTAAAACTAATTTCATACATTTGCGACAATCGATTGTAGAAATGATGGAGGAAATGGCATTAAGTCCGACAAATAATTTTGAACGACTAATTTGGCATGATTCTCATGATTTTATTTATTCTAGTATTAACATGGCTAAGTTAGAAAAATTACATGATGAAATACAGGAAAGATTAGCAACAATGAAGGAGAAAGCGGAAAATAAACGTCAGGAATTACTAAAACTTTTGAAATATTTAGATGTACCGAAGGATAAATACGAAAATATCCTAACAAAATACTCTGGTTTTGATACAATTACTATAAATGCCTTGGATAAAGAACTTCGAAAGTACATGAAGAAAAAAGAAGAAAATATGTCTACTTTTATTAGAAAAATAAGAGAAGAGTTAGAACATTGGTGGAATATATGTAAATTAAGTCCTCAAGAACGAGAACAATTTCGTTTTTATACTTCAGAAATATACAATGAAGACACATTAAAGCTTCATGAACTTGAAGTTGAAAAACTCAAATGGTTTTACGAGTCAAATCAAAAATTATTCGAATTACTTGATAAAAGAGATGAAATGTGGGAACAAAACAAAGAGTATCGTCGTCAAATTGAAAATCCAAGTAGATATCATAATCGTGGTGGTCAGCTTCTCGCTGAAGAAAAGGCTCGAAAATATTTAGCTAAGGTGAAACATCAATGATCGTCATATTTTACATATTATGCTCTTTTTTACTATTATTTTACTAACTCATTTTAAATTTTAGAATCTCCCAAAAGTTGAAGAACAACTTAAAGAAATGGTTATTGAATATGAAAATACACAAGGTAAACCATTCACAATCTATGGATTACAATTAACGGAATATTTTTCAAAGCAAATAAAAGATCTCGAAACTGAAATGGAAGAGTTAAAAGCTGCAAAGGTAAGTAAATAGTTATAGCAACAAATAGAAAAATAATAACAAATGTTTAAATCTAATGAAATTAATAAAAAACAATAAATTGTTCTTCAGTTGAAAGCGAAAGATGAAAGATCTGCTAAAAAAACACCTTTAAGTGCTTCTCGTCGAAATTTGGCATATGCTAGCATACGAGGGACTAATACTTCTCTTAAAAGAAAAGATCGCTCACCTTTGGCAGGTGTTGCAAAGTCTGCACGTTTAGCCAATAGCGAAAATATTTATCCAAAAGTTGTTAGTTCAAAAATTCGAAGGAGTGGGCGTTTAAAGGTAGCACGTAAACTTCTCTCATCATCGAAAAATTCACCCAGAACCCCAAAAACTCCATCGGTATCTAAAAACAAAACTGAAATTGGTGATACTAATAGTTCTAATAATACTACGAAAGTTTTTCAACAGTATGAAGAATTTCAAGAACATTTAGCAAATAAAGACGAACTAAGGAGTACACTAATAATTGATTTAAATGAAACAGTAAAAACAAAGAAACCATTAAAAACTCCGGTTAAGCCATCCAGAAAACATTGTTCTCCTCGTACACCTTTGAGGAAAAGTAAATTAACATGTGCAAATCAAATGAAAAGTCCGAGATATTTGTCTACCCCTAAACTTGTTGCAGCGCCTAATCCAACTAATGAAAATGTATTTTAATATCATATTTATTTAAATAATCATAGTATTTCGAATCAAAATTTAAAAAGAAAAATGTTAATATTTAATTAGTTGCTGGAAGCAACTACAATTTATTTTACCATTATAACTTATTCGAATGTAGATTTTCAATTAACTCTTTCTATCTATAAAATTACTTTAAAATACGTCGTAAAATTAATTTCATTAATTGATTATATGCTTTCCGAATAGAATTGAGCTTGCAATATATATTATTTAGTTTCATATGCTTCAGTTAAGTTATATAGTGTAAAAAAAGGTTTTGTAATTATCAAGTGTAACAATAAAATAGTTTACAATGTTTTTTTAAAATGTTCATTAATAATTTTACGTTTCAATGATGAAATGTAATTTTTTATTAAAAATCCTTTCTATTAACAACCATTATAATATTCGTAAGAATTTTATTTGCATACAGATTGGCTGTCTTAGCTAATTGTCGGTAAAAAGATATAGTATAAATTTTATCACACCCTCATGATTATGATCACAGTTATTGTTTAATCGAAATTCATTGTTGTTTAAAATAAACTTAAAAAAAAAAATTTTGAGTTGAACGATAGAAAGAAAGAGATTTTTTGATTTTTCAAAATTTATATTAAATAAATGCGTAATGTTGATCTCTTATTAATTAATTAAAATCGTTGCCCTGATAGACAAGAGTTGAAATTGGACATCAATTTGAATTCAATATGTATGCATTACAACATATTGAGTTCAAATTGATGTCAAATTTCAACTCTTGTTTTATCCAGAAAAGAGAAAAAAAAGAAGTCTTATCATAAGATTCAGTACTTGAAACAAACACCTGGTGGCAGCATTAATTCTTTTAAGACGCAATAGATATACAATTATTTTTTAACTAAACTTATTTTTTACATTTCTACAAAATGATTAATAAACTGATTTGTTTCATTCATTACAATATATTGACTATATAGTTTTCATAAAAAGTAGAATGCTCTTTCTCTCTCTCTCTCTCTCTCTCTCTCTTTCTCTCTTAAATGTATGCATCATTTAATTTGAAATTTCAAACACTTATTACACACTACAATTACATAAGTTATTAAGAGCGTTTATTTGAAAAAAAACAGCATAAAGTTAAATGTAGAATTTGATTACATGAACAAGTGCAAAAATAATTTTTAGTAATTTATATTTTTGCAAAAAGTTTAAATAAACTGAAGAATAAAAAAAAATTTTCAATAGTGAGTGCAAATGTAGTGTAAGGAATACAAAATCACCGATCCAGTCGTTTTTTTCTTCATCTAGATTTGAAGTAAAGATCAGATGGATTACAGGTAACAAGAAAATAGATACGAAGTAAAGGAATGATCAATAGTAGGTGTGGCTTGTTGGTGGGAAGATTTTAGCATCCAAAGCTCCACCCACCTGTCAAACCTGTTACATTTTCTAAAGACTCAGGTGTGTGCACCCACCCTTAATTATCTATCCAGAAGGTAGATAGAACTGTTAGAATAGACAGTGAAGACTCAATTGCTTTGCCTTGAGAAGTTAGTACCTAAGTCTTTGTAAAAGCTAGAAACTCATATTAATTCAATCCTACAAAGTATTGGAGTGATAAATTTTCATAACTATTATTATAAATGATTAATCTTCTTTTCATCAATTTACTTACTTACATTTTTTTACGTTGTTTTGAGGATTCATGACACGAGAGAAAACATTTTTAAGAGAAGAAAGTCAACGAGTCATGCAAGAGATGAAAATCTGAAGAAAAAGAAAGAAATAAGAGAAGGATATGTGTTGTATGGATAAAAGGGAGACGCTATCGGGCGTGAGTAATGCTCGGTGGCGTCCGCTCGGCGTTCTCTTCGGACGCTCGGCTGGACGGATTGATAAAGATTAAAGGTAAAGGGAGGTGGCGGTCCAAACTTCATGGACCCGGAACTAGAGGGGTATGTTTGGAGAGCTAGGCGACAGAAGTCACCCAGCGAAACGACGAACAGGAGGGGGATGATGTCATATAGGGGTCTATATCAGTCCTCTATATCTTCTTCTCTCTCGCTCTTTTTCTCACACATTTTGACTCTTTAGACGACATACACAGATGCAAGAAGGAGGATTGATGCATTGAACAAGTATACATTGACGTAGAAGCATGAGAAAAAGGTAAAAACATCTTTAAAAGACTTTTACAAAAATTGCACTTTTTTCATCTTTTCACTGTTTAAAGTATTTTTTTATTCAATAACAATAAATTTATCAATATAATATATAAACAATACATAATAATTTCTAATAAGATTTAAAGTAATAAAAATAATTTTTATAATATTAAACAGGTCAATTACTCCGGAGAAGGGATGTTAAACTTTACGAATAATTGAAAGAAAAATGAATGAGAAAATGAAAAAAAAAAGATAAAATACATCTTGATACTTGATGAGAAGAGAAATGAATTGGCGACGCCACTGAATAAAAGTCTATGCGATGGGTGAGTCATACGATCTTGCTCAGTCAGCTTCCCTTACCATACTAGAGAGATCCCATGCGCACGCTTTCTAGGCCCCCGTGGGTTATAATAGAGAATAGTAAACGCGGTAAAGGTAACTCACATGGCCTCTCTTTGGCAGGGTAGACTATAGTAAGGGTGAAAACGACATAAGAGAAGGAAAGAAACATTATGCGAATAAGCTCGACACGTGGCATCACTCTGCGTTATTTCCACGACTATTTTCTTTTCCATGCATTCTCTCTCATTTCAATTTTGTTGACATTTACTCTTATTTATTTCATCCATCTCGTGATCAATGAAGCGAATCCCTTACATTTGTATTCTATTCATTGTATTTAACTCAGTGAAAGTCTCATATTTAAGATCGAAGCACGAGTAAATGACAGTTGAAGGAGTGGATCAAAGTTCTCAAAAGTAATAAGTATATGAAAAATGATTAGTCATTTTGGAAAGTCAAATAGTTAAAAACAGAGCTATTAATTATTAACACAACTTTTAAGCTTATAGCTTAATTTTTATATTTAGGGATACGTGATTGATAGTAATAAAAGTAAAAATAAAAGAGATTAGAATAATTTATATAACAAGTATAGATTTATGATTACACTAATTAATTAAAGCCGAAACATTCACATAGAAAAGTAGAAAAAAATAATTTTTTATATTATTATTGATTGACTATGAGTGACAAGCGTAATACATCAGACAAAAGCATAGCATTATCTACATAATATTTATTCATCAAATTCAAGAATCATTTATTCATGTATAAAATATATTTTATGATTTTTTTTCTTTTCCATGTCGAAGGTTTCCATACAATAGAAAAGCACAAATGTAGATAACAAGCACCAGAATTGTGGAAAAAAGTAGGGTGAATATATGTATGCGCTTATGTATATGAACTGTTGCATCCACGCAAACCGAGTCGTCTACATCAGGAAAAAAAAAAGAAAAAGAGACTATGAACGAGGCGAATGAATGAATGGTTTCCAATCTGTTCCATCCTTTTGTAGATGCCTCGTGCCGCGTGTGCAAATCCACCTTTTCTTTCTCTCTTATTTCCCGTTAGCCCGAAGCTCATCCCCCGTGGCTGCACACGCCTCACACCTGAGTACAATAGGTCACCCCGATTTCACCCCCTCACATATATGTGTGTACATATATTTTTCCATTCTCTCTTGCACTCAATCTAGAGAACCCTACGTTTAAATACTAACTCGGCGACTACAAGGGTGACTCGTCAACCCTCTCATACCACCAAATTTTCCCTGCAACAGAGCTCGTCACATTCTCATCTCATTTCGATTGGAATATCCTTAAATATGAAAAATATTTTACCGTATGAATTTTATCTTCTAACAAGATAATTGTTGAACAGATCATACAAATCTTCCAAACTATATTATTAAGTTTATATTTTTTGCAAAAGAAATTACGAAGAAGACAGAGAAAAAAGAGTTACAGTATATAGTGATATCTATTCTTACCATTTAAAAAACCATCATCATGTATTATCATAGTAAAATCTGTAGGTTTTTTTTTCAAATTTGTTTTTTTTTACGAAAATTTGAATTGAAAAAAAACTATCAACTAAAAGCTAAAACATTCATTAAACTATATATGTGCAAAATATTTTTCGTCAAACTCATATATATATATAATTAAAAATAGTTGCAACAATAACTAATTACTTATTTTATTGTTAAAAAAGTATTTAATAACTACAAATTAAAAACAATGACATCATTAAATGCAGAGAATTAAAAAAGGCTACCTTTTTTGAGGCTTAATATAAGCTTTAATAAGTATTAATAAAATGTTTTTTTTCTGCCCTCAGGTTTGGGAGAATCAATTGAACGAATTATGTGAATTATACCTGACGAATTAAACAGTTGATATGGTAAAAGAGTGCGGGTTTCATCATCAAGATGGTTATAGCTATGTATATTGGCATCAATTGAAGACCCGCAGATAGCTAATATAAAGTAGTCTATAACTGGTTGGGCTCAACTTTATACCTCCAACACACACCCAAAAGTCCAGATAGGTAATATAAAGCTAACTCATTCCTCAATGAGTGTATATACGGGCATAGCGGTGTGGGAATTCCCTCAATTCAACAGTAATTGTTTAATTGAGATACTCACCGGTGGTGAGGACGATAAATTGGTGTAAACGCGCCGGGGTTAGCTTAGTCTACCCGCTTGTTTCACACACTCATTCTTTTTTTTTCATCAGGTCGCGTACATTCATAAAGGAAAGGACGTAGAAGGTGACTTATGAGTAGTTCTAGACAATTAACAAAATGAGATCACTCACAAAAATGAGAGGTTTATAAAAATTAATGAATTATTTAAACAGATGTGTATGTGTAGCTAAGTACATCGAGTTGATTTCATCACTTTTTACTAAACCATGATCAAATGCACGGAGAATGAATAAACGCTATGTAGTAGTACTAATTTAACAGCTTTATATACATACTAAAAAAACAAAAAGTTTAAATTAATTAAAAGTCGATAATGGTTGAGTATTTGGCGAAAATAAAAATGAATTAACAACTAAATGATAGTGGTATAAAATAGAGTAATTGGAAAATTTTTTTCACTAATTAGTATAAAGTTGAAAGTTAAATCGAAATTTAAAATAAAATAAATGACTTTAGTGTATTTTATTTTATTGATCTTATTTTTGATTGATCCATGAATAAAATCACAATAACAATAGTGAAGAGCATTACTAAACAGA